ATCGAAAAGTGGATGTGGCTCGTAGTTCCAATTCCGGAAAATGGATGTGTGGCGCTACTGTACAGCCTAGCAAAAGCGTCCCAAGAAAATCGCCGTCATTGCGCCTCTCATGGAGGATTCACATTGCGTCCGATCACGTCCGATGTTCGACGTACGACGATCCGACATCCAATAACAGAATTTATTATTAGAGACAAAAATTTTCTATTGGATGTCGGATCGTCGTACGTCGAACATCGGACGCAGTGTGAATCCTCCATCATTCTTCTCTCTGGCCAAACATTTCTAGGAACGTACTAAACTGCTGCTCACTGCTGCTGCATTTCACTATCCATGAAAACCTACCTTTAGAAGATGGCGGAAAAACGAAAAAACCACGTGACTCCGAGAGCCAATCAAAAACCGTTCGCACCTAGCGCTTCTCTGATTAGTCTGATTATAGGACTCCTAACCCAACTCCTACTCAGCCGATTTCCGAAGGTCGAAATTGAAGTTATGTTTGATATGTCAGTTGAACATTAAAATATAGGATTCATTATGTCTTTGTATGATGATTTTGACAAACATCGGACGACGGAGAAAGTCGCCGGATGGTCTTCCGGCATTAAGTTACTACAATCGCAGCTGCAGCTGAAAAAAGCTGCTACAACACAGGTGAAGCTGTCATAAACGATACATATTGAACACGTATTTATAAAAAGAAAATCTTCAAATAAGCTTCTAATTGTTAGTTATGGATTTATAGCCAAAGCGTGAGCAATACAGAAAAGCTACTGCTGTACTACCACCAGTGATAGACTTGAAATCAAAAGCTAACCGTGATGTCGACAGGGAGGATGACACGGCTCACAACAATCCATTATCTAGTGGCAGCGTGAGCAGCATAGGGGTAGGTGGTGAATTTGACTGGAATGTGGTGAATGAATACGATCCTATATGGCCCAATGAATATGAAAAAGTTGTGAAAGAATTACGCGATATCAGGGATAGAGAGCACGATCAGGAGACAGAAATGCGCAAACGTAGGAGGGATAATACTCGCTTTGAAGATACTCAGGTAATGTATGATAAGTCTATTTGTATCTAAGAGAGAGAGGGAGAGAAAAAAACGTTGAGAGTACACAGAAGGATTTCAAAAAAGTTAAAAAATTCGATATAGTAATAACGTCACGTTGTAATATTAAGTATTATAACATAATGTTGAAATTTTATGTATGTGAACAGACTGCTGGTGGAAATAGTACAATGATACCTCCCGAAAGAGATGAAGAGAGAACGCCGACCTCGAGAGGTATAGTTGGAGGTGCTGCCATAGCACCACCACCGTCCTTACAAGAATCTACAGACGTGCCACCACCACCACCACCACCGCGACAGCCGTCTAATCTAGGCTACTCAACATCGTCCGTAGCAGCAAAAATAATGGCTAAATATGGCTTTAAGGAGGGACAAGGTCTTGGTAAAAAGGAACAAGGCATGTCAGTTGCATTGCAAGTGGAAAAGACTAGTAAGCGTGGTGGTAGAATAGTTGGTGAGAGGGAACAGCTAATGCCTCCACCACCACCTATCACAGGATCTCCACCACAGTCGCACATGCTACCGCACGCACAACAACCCCAGGAAGAACCTAGCATTACGGAAATAATGAAATGTCCAAGCAAGGTCGGTACAATCTTGTATCACTATACATGTATACACACATATAATTTTATATATATGTATAATGTATATAAATAGTTAACATGCGCGCGCGCCCCTTAATAATATTGCTTGCCATATATAATTTAGGATATACTTGTAATCCAACGTTTATATCTATCACTTCAGGTTGTTCTTTTGCGCAATATGGTTGGTCCTGGAGAGGTTGATGACGATCTTGAACCGGAGGTGAAAGATGAATGCAACACTAAATATGGTGATGTTGCACGTGTTATTATTCACGAAGTGATAGAGGCTTCGCCAGAGGAGGCAGTACGAATTTTTGTTGAATTCAAGAGAATAGAAAGTGCTATTAAAGCCGTGGTTGATTTAAATGGACGTTTCTTTGGTGGTAGGCAAGTCAAAGCGGGATTCTATTCTAGTGAGAAACTTGATAACTTACAACTGATGGATTAGTTTTATCTGTAAGACGTTCAAACCGTAACGTTTGTTCTCCGTAAATTGTATAAAAATGTTTTATATTTCCACTACATGGTGTAGCAAATCATTGAAAAATAAATTTTCCTTTTATAATATAATATATAGAATTTATTTTGTTCAATGTTATTTACACGTATACGTTTATATGAGGTATGTGTCTTGTTCTATTTTGACAAGACATACGTTAATTTTTAAAAAATTTTTGTAATATTAAAATAAATAATTTATATAATAATGAATAATGTATATCAGATGCAAAAGTCACGTGTATGTACGTAGAAAAGTGACAGTTACGTTCTTTTCCTCTTATATCTATATTTTTCACTTATTGTTAGACATATCCGATTTACCTCATAAAGCGATGGTAAGACGTGCGAAATGCCAAATGAAGTCATAGTTCGTTCGAAAGGAGGACGAGTGTATTAAAACTGTAAAAAGGTTTGAATGAACCTTACGTTCTGATAACGTTGCACGTAATGTTGGGCATTTGGCCAGCTGTACGGTACATACTAGAACTAGCTATGATAAGTAGTGGAGCAACGTGGCTACGTTGTAAGGCGCGTGTTATGTTTTTTCGTTTACGACTGATATGAGTTTGAGTCCTAGCAGTATCTATACTTTCTTTTTAGTAACCATTATATTTTATAATTTAATTAAGTTCTATAAGGTGAAGCCGCGTACTTGTGGTCACCGACGTGAAAAACGTTTTTAGATATTATAGTATAGTACTGCATACCAGAAGAGTACTTGAGGAAAGGGATAGGGCGCAACGCTCAGCCATTTCCGAGAAAAAAAATGTAAATGCACGATTTTCTTTTGCAAAATGCATTTTTTCTTTTTTCTAAAGTTTTTCATTGAAGAATTTAAGAAAAAAGAAAAAAACATCGGAAAGTTCACCTCGCCGTTGTGCATGAACTTGGTATGAGACACTGTCTCTTTTGATATATAACGTATAATATAAATTTTATTTCTATATAGAATACACGTAAATAAGCTAAACGGTTTGGGCTACAAAATCCAGCAAAAAAACGCAACTTTTTCTTAAATCGAATAGATTTAGTTAATAAGAAATATTATAAATATATCATTGAAAACGTGTACTTTTATTCATCTCCTTAACATAGCACCATTACTTATATTTAACCAGTGCGTTCTAAATTATACGTAATATTATGCAAGAAATAAGAACATAACAACCTTTTTAACTTCCATCATCTTATTTCGTCTTGGTATCAGTCAAGTCATTTATCGCCTTATTTAACCGAGCACTAAAAGCAGCGAAACTGAATGTTACCAGAAATCTGTATTGACCCGATCTACCAAAATTCTCAAGATGCGTCGGATTTGTGATTAAGTAAGCTATTTTCGAGGCAAACGCTTCGCCAGATAAGTCGACCAAGAAGCCAGTTTCTCCAGAACGTATCGATTCTGTGGGACCGCCGGATTTGTGAGCGATTACTGGCTTGCCTACGTACATCGCTTCCAAGGGTACTATCCCAAAGTGCTCATTTGGTGGGGTATATATCACAATTTTGCAATGATGAAGCAAAGAAATTTTGTCTACATCGGAGGGCGAACGCAAGAATATTACTTTATCCGTTACATGCAACTCATCCGCGAGTTCTATCAATTCCAGATGATATTCCACGTTCTCCTCGACTCTCTTATCGTATCCACCAGCCATAATCAAGTACACTCTCTTATATACTTCCTTTGTTAAAAGTTTCTCCAACTCGGCGAAAGCCTCTATGGCGAGAGACAGTTTTTTCTTACGTTCATACCTATTGATAGACAGTAATATAATACTATCATCCGGTAGTTTTCTATCGAGAACCCTCTCGATGGATACTATTCTCGTCTTGTTAAAAAAGTCGGTATTAATGGAAGGATACAAAATTTCTGGCTTGATTTTCAGTCTCCTGAACGTGTTCCTGAACACATCGTTTGTATAACAGCTATTTACAAATACTTTATGCGCCATGCCAGTCGTGATCTCTTCCAGATAATTTAGCGGCATACGATACAGTTGTTTGATACAGCCACCAGGAGAAGAGAGCAACTGGTCCGGATGATGACAATAAAACACTACATATGGAATACGCACGATAAGTATGGGTATACAGACGGATACTAGGTCGCAAAAGACAACTTCTGGCCGTTGATCGCAAAATATTATGTAGCTGGCTGCATATATCTGTAAAAATAAATATCACATGAGACGTGAGACGTCATTTCGACAATAGCTGCTAAACGAAAATACGTCGTTTTAATTGAGATTTTCTATGAAGCAGATTTTTCTCAATTTTCTTATTATCCCGACGCCGACGTGTTGACAGCTTCTTACCATGCGTATGTAAGCACAGAGCGCATAGAACCTGCCCAGAATGTGCCTGGGCAGCCACGTGCCCACGACGGTAACGGGAATCGTGCCATCCTTGGTCTCCGAGAAACAATGTTCCAGGTCATGGTGAGTTGTCACAAAATTCACATCGTGACCGTTCTTCTTCAGTGCCAGAGCGGCGTCGACGACGAGCCTCTCCGCGCCGCCGATACCGAGATCGGGATGTAGAAACGTGACGCGTGTCATCGTACTCACGAATAATCCGTTAAACTACCATCGTCATGTATTTATTGGAATGTACAAAATTACCGTGACGCAAATAACTGTATCGTTACATTTTACCGGTCACCACTGGTATTGAACTTTTTGCTAAGCGTCGACATGTAGCTGCATATAGCGTGAACAGACGATAGAGTCAAACAGAGAGAAGTCTGCAGGTGGTGCCTTTTCCTTTTCATATGCAGCATGCAGCATGCTGCAGTAGCAAATCAGTCACGTGATCAAGATTTAACCACATTTAACATAATAAATATATTTGTATATCTCTCACTCAATACCATTTTTTTTTTGTTATGACAAAACTATATGTATCCAGACAGGAATATTTTTTTATTAGGAATAATTATGGACTACTTATATGGCTCCTGGCGCTCCTGCACACGTGACACGGGACTGACGGGTGACGGGAGTGGGAGTGACGGGACACGGAAACGCTTGCCCGGCTTGCCGCGCGCCGCGCGGCAAGAGTTTCTGCTTCCGCGTCCCGTGTGCAAGAATCATAATGAAATGACCCAATCAGAATCTTGGATCATTTGTCTCTAGCTGCTTCTAGCAAAAATCTGGGAAATTTGTTTCTGTTGGAAATTTTTGGAGGATTTAGAATGATGTGGCAACCGTGGTTATCATTTCTCTGTTGTCTTCTAGGACTTCTAGTTCTAGTCAATTATGCGATGCGTGAATAGTGACGAGAGTAGTTAGGTACTTTTTTATTGTCAAATGATGAAAAGAAGATAATAAAAATGGTCGTTTCGTAAAACAGGTAACATTTTAGAACAAAAACATTTTTTAATATTTACTATGAAAATGTTTCCATTTATTTACTTGTTATATTTCTGTTTGCAACAGTTGGGACGTTTCGGACGCAACGAGGGCAAATATGTAAAATCTAGAAATAACATTTGCTGCATCCTCATTTTTTCATTCATCATTGCTGTACGCTTGAGAGCTGAGATTAAATAATATAAAGAAGATGAATTTTGGCGTTGATTGGGAGACTGAACATCGACGTATTTTGCTGGATGGAAATGCAGCGTTGGAACGTTCGGCGCAGTCGGTCGCCAGATCGCAAGCTGTTGCAGCGGAGAGTGAGCAGATTGGCACGGAAGTGATCTCCGAATTGGGTGAACAGAGAGATCGTCTTTTGCGAGCAAAACGGAGATTGTCACAAACGGACGAGGAATTGAATAAAACGCGAAAAATTTTGAATGTTATGCGATTGAAAGTTCTGACAAACAAAATTGTGCTAATCTTGATTATATTACTAGAATTAGTCATTCTTGGTATAATTGTATACTTGAAATTCTTTCATAAATAATCTGCCTATTATGTTAAGCTTATAGTAAAGCTGAGAAGGAATAATATTGTACATAACATATATATATATATACATTAATATACTATATATATTCATGATTAATAGAGCTATGGTTAAGCACACGTTCTGTAAAATTAAATAAATGTGTAAATTTTTAAGTAAGGTTTTCTACAAGTGGAATTTTTTTACAGCTATTGAAAAAATTCAATAACACAGGAAATTATTTTAAAATATATTACATTGTAATTGTAATTGAACACATAACGGCACATAGCGAGAAAACGGAATACGTCCGATCGAAATCCATTCACGTGCCAAGATTCTAATAATATAATCACGTGATAGTGAATTATAGAGCATTAGATATTAGATCACGGAGCAATATTGAATTATTTATTGCTCACTTCATATTCAATATACATTCCATTTTTTCATTAACCTGTCGTTACACACGAGCGAAAACAAATCCTTAAAAATGGTTATTCCGCACGACGACGAATATTATCAAAATAGGATCCCCGAGCCTGACTTGGGAGCGTTTCAAAATTTTTTGCGATTTGTTTGGAATCCAGAGAGGAAACAGTTGTTCGGCAGAAGTGGGAAGGAATGGGGTACGTATTGAGAGATGCACTTTTTTCAATTATTAGTCGTTGGTTGTAGACGTATCTTATTGTTCGCGTGAATAGCTTTGCTGGGCCTCTTCTACTTGTGTTTCTTCACCGTATTGGGTTCCTTGTTTGCGTTGCAAATGTGGATCAGTATCGAGTACGCTTCGAAACTAGAAAGACCGTTTCTCCTTTATAGTGGCTTGACGCCTAGATCTTACTTCGGCGTCACGTTTCCACTTTTTCGTCACGTAGATTTTGGTAGTCCAGGTAAATGTTTTTAATAACAAACCACGAAATGTTTCAATTTTTTGAATTTTGATGTATATTTGTGATATTTACGTGATATATTTTTTCTAAACAGGAATTGCTTTTAAACCGAATATTTTATTACCTACAAAATCTCCTATTATTTGGATAGATAACTCTAGTGCAAACGCTCGTCCGAAAAGATACGTGCAAGCCTTGAGCGACTTTTTGCAAGGTATGAACACCAGATAAAAACAAATAATATATATGTACAAGCCGTAATAAAAATAAAAATAGAAAGAAAAGTAACATTTTTTTTATTTCAGAGTACAATAAAAGTAAAGAGAATTATAAAACGGTTGCGGAATGCAGTGATGGGGTATCGATCGTATCCAGTATGAAACCTTGTTTTTTCGATATTGAAAGTCTTGGCGTTTGCGGACAACCTCCGTACGGATATACAGATCCATTGCAGCCATGTGTCCTCATTAAGTTTAATAAAGTAACGTATTATCTTGTTCCTGTGTATTTGCTAAGAAAGATATTCTCTTGATTAATTTTCGTTATTAGCTCAAATGTTTAAAAATTCTTTTATACATTAATTATATTGCAGAGATTTAATTGGGTACCACGTCCTTACAATAAATCGTCCCTATTACCAGAGAACATGCCACACACGTTGCAAGAAGCTGTGCACGTTTCAAACAAGGTTTGATTTTAAGTATTTAAACCTATCGTCTAAATATCTATCATATAGTCAATCTATCTATCGTAATAATTCTTATTTATTGATTGTGACTAAAGTTTACTGCATAAACATTATGTCTACATGTCTCGATAAATAATATTTTATTTTAATATACTTATACATATATATACAGGGTGTTTCAGGGTTAAATGTCCTAACTTAAAATATGAACTTAGAGGACCTCAAAACAAGAAAAAATTTTCCTCTGGAGGTATGCCCGTAAACGCTTTGTTTAAGAGATATTGACATCTAAACATTTTTATTAAAAAAATTTATAAAATTGTTATTAGGTTATAATAAATAATTTAATAGTGTACTTCAACTACTTTATTACTAGAAAATATGAAAATTTTTACATACGTATAAATTTTGTTCAAGTGAACATTGAGAGAGAGCTAGACAGGCTTGGCATTTTTCTATTACGGCAGTTGTGGCAGAGCGGCACTGCAGAGTAGCTGTTATTGTTTCACATGCTTGAATAATTCTTTGTTGTAAAGAATTAATGTCATTAACCGACCTTTCGTAGACTTTTTGTTTAATTAGTATCTCAAGTAAAAAATCCAACGGCATCAAATCTGGAGAGCGTGCAGGCCAAGCCACAGGTCCTGACATTAATTCTTTACAACGAAGAATTATTTAAGCATGTGAAACAATAACATCAGTGACGTCCTGCCACTGCTGCCGGGATAGAAAGATGCCAAGCCTATCTCAAAATGTTAAATTCAAGGCAGTCATTTTGAACATTTATACGTATGTAAAAATTTTCATATTTTCTAGTAATGAAGTAGTTGAAGCATACTATTAAATTATTTATTATAACCTGATAACAATTTCATAAAATTTTACAATGAAAATGTTTAAATGTCAATATCTTTTAAACAAAGCGTTTACGGGCATAATACCTCCAGAGGAAAATTTTTTCTTGTTTCGCGGTCCTAAGTTTGTGTTATAAGTTAGAACATTTAACCCTGAAACACTCTGGCTGTATATATAAATTGCAAGAATTTTCATGATTTTCTCATTTCTAACGTCATCAGTCCAAGATAGCTGTAATGAATGAATAAGATTCAATTAATTACTGAGAAAATCGCAAAATTGTAGAGAATTTTTTTAAAGTTTAATCCGTTTTACTGGTTCACGACGGGTGATATGGTTAACACTAGACATCTTGTGTATACGTACACTGCAATAATTTATTTTATAACAATTAAATAGTTCCAAATCTGGTTATGGTGCGACGGAGTAAGTAACGTTGATAAAGAGCACGTCGGAGAAATTGAGTATTTACCGAGTCCTGGTTTTCCTGTGCAATATTTTCCGTTTGTGGGACAACCAGATTATTTGGCACCGGTGGTCGCGCTACGTTTTAAAAATGTTACATGTAAACCACTACGATATGTATGATTCAGAAAATTATATTTTCTCAAGCGTTTTACAAATAGAAAATATCTAAGAAACTCATCTAAAATTCTAAAAGCTATTATTTTACAAATGTATTATTCATATACAGGGTGGTAGTTCAGTATATTCTAAAAGATTTTAAGAAGTAATTTCTCACACAAAAAGACGAAAACTTTATATGATTATACATATGTCCAAAACGGCTTAGTTTCAAAAATAAAGGGTGTCAAAGTTGAATTAAGGAACGTTATTTTTAAAAATTTCGAAAATTACTCGGGTTATTTTGATGAAACTTTGTATATGTTTGAAAGACATGAAAACTGATTTTTTGGGGCCATACATTAGTTTTTATTCAATTAGGGGCGGACTCAAGGATAAGCGAGTACTCTTTTTTTTTTTTACGAGAAAAAACTGATACGCTACTGATTTATTCAAGTTTGAGACTTTTTTATGATAAATGGAATAAAAGTCTATGTCCTATTTATCATAAGAAAGTTTCAAACTTAAAAAAATCAGTGATGTACGAGATTTTTTCGTAAAAAAGGATACCGGCTTATCCTTTTGGATCCGCCCTTAATTGAATAAAAAATAATGTGCGTTCCCAAAGGATCAGTCTTCATCTCCTTCAATCTACACAAAGTTTCATCAAAATAACGCGAGTGGTTTTAGAAATTTTTGGAAATAATGTAATTTTTCTTTCAACTTTGACATCTCATACTTTGACTCTAATTTTAAAACTAAACCGTTTCGGATGGTTATGGTTATGGTTATATGTATGTGGTTTTTGTCTTGAATTGTGTGAGGAATCACCCTTTAAAATCTTTTAGAGTACTTAACTACCTTTCAGTATATATTTAAATAATTCAATCAATTTCATGAACAGCTGTATAATAAATTGAAGTTGTATTGTCCACAAATTATTTTTATATACGGAGTGCTTTAAAAAAAGTAATGTTTTTTAGAGGAACAGAGTGATAACACAAGATATCACAATAACAAATGTATTTTGCCTTCAAAGGACTTTCACTTGTTCACCATCATTGTCAACACATTCTTGAAATCTTCTCCAGGTGGTCTCCAAAGCCTTGAGGCACATTTCTTTGGGTATTATATTGCAATCATATTTGCAATTTTCTGTCGGAGATCTTGCACACAGCAATGATGATGAACAAGTACAGACTTTTTGAAGACAAAATACGTTTATTATAATATAATATCTTGTGTTATCAGTTCTATTTCTTTAAAAAAGTTACTTCCGGAAGTGTGTTAAGGATATTCAGGCATTACGACTAAAATGATGAAAACTTTTTGAGTCCAAAAATAGATTCTGTAGATTTCATTATAAAAAAATTCTTTCAAAGTTTGAGGCTGTTTAGGAAGCTTGTTATTGAGAAAATTAAATAATAAAAATAAAATTACACGTAGTTTTATGGAAAATGGGGGAAAACATATTCAGTAAAAAATGATGAAAAAAATATGAAATTTTGCAAGCAGAACGAATAAGATTATATAATTATCTATATCAATTTTGCTTGCTCATAGAGGAAGCTTTGTTCTTAACTTTATTATGAGATTTGTTTTTTTTTTTTATTTAATAATGTTTTCGAAAAAAATTTGTTTGCCGTGATTTTTTTTATGTCATGTTGTCTCGACTCGCTCAATTACAGATGAGAAGATTGAAATAAGATCTGATTATGAATATTGGCCTATGAGTGACACGCATATATATAATACTATCGAATGTGCCATGCAATGTTGTCAAATTCAATAAGTGATTTAAATTAATTGAAACTGATTGTACACAAGCAACCTAACTTTTAGCAGGGAAAATATATCTGCACTTTCTGAACATCCTTAACATTTTTTTAAGCACTCTGTAGAATGAACGAATATTGTATCAATTTTATCAATATATAATGTTTTTAGCGTTTAGATTAGTGACGGTGGAATGCAGCTTATGGGCGCTTAATATTAACAAAGATGCACAGAACGCATTGGACTTCCAAATAATTCTGGGCGAATTATAAAAGGCGATAATTACGAATATTTGTGTACTTCGAACATTTATTAATGCAAATATAATAAGAAATTATGGATTACTTATTTTGGATTAAATATTTATTTTAAATTATATATAAATAATATTCTCGCCATTAATGATTCCTTTATTATGTATTATATGTTACATTAATACACGAAGATGTATTTTCCGGATTTTACCATTTTGTTTACAGAACATATAATCTGAAGTAGATGAAAAATGAAGGCAGCAATTAAATGTATGATAATATATTCTTATTAAACTTTCAAACTGCCGTGTATCCAGGTCTTTCTGAGATAGCAAAAATATAATGTTTAATGTTCGTCTCTCGTTGAGACGGCTAGTTGAAAGGCTAAATCGATTCTACCGACAGAATGGCAGCTCGAGACCACAGAGTACAGAGCTCCATTTACAGAATTTAATATTTTTATTAAAGTAAAGAATAAATATTTTTATTTTTATATATTATGTAAACGAGAAGAGGGCAGGATGAAGCTTTATTTATCGACAGACATATGGCTCAAACATCTGAGTGAATTGTGCTGGAATTTATTGCCTTTTTCGGATTCGCTGTTTCTTCTGGAATCAGCAATGTTCTCTGGAGCAAGAAGATGAAGACGGATGAAGAGGAAGAGAAAGAGAAAGACAGAGAGAAAGAGAAAATAGGAAACAAAATGATAAATGGAGAAATAAAAAGAGAAAGAGAGAGTGATAAAGAGAGATGAACAAGAAAAGATAGAGGAAGATTCGTAGAAAGAGAGAAAGAAAGAGAGAAATATAGACAAGAAAGATAGAGAGAGAGAGAGAGAGAGAGAGAAAATTAGAGAACAAAAAATAGCAAAAATGATAAAGATAGAGCGACGAAGAGATGTACAAAGAGAAAGAAAGAGAAATAGAATGAAACAGAAAAAGAATGAGAAATAGATATTTAGACTGAACAATATAGCACGTGCTACGTCCTTGTTATATTTTTGTCACTGAGTAAAAGAGTATGAAACGAGAAAGAAAAGAGGGGGACAGAAAATAGAAGAGAGGACGGGTTGAGTATAAAATATTTGTTCTCTTTTGAGGCAAATTTTGTGCGAATCTGACGTTAATACGAGGCTTCAACCGAGGAACATTCTTTTCTTGATGATATAACTTCAATTGGTCTTATTCCTCCTCTTCTTCGCCCGTGCCGGTCAACATGGCAATTAAGCTCGGGGTATCAATGAAACCTTTATCATCGATGTACATCTGATCGAATGCGTCATTCACCTCTTTTGGTGTGAATTTGTCGCCCCATGTCATTAATGCGTGCCTTAATCTATATAACAAACGTAAAAATTGTCTTATATATTTTTTCTATATGCAAGCACGAGTATTATATATTTATATCGTATATATTTCGTTTTATATAATATATTCTAATGAAAAAATAAACATGTTGTTTTAAAGCTAATTGTGTTTAAAATTTGTCAAAGGAATTAAAAAGCATCTTTCAGTATCTATTATTGAATAAAATAATATTTAACAGCCAACAAATTTAAAGAAATAATTATAAACTAATGAAAATTATACCAAGAAAATTATGTGTACATATTTATAAATACATATAGAAGATAAAGAGAATTAATAGAAAAGCTTTATCCTTCGAAGTTGTAGGACTTTTAGGCATTATTAATTTTAGCACGTGGCAGATTAGCACATGGCAAATAGATTAATTATATTGCAGATTAGCCCATTATGGGCACAGAAACGACATTGTGCATATATTTGTGTATTTTGAATTTTTGGCGGTATTTAATATGAATTGGAAATTATATATATATACTATACCTTTCGCCATCGATTTTGCCGTTCTCATCGAATGTCTTGAAGGCATTAATTACAACATCATCGTCGTCAGCACCTGGTGAGGAAAAATATATTAAATTTTTAAAACCCAACATCCGTCGGTTGCTTTGCCAATTAATAAATTATGCGTACCTGATCCTGACATACGAACAGCGAACAAATTCAACAATTGAGTGAAGTTGATAGGCGCTGGAGCTTCGTTAAGCATTTCTTCGATCTCTTTATCGGTCGCCAATCGGCCGACGGAGTCGAAGGCTGCGCGAAGATCATTCTTACCAATGATACCGTCCTTATCTGCGTCCATTAGCTGGAATGCCTGCAAACGCAACAGCGGTGATGCAGCGGTGATTAACAGTTTTTATAAATATCAAAAATTATTAATTTAATTAAGTAATTTATTTTATATTTATTGGTTTGCGAAGTGTTCGCAAGGCTAATATACTGAAGACTGTTTCCACTCTGATATAATTAGACTCCTCGATTCTTAACTCTTAGTGCCCTTTAACAATAGGTGTTTTAAGCTCTAAGACTTATGCTTTATGCTCTAAACGTATTTCCGGCTTTGAGCGTTCCTCGCGCTGCTCTAAGCTCCTCTCCTAAGCTCTATAAGCCCGAAGCGAGTTGGCCAACTCCCATCTTTAAAAGCTTAGGGCTTGAGGCTTAGAACCTATGTAATTTCTCTCTAAAACAAAGACTATGGGCTTAAAGCATCTATTGTAGATGGGGACTTATTACCTTTAAGGCCTAAACAAGTTTCGCGTATACATGTTTCGTTTTTCGCTCGTTTTCTGTTCTAATATGATTGTAGTTACGTAACAAACGTGTAGTAATAAATCATAAATCCAGAATTGCAGTTTACAGAGGAATATAGTTATATCAGAATAATGGAAGCGCTAGAGTGGAAAGATCCAAAATAGAGGGAAGTTCGGAATGGAATTAGGATTGTATGTGAAATTAGCTTTTTTAGACCTATACCTCCTTAAATTCGGCCACTTGTTTCTGGGAAAACATAGAGAAAACACTGGATCCGCTGCGCTTAGCCTTGCGACTGCCACGGCTGCTTGCTCTGGCGGAACCAGAATCCTTTGGGGTTCCTGTAGGAGTTGGTGCTTTCTCTTCAACTGGCGCTGGTTCGGGCTCGGGTGCTGGCGCCTCCTCCTTCTTCTTAGTCTTCTTCTTCTTCTCCTTATCCGCCTAGGAAATAAAATACGGCAATATTTTATTGTAACATCTTTCAGAAACTTTTTATTATTACTGGAAAGAACTATCACTGCATGATTACAAAAGATATCTAATAGTTTTATTTTATAAAATATCTAAAATAAAATATTTGACTAATAAAAAAAGTGATTACTATAATTTATGATAAGCGTTTTTTCTTTGAAAATTTTTGAATAATTTATATAAACAATTGAATTGTTTCAAATATGATTTAAAACTAAAAAATTCTTATGGCTTTTGCCTGCTCGCCGCTTCTATTCTTGTTTGATGATGTCAGAAGCAAGAAATCGCATACCAAAAATTCTTGCGATATAATTTGAAATAAAAGATATATCCATAAAACGAAATTGTAATCGATTCAGCACATTTGTAAAATATACCGAGTACTTTCCTTTTGTTCAAATAATCAATAAATAGCTGTAAAATAGAAAATGAAAGAAGATAGGCTAAAAAGGTAGATTGCATGTCACGTTAATTTTACGGCTTTTTAGTGATTATTAAAGCCAAAGGAAAGTGTTGTATATTTTATAAATGTGCTGAATCAATGACAATTGATTTATGGATATATCGTTTTATTTCAACGTAAAACCGCAAGAATTTTTGGCATGTGATTTCTCGCTTCTGATGTCATTAAACAAAGATAGAAGCGGCGGGTAGGCAGAAGCCTTAAGTTTTGAAAAATCTTAAAATTTTTCATATTTTTAAACATTTGAAAGCCTTGAATATCGCACAGATTTTTCTTTAGAAGTGCTTAAATATCTGAAACATTTAACATAAAAAAAAATAAATTTTGTCTATTTTTATGTTTATGTATAAAATAAAGAGCGAATAAATAATATAAAATAATAACATAAAGTATTGTATCATAAAAAAGATACATCTTTAAAATATTTAGGTCACTCATAAAATTCTTGGTTTTCATTACATTCGAAGTGATTCGATGGGCTCGTTATTGTTAACTTCAATAATTCAAGACTTTTGTTTAAAAGTTTGAAAGGCGTGCGAAAACAGTGAAAATAAGAAAAATTATTTTTTTTAACTGTTAAATTTAATCAACTTTATCAAATAAGTATACATTAATAAACGACGTGTACGAATGACTAAATAAAGAAAAGAAATTGAAGTAAAAACGATTATTATACATAATTAATAAAAATATATTCCATATTCTACAATACACATTATATTGTAAATTGTTTTTGTTTCTTTTTATCTGAAAATTTTGCACAAATATTTTCATGATAGATTTACGGGTAGAATAAAAAATGCATATGTTTTCTTTATATTGAGAATCGATAAATAAACTAAACTAAAATGTAAGAATTAATTTGTTGATGTATAATTATGTTGATTGGTCCCTAATAATTAAATGAAATCGAAAAGGCTAGTCCAATTATCGCATGAGAAAATTTACCGGGCGCTGCCGGTTGGTGCTAAGAATAGAATCGTACGGAAAAGCTGCCAGGACGTATATAGAGCGATCATCCAGTTATCGCATTGCCTCTCGTATTACCATTCTTACATAATTATTCGTACTGTCATAATTATCGCAATGAAGTTACATTAACGTCGAACACATACACATTTCATGTTATTAGTCAAATAAATATATAATAATATTTTCGCACGAAACAAATGTTGCATCTTTCATTATTTTATCTTCATATAAACTATACATGCCTTGCGTAACGTGTTTACCGAAAATATTTATTTTTGTTTTCATCCAATTTTAAATATATATAAAAGAGGAAAAATGTCTGAGAATTTTTATAAAAGTTTTAAGGCTTTCAGAATTTTGAGACTTTTTTAAATTTTTTTTTTTATACAAATTGGAACGTTTACCCAGAAAAACTCAGGCAACATAATAATGAATTATTTTAGATTTATCCCGACAATACATTTTTGTAGAAATCTGAATAAATATAAAAAAATCTGCGCAATTTATTAAAAATTTTCATACAACATAGTGTTGAAATATTCCGAAAATCCTCAATTCAATTATTTCTGAAAGTATCTGAGAAATTTGACACATTTTTTTAGAATTTTTCATAAATTTAAGATATGAGGAATTCTTAGTAAATTTCCGAGAAAATATGAGAATTTTTTTTACCAGGGACGTTCGATTATTTTTGCTACTTTACAATAATTTAGTATTACGACAGAAAAAGGTACATAAGTTTCAGCGAGAAAGTGACGATTTTGCATATTTAATTAGGATCTGCGCATTAAAATTTCGAGTGATTTGCTATCAAAGGTCTGGTGAAGATCACTGCCTCGCTTCGTCACGTAATTCTCCAATGGCAATACTTATAATCCTCTCATCCATCTCGTCTGACTGATTAACTGATCGTCGTCACTCGGTATATATCGTTTCACGCACTGCGCGTAATCCATCTTCGTGAAATGCACTCGTATTCGCGATTTAGCGGTGTTCCTGTATTTCGTAGATCACATAGATATAAATCTGGCTCTTCGCGTTCCTCCGGATCCGGTAAGATCCTCGCGTGGTTCTCGAACAGCCGGGAGAGAGTCGGTGTCGATTCGTGTCGAGGAATTTCTCGACGCCTTACCGACGTACTTACCATGTCTACAGGTCGATTTCTAAAGTGGTGGACAATACGAGATGGTCACGACGAACCAACTGTCCGAATTATAGAGCCGAACTTGTCTAAGTAACTTCTGCGGATCTCCCCCACCAGCGGGCTGGAGGTTGTCCGAGCCGGGGTGCCCTGCCCCGGGTATAACGTCTATCTGACCATATTTAGTGCGAGTCGCCTCAAAATAGCGACCCTTTCGACGTTTCGACTAAAACAGTTCGCCAGGGAGTGTAGAACTCTGACGGTCGTCGTCTCGACGAAGACGACATCCCGTTCTCAGCGCCGGCCGGGATCTCCCCGACCGATCGTGAGTCGATTGATCCAGCCGTTCCAAAGACGAGTCGCACTTGGACCAAAGTATAATCGCCGGGACGATCTTTTCTTTGTACAAAACCTGCGTGACAAACCAAGAAATCGTGTCGCTTTTAATTATATTAACGAATTCATTTTATCTATAATTTATATCGAGAAGAATCGCGGCACGTTTGAAAAAGAAAGATCTCGAGTGTACATCGCTCAAAATATTCCTTACAAATGTAATTTGATAAAAACTAGGACACCCTATTTCTCGTCTCATTTATTTATAATGACGATTTCTCATAAAGCGATCCGCGGTATACCAAACGCATTATTATTCCTGACCGAGCTTTCGATTTGTAGCATGATATCTCAAGCACGTGGATACTAAAAATAGCTGTCCGATATATTCAAGAATGCACATGTGTTCCCGCATATATCGCTCGTTTGCTACACAATGACATAACTCAGAAAAGAAAATTTTCCAGAAAATATTCAAATGTTTTGAATTAAAATTTTGTAACATCGTTTTCAATGTTGCAACACGTTTCTGTAATGTGACTGCAAACATCTGTGCTGGGTGTATAATTTAACAGACTTTATTAAAGAAAACATTTAACATATGTTTAAATAAAATACATTTCTATCATATTTTTATACGATTTATTTCTTTTTTGTAAAAATTTTACAAATAAAATTATTATTATGGACTAATATTGTGTGTGTGTGTGTGTGTGTGTGGGGGGGGGGGGGGGGGGGTTTGTGTATGTATGTGAATTATATTATCCTACTTACTATTACTAAAAGTATTATAAATATATCCGCTAACAACGAGATAGACGCGCTACGACGGACGTTGAAGTCTGTAACAAACATTGATCGTAACATTAATGTTAGAAAATTATTGTTGTTTAATTTATCGTTATATTTTATACTTATTACATAAATTAAATAAAATTACTTTTGTCATCCGGATCGCGCACGCCACACTGTCGATGTCCTAATGTACTTTTTCTTTTTGTTGGTATGTACCCGGGAATGTATAAGCTGGGAGTTTCGAGTTTGCCAATGGATATAAGCTTACTAAAGTCTTGCTCCAATTTATTGGCAATTGGTCCTGAAGACACAAAGTCATGAAATAAAAGTATAATTAATTAAAGGGACACTATCCGAGTGTTCGATACCGATTTGTTTCTCCTTGAAATACTATTTTATTAAGCATCAAATATTGAAATATTTACCTTTGAAATGCAAAAGAAATTGAATGCATGCGCCATTATGTAATATTTTGGTCTTTCTGCCGTCAATAGATAACATCCACTCAGGAATACCCATCACTTTTCTTACATCCTCTAAGAATTGCGCCCTGTAAAAACGAGAAATTTATTCTATTTATAGAATACATTTTTATTTCATTTTTTTTTTACTTTTTTCACGCAAATTCGAAGTCATATAAAACGGACTTGAATGAAATCAAAGCATAAAAACTTAATATGCCTGAGTTGCATTTAATCAAGTCAAATTATCAAATTATATAATATAATACAAAACATTTCCTACAAATAGATAAGAGAGGAACATTAATTAAGAGAGCATACCAAGGCCGAAAAATAGAGTTGTTTTTAGCATGTATAGTTGTTAATAATTTACTTTAAAACTTCAATTCGGTATGAAATTAAAGTATACATTTTAAACACTAGATTTAAAAGAAATCAATCAAAATCTTAATTTTTGGCTGAAATATTAATAAAAAACACAATCTGTTGTAAAACTTTTCTTCACGGTTATTAAAACTATTACTTCATTTCTAGGCACCTAAAACAAATGATTTTGGAGTCATTAAGTCGATCTAAAGTTGAAATTACGATTTTTCAGTAAAAATTGCGTTCTTTCTTTTTTTACTTGCATAAAATAAAAATAGGTCAAAATATATAGGTATATATATATAAAAAAAACACTATTGGACGTTAAAAAGTACCTTTTAAAGGTAATCGATTAAGTAATTTTGAAGAAATCGTGTCAATCAGGTAAAAAAGTGATCCCGAAAAACAACACATTTGAAGTTTTAAGAAGCTTAATTTATACGAAATCAACTCTTTGACTATGAGTAGTTTTATATAAATGTTAAAAAATATCTGCCGGAATCAAAGTTCGATTACAAAAACAAGATCTTAGAATCAGTTAGTATTTAGTTAATACAGGTCGACGCAGATCAAAAGATTCCATCTCAATAATTCGTGGCGTTTCGCCTATCGAGCGGCGTATTCAAGCGACCTGACGTACATACGTTTGATAACTTCGTTATTTTTATCTCAAATCAAAGTAAAACTCTAGAAATATATTCTTCAATAGCTAAATATTCAGATAAAATTAAAAATAATTGATTTTTTTGGGACTCATAATGTTCTCCCTAATGTTCTCTCTTAATAATACGTCATACAATCACGCAGTCTATCTCCCTTCTTATGTTAGACACTATATTGCGTATCATTCATTTGATACACACACGCGCACACAATATTTAATGTTATCTCATAAGATAGATAGCCTATAGCTTACACCACAAATCGCGGTGGTTTCCTGATATTAGCATATTTTACGATATCATTATCGGGTTCAACATTTGCGCAAGCGAATCTGTTGCCGCCAAAATCCTTATCAAAAATGATGATAGATTTGCCCATTGCAGATACCGGCCCACCCAGAGGAAAATTGGAATCTGTAAATATTTGCCGCTTTTCTCCAATATTAATGGATCCTAGACGAGACGATATATCGCCAACGTAACATCTAAGTGGCAAATCTGGACCACATTCTTCTCTATAAAGATCATCCTAAGAAACGATATAATAATTATTTTGACGAACGCATTTTTTTATCTTAACTCTAATTAATGTTTGTTAAAAAGTTCTCTTGAGTAAACTAAAGAATAGACTCAATTAAGAAATGAATAATATTTACGTTTAATGGATCGGCTAGTTGTGTGAAATAAGGATTCCATGTATATCCCGCTGCTACGCATCGAGTGTCCTTCACTTTCACTGCAGCATCTACACCAACAGGATTTACGTATATCGCCCAATTGTGATTTCTAGTCTAAAATTAAACGCCTAATTAATATAATATACGTTAGACACACACATCGCGCGCGCGCGCGGATAAAGTATCAGATTATAATTTTCTTACGATATTACGATCGTGCTTTCCAGGATGTCGTAAATTAACTTCGATTATCGTCTCACTTTGGCTACCATCTTTATAAACAAGCTGCGTCTGCACGTGTACATTTTGTTTCAAAAAATCATACTTGTAAAATTTTTATGTGAAATTTTCAACTGACATATATTACCATTTTTATATAACCGTACACAAAACCTTGTGGATGGTGGAACGACGCTATGGCACGTAACTCACTGGCATCGGCTGGAGAATATCCTCTCTCTATAGTAGAGCACGCCCATCTAAACGCAGAGATGAGCTATCAATACTATACATTTATACAAAATTTGATATGATTTGCATCATATTTTTTTCTCAAACTATAATACTAACTTTTATATTTTTTAAACTATGATAACTTTTATTTGAATTATTTCACATGTTCAAAATTTTTTTCATTTTTAACGTATTTGGAAATCTCATAATCTTTCTGCACTCTGTAAATTTTACTATAAAACGTAATTACCTTAAATTTTTTTCTTTCTTATGAATCACTACACTACGTCCAAGTATGCTTCTTGGGCCAAACAGAGGTAGCGTTGTATCGTTGTATGCTATTATATATCTCTTTTTGTTATCCAAGGTGCCGAATTTTCCGCTCAGATCACCCATCTCGTATTGATCCAGCGTACCTTCCTCTGCTGCTGGTACATCGATCGTATTGATACCTAATGGATTCCAGTGTCCGTAGAGTGATGTTCCCTCGCATGGAAATTCTAAATCGTATTCTACAGACGTCTGTAAATATTGTGCATAGTAATAATTACATTAGTATATGTATGAAATATATAGACCATATCTATATAATATATATAAATAAGTGCATTCTGAACTCAAAAATATGCATTATTATTTAAGGACCTTTTTCAAACAACCCTTGTAGATGTGTGTTTGTGTTTGTGTGTGTGTGTAATATATATATATATATATAATTTTGGATATGTGCAGGACGCATAAAATCTTTATATATACGTGACAATTTATATATAGTTATAAAATTAATATTACCATATGTATGTGATATCCGCTCATTTTTCCATCAAGACCTTCGAGAGATACTTCCACGTTGGTGATATCGTATTCAGTCTGTTGCAGCAACTCCAATTTTCCTCTCAAAGATATTTGTTCACCATTACCGAACCAATCTCTGATGACTGCTTTACGCCGATAAACGCCACCAATACTAAAAATATAATTATACCGTTACTATAAAAAATTTAGCTTAATCTAATTTAATTTACTGTATACATTTATTATGCTATTACATGGAACAGGCTAATCGATCTCCCCTCGCAACTGGACCGTGATCATCATAAATAACTAAGCTTTTGCCGAACAATGCGTGAGGTCCTGATAAAGATAACATCGTATCTGTAAAAAGTTTTCGAGTCAATTTTGAGGCGTTAACCTTTCTACCGGCAATTTCGAGTGTTCCATGTCTCGTTAAGTCACCCAAGCGACACAACGAAGCTTCTGCAGCGAAACATGAGCTATTCGGCTTCGAGTTCACCTGAAGTATTATAGTTCTATGTATGAATAAACAGATTATACAAATAATATAAATATATACTAAACATGCGCTAGAAAATAATGCGAAATAATTAAGAATTAGCTATTTCGAGAAAGAAGATTTTATATATAACTGGATTTTTAGAAAATATACTCTTATACCGACACATTTTGCTACCAAAAAAGAGGCATCTTGCAATTTTTGGAATAAATCATATTTTCTTTACAGATATAACAATTTTATTGGAAATATCGATATTTTTTTATAAACATAACATACATATTACTTGAATAGAGTTTAAAATAAAAACAAAAATAAACGTGCACATATGTATATAGTGTTAAAAAATAAAGTTGATTAGAGTGTCTTCGCAAAAAAGAATAATTAGTTAAAAGAATGCCAAGATTATGTCAAATCGAAGTTAAATTGAAGAAAGTAGAATTTTTTTGCGAAAAGAAAGTTTAGGAAATCAACTTTATTTACTAATATTGTATAAAATATTGTATATTATATTGTTTAAATTATAAATATTATTTCAAAAAGAGTGTATGTTCATAGATAAATATCGATATCAATTTTCAATAAAATATAATTCTATTTGCAAAGAATTATCGTGTTATTCAAAAATTATAAAATGCTTTAAAGGTTTAAACTGTAACTGTAATTGAAGTGTACGTAATTGCTCTGCTTATCTATTAGCGCTTTCAGGAAGCATTTCATAATTTCATAATTTTTAATATTTTAAATGTTTGAATCAGAAAATTTTATTTAATTTTGATTACCATATATGGATTGTAAGGCGATCCAGCGCTCAGACATCGATTTGTCCAGTTGTAAAAATCTTTCCCCGGTGGATTTTCATGTATCATCCATCTAAATGATAAATTGCAAATACCTCCTTTATAGGTACAATAGTAAAATTATTTGTCAATTTTAAAAAGCAATATTTACCTATGGTCCGCAGTATTATTTATTGCATTGCCATCTGCATGAACAAGATGTTCTATTATTATAATAGTGTCCATTTCAGGATCTTCTCTAGGCTGTCGGAAAAGTATTCGACCAACGATGGGATATCTGAATACCACTTCTGCTGTGTACATCGGCGTTTGCCAATCGGTATACGGTGTATAAAGCGTGAATGTGCTACACACCCATGGAATCATACCTGTGTTATCAATCTCATTGTATCTGATAAGGAAATATTTTTTACATTATTTAAATGCGTTATGAAAGAACTCTCGTAATATATATAAAAATTATACTGCGAATTTTTCTAATGTTGCAAATATTATGTTTCTTTTTTAGGAGAGTAGACCTCTCTATAGAAAGATATAAGACCACAACAGAACGTGTATTTGTTTTGTCAAAAAAGTATTTCAAGCATATGTATCTAATTTTGCATAATGCATATATTTGCATATTCTACGTATATTTGTATATTTTGTGCATTTTTTTTAAATTAAATGCGCGCGCGCGAACGCTATTGTACGTAATGTAAATCTTCCCAAAATTCTGTGTAATTTTTATATGGAAATATTAAAAAAAAAAAAAAAAAAAAACAACTAAAATAATTGAAGTAATACATTTTAAATGATTCGTCCTGTTATAATTTCACGATGCGTATTATAATATAATTAATTACTTGTAAAGAACTAAAGATCTGTGAACAATACTGTGGATCCCAGAGAGTGGTAAATATGTATCCCAATAAATTCCACTGAGTTTAGCACTCCCAGGTAGAATATCGTTATGATACGATCCTTCCTTTCGGTCCTGAAGCTTTCCAGATAGATCCCCAATAGCATATTGATCCTGAGTACCAAAACCTATACGATTCAATTACGAAGTAATAAGAATATCATAATTAATTTAAGTCTTTTTCTATTAATTACAATTACCTGCTGGTGGAGTAGTCGCTTCAACGATATTCAAAGGATTGAACAACTTTTTAGTAGTTAAACACGGATCAACAATATTTCCAACATATTTCGCCGGTACTGGTGGTAATTCGTGGATCCTATAAGATGCCACTTTAGTGGCGTACCGTAATCTAGTTTCCAAATCATTTATTGTCGTTAATGAGATATTGATCCACGTTGGGTTGAACGGAGTTTCTTGAATCGCCGTAACTTGGCCTCGGATGCCACGTGAATTAATTACAGCCCTGAACATTTATTAAAAATTATTATTTTAAGAAATCTTGTTTTCTTGTAACGATCACATTGTATATATACATTATAGATTTACATATATTATATATTTTCTGCTAATCTTTCATTAATTTATATAAACTTATTTTTCTCAATCAATATTACGCGACATTTGCACGAAATCAATAGTTTAATGATGAATAATTACGCGCGGCTCTTACTTTGTATATACCGGTTTACGATGATTGATTTTTGCACAGGCTAAAAACGAATCCTCATGCATGGGGTGAAAGATAACTAAGTATAAGTGACGATGTGGACCAAGCAGATCCGCCGGCAGTAAAGACAGTTCCGAATCTCTGTAGAAAGTTTTATACTTGTCTTGCGTATTAATAGCAACCTTTATTTTGCCCAAACGTACGTCAACATCTCCAATAGATTTTCCAACGCCAGAATTATTAGGATCAAATACATTTTGAAGTATATTACAGTTATTTTTATCTAAAAACATGCAAACATTTCAAGTATAACTACAATTAACTATTAAATAATAAATAATTTTAATAGCTTATCTTTTGAAGTCAGTGTGTGTCATCAAAAAAATTATTTGATTAATAAGGATTATAAAAGTAAATGTAAAATTTTACACACACAGTTGCGGATACCTTTGCCAATTTCCAAGATATCGGTAACGTATATTTTCCAATGATGCTCGGTGTAGTTTAGCGACTGTAATTTCTGCTTGTGGATGTGATGTAAATCCGTGTGGATAATTGTATTGGTATCATCGCCCATTTGACTACCCAACCATCGAAACAAAACTGTTCCAGCAACAGGACCATAAAAACGCGCCTGGGCGAATTTCTCAATATTCCTTTCAAGAACCTGAACGAAAAGAAAAAAGTTTGCTGTTAATAATATACATATATAAATTATCCTATTATTAATTATTAAAATTCGAAATATTAAAAAAATATAATTTTTAATTAATCGGCTTAGAACAATTTGTATAATACTTTTACGTTATTATTTTTACGTTCGTATTTTCCATTCTTGATTATACGATTCCTTATATATATATACATATATATATATAATATATGTGTACGTAGTAAATTACCGTAATGGAAGCGCATATTGTTCTTGGCGAATAATTATCTTTCAGTACTAAACTCTTCCCCCACAAACCTATTTCTCCGGTTAGAAATAAGTCTGCGACTTCTATCGAACCTGTTTGATTTGTTGGCAATTCAAGAGGTCCAACTTTTTCTGTCAAGTCGATAATACTGTAAATAAAATGAAATATAACAATAAGAAAAATAATAATGATTATTTAATTATTAGATATATTATTATTATATTATATTAATAGTATTATTGTTATATATAATAAATAATTCCAATTTTAAATAAAAATGTTCAAACTTATAAGAATTTAATTGTTAAGAAACCGGTAACGGGATGTTTATTATAAAACTATATATATTTGTGTATTGCATATACATATATATAACCTTTGCCCGACATGTCGTTCGTCGCATCTGCCATCGATAATTGTGTAGTCGACTGGAAATTGAGTGACTGACCACAGCCATTGCTGATCCGGATATTGCAAAGTTGGCTTTAGAGAATATCGTATTCGCACCGAAGATTCTGTGGTTCTTTCGAATCGAATTTCTCCGTGAAGACCGCCAGAAGATATATATGCAGCGAGTCTAAGCGAACTCGCGACGGTTGCTAAAAAACACTTTTTAATTTAATATCATTTTATCAGCCAATGTTCCATCAATGTTTTGCGAAAAGAATTTATTGTTTTCTTTGAACATTTAGAATTTGTAGATGTTTAAGAACCGAGAAAATTATTTTTCAGAATTTTAATTATTTTATATAATGTGTTGCGCTATATAAGAATTAAAAATTCTCCTATAATTGTAAGATCTTAAGGTGTATGTTGAGTTAGCACATCTTGTAAAATTTTTAGAAATAAAGTCTTGTAAAATAATAGAGAATCGGTGTTTTCTTGTGTTTATTTAAGTTTCGTGTTTAAAAATCGCGATGTAATAATTGTTTTTTTTTTTTAAATTATTATTTTGAATATAAATGATTAATAATCTTTTATTTAAAGAGTTTTGTTTTTAGACAGAGCGTTTTTAGGGCTAATACAATTCAAATTTATACAGGGTTTTATCTAAGTATAAGTATACACAAACTTGAAGAGGATATTCCCTGACTTATTTTAAGAAGAAAAAGTCCTATAATATAAACATGTGTCCAGATATTTGTAATCTCAATTTGTAGTAGTATTTAATGGAATGTTACGGAACTCCAAAGACGCGTTCTCACTCACTGCAACAGAGTAACACGAGCCACCGCATCTCTCTCGGCGAACATGGAGGAACGTATAAAGTTCTTTTCTTTCCAACTTTATTAATCGCGACCCGGATAAACCCGAAAATTATTAACATGCGTTGTAATCCATACGGTCGTACAAAATTGTGGCTCGTCGATGAGACGACTGGCTATAGACTGGCTAAAGTAACGGCTTGTACTTTCTTATTTCTTGTGACAGAACTGGTGGGAGTACGGAGCGGAAGAGAACGATGACCTCAATAAAAATGAAAGTATAGCTGTGTGTTTGCTGCACTTAACAGTTTTAAACAAATATTTCTCTTGGCGGGAAATCGAAATTGAAACTTAATTAATTATTCAAATGTTAAATAAGGAGTTATGAGAGCCAACGCAAGATTTTCGTGCTTTCTCTTTTATCTAGGGGTTTGCCTTAAAATTTACAAAATTACGAACATTTCGATACCTACCATTGCCATTGGATCACCTTCAGTGTTAGTCAGCATTCTACGTCATTTACATTTCCCTCGCTGTTATTGTCAGTATTGAGATGTTTTTCGCATTTCAACTTGTATCGTCTATTTTCTTCAAATTAGTGTCGCCAGTTAATTATTATATCTAAAATTACGTGCAATCACGTCGTAGAATTTATAGAGTGTTCTTGATATTAAAAAACTGATTTATATATAGTACGTATTAAACAGTCGTAATTGTATCAAAGAAATAAATATGTAAATAAGATAAATAAACAAAACAAATTAATAAACGGCGATAAGAGTCAGGCGCGATACGTGGTGCGCAAGTAAAGAAATTAATATAGTTACAAAAGTAACGAATTACAGTGTATATAAAATATAGGGGAGACCGGGGCAAACTTAACACTAAGTTTTTTACCAATTTAAATCTATCGCAGAAATTTGCCTTTCTTACTGTAAAGGCGTCTTTATGTGCCAGTATTATTAACGGAATTCGATGACATTCTGAGTTATGGTGTAATTTCTAGCGTGACATAAACGTTTTTGATGGTAAAAAGTAATTTTTCTGATCTCTCAAAAATTTCAACTTTATTATCGAGATTTACGCTTGCGAATCTACCGGTAATAAGTGATTTTGATGGAAATTTCGATGCTCTATACAAATCCAATAATAGTTTTTGCATATTTTCTGACAATTTTATAGTCATTTTTTTGATATACATCGTTTATATTTAATATCTTCTGACAAGCTTGCAAGTTTTACAGTTACGAGCAGATATCACTTTGACTCGGACGTCGTAGACCCACGTACATGCACCTTAAGGGTTAATTAGCATATTTTAATAAGCATATTCTCGCCTTGTATAATAAGTCCGAAAAAATGTTTCATTAATAATTATATATATGAAATATATCCATATATTTTTTTCTCAAATTACCCACTTTTTCTTATTTAATTCTTGATAACTTTTGATAAAAAAAATCTAAATTAAATTCTAAAAGGGTTTTGTAGAGAAAACTTCAGGATTTAACATAAAAAAGTAAAAAAAAAATTTTTTTGTTTCCATGTTCTTTTGTGCACGTGACATGCCCACAAAGTAATAAGAAAATTTCCCATTTTATTGAGCTTATCGTTTTCTGTACATTAAAATTACGATAGGTAATTGTAGAAAGTGAAAAACAGCTACAACCGTTTTCGAAAGTAGAGATTTCAAGCTTTAAAACTTTTTTTTTAGATTTGGTTTCTTAAATGATGTGTAGGGTAACTCCGGTATATACGTCGCGCGGGGTTTTACGCCGCAGATGTAAGAAAAAAATAGAAGGAAAATGAATGTACTTGCTCGCACGTACTCTGTTATGTACCTTTATGCCATATTTATAGTATTATGTTGTAATTTCAGTTCTTTACTGTTAATATTAACGAAACTGTCGTGAGTTGAATCGATTTCTCACCGTAGTAAAAAGCGCGATTTTGTGTTATGACCTATATACGTAAAATGATTAGGGAATGTAAAAGGTTTAATGTGGTTATTTCATGATACACAAGTGTAGAGGAGGATATAGTAAATGATGGAATACAGCAAAATACTATAAGTGCATAGCTCTTGTATTTTTTGTTTAACTTAATATCTTGTGTATCCCTCTTGTTTAGAATATACAGTAAAGTTTAGCATGCGGAATTTATGCCATATAGTACAGACACTTTGTAAAACTCTTTTTATATAGAAACTCGAAAATTCTATTTTGACCATTTTTCCAAAAAATCGCTCTTAGCAGCTTGAAGGCGATGCTGCTGATTACGAATATCATAGTTAAAGTGCGATTTTCTCAATATTTTGTCCGTAATATGGATTTTACGATTCTAGTTAGAAATGTTCGTAAGGTTTCGACCTCGCGCGTTGCTCGATTCGGCCGTCTGTAACCGTAGAAGTAAGAATTGGTAAAGCAGGGCACACACACCTTTCGTAGAACGTAACAGTAAGGTTCCGACCAATCATGTTGCTCGATTCTTACTTCTACGGTTATAGACGGCCGAATTGAGCAACGCGATTGGTCGAAACCCTACTGTTACGTTCTACGAAAAGTGTGTGTGGCCAGCTTAAAGCGGGGAGCACACACTTCTGCAAAACGCATAATGCGTAAGCATAAGAAAACTGATTGGTCTATTTCCTTATGCACATGTGTATGGACCAATCAATTTTCTTATGCTTACGCATTATGCGTTGTGCAGAAGTGTGTGCTCCCCGCTTAAGAATCGAGCAACGCGAAACGCGATTGGTCGAAACGTTGTACAAAAAGTGTGTGTGCCCTGCTTTAGGGCTTAAAACATCTATTGTAGACGGGCACTAAACTTTCTACAAAACTTGAGGATTTGGAAGATTTGGAGGTTATCTTGGGTTTGCTATAGTCTTGAATAGTCGCGAAATGATTTCTGCTTTAGCCTTACATAGAGTTGCAACAACGTTTGTTGCTAACAAAATCAGCAAATCGTATTTTCATACTATAAGTAAAAGTTCCTCCGACAACTCTGTAGAAATTAATGTAGCAGTGGAAGATGATATGGTAAGAGAACGCGCATTCTGAAATGTATTGACAGTACTGAAAATCTTTAACATATGTATAATATAACATTAACTACAGATTTTTAGTACTCATTACTCAGTATATTTTGAAACAATGCGAACCATAAATCAAAGTAAATCATTATTTTGTGTATTTATAAATAGGGTACGTATGAAGGAAAGAGGCTTCTCCGCCGATTTGGCTGAAACTTGACACGTTTGTGTATTTTGGTGCGTAAAACATGCATCTATAAGTTAAACGTGTCGTTCTCAATTAGGAAAAAAGTTATTAAGTACTAAAGTTGACAGTTGCGTGGTGTTGGGATGTCGGTCATTTATTATACTTTGTATATATAGACTTTCCACTCAAGCAACTGTCAACTTTAGTACTTAATAACTTTTTTCCTACGTGAGAGCGACACGTTTAACTTGTAGATTCATGTTTTACGCACCAAAATACACAAAACTGTCAAGTTTCAGCCAAATTGGGGAGGAAGCCTCTCGCCTTCATAATTACCATAAATAGAAATAGGTATATTTCTGTGCAAAACTTTATTGCATGCGTCATAATATTTTATTTTCGTTTGTTTTGGATGTTTTTATGTGATATGATATATTTACATGTTTTCTTTTTTATATTTGCAGCCTATTAAAATTGAAAATCCCTATGTAAAAGAAAAACGGGAATGTATTCTGTGTAGATTGGGCATTGAACCAGATTACAAGAATGTAAGATTACTTTCACAGTTTCAAAGTCGATACACAGGCAGGATATATGGAAGACACATAACAGGGTTATGCAAACACAAACAGATGAGACTAGAACAAGAAATTGCAAAAGCTCAAAGTGCAGGTATATATACGCATACAGGGTGTTTAAAAAAAAGTGTCCTCTATTTTGAAAGTACTCATCAAAGTAAAAGAAGAAAACGTCCAGTAAACATGGATCCTAAATAAAATACCTGTTGAGATATAAACCAATCTTTATTGTAAATAGGACTATATTCTATGTGGTTTCCATTCATTGTCACATATTTTAAATAGAAAAATATACATTTATACAATGTTTGTACGTCGTCGATGGGTGTTGAATACATCAAGGTCTTTAAATGATAAACATTGCTCTTTTCTTACATATATTGATTGTTATTTCTGCAGTGTAGTAAGGTTTCGATACCAGACACGGACTAAAGCCTGTATCAGCGTGGGATTGAGATTGGATTGAACGTTGACCACGCAGAGCAAAGTTCATTAAACTTAACTTTTTTTTATTCTGATTGATTAAATTTTAATTCAATCTCACGCCCACGCCGTAGTCTGATACGGGCTTAACGGTCATTGTCTGTTATCGGCGACGTACAAACATTGTAGTTTGTATTTTTTATTTAAAATATGTGAAAATGAATGGGAACCACATACAACGTATGTCAAGATCAAAGTCATCGGCGTGGTGTTCTCTAAAGTAAATACGTACCGTGGGAAGTATTGCAGTGGTTCAAGTCACAAAAAAAAGTTTATATCAATACGTGTTGTTTGACCTTGTTCCCACGGTACGTATAGTCATGTTTCTACTCCAGTAATGTGCAGTTGCTTAACGTTATGGGAAGTGCTCGAAATAGCCACCTTCGACCTGAATGCAAACCTGCAGTAGTGTAGTGTTTTAAAATGATCCTGTACCTCGTGGGCGTTCAAGTACTTAATCACTGGAATGTTTTTTTGTCTGGAAGATGTCTTTTACGGAAATGATCCGCATACACAGACGTCTTGCTTAAAAGCTGAATTACAATCGGCAAGTCCATACATCAAATGCATGTTTGCGTTTTCCTGATTTGAATATTTATTCAATCTTCTAATGCACAGTAAATTAGTGACGTTTCAACACGGTGTGAAATCAAGAAGGTCAGGAAATATCCAGGAGATATTGAGAATTATTTACAAATACAGACTGAATGTGTGGCCATTTCGAGCACCTCCTATAATGTTAAGTAGCTGGACATTAAGGATGTTCTGGAGAGTTAGACAAAATTTACAATAACATAAAAAACCGCCGATCAAATCCGAGAGGTTGATGATCAAACCCAGGTCGATTTGGCATGGAATGCCCCACATATTATATCTACATATATTTTTTAAATTCAGGAAACATGGAAAACAGATTCGTCAAGATATAACTATACACATTTGTTTTTATATTTCAGGTTTAATGGGTTACTGGACGAAAGAACAGGAATATGTTAAAGATCCAAAACTGTTTGATCCAAATCATCCATTTAGGCCACACAAATATTAAACGAGTATAATAGCTGTATATGTGCATATATACTTATGTTTATATATAAACACTCGACAAATGAGATATGATTATAATTGCATTAGCATCAACAAATTCCCCTGTTCAAGTAAAAACTGTTATATATTTACGCTAAATGAAATCCATATATGTCCAACAGATGCGTAATTATTTATAACAAACACGATTATAACAATTTTCGATTATAACAAACACGTTTTGCAATACTAGTTAAAAGTAGTATTGCAAGACGTGAACTGAATATTGAAATAATTTTGCTAATTGAATATCAAAATAATTCTATAGAACATTATAGTATATGTAAATCTTGTAATACAGTAATTATATGTAAATATCAAAATTTTTTTTATTTTACATTTTATTTTTGCGACTAAATTTTTAACAAGAAAAGTAGCCTTTTCCGTTTTAAGAACTGTAACGTGGACTTCATATTAATGACGAAAATGGATGAAGATTATAGATTTTCTACATATTAGAAAATGAAACTTTTGATTCTCCTATACGCTTGCTTGACAGAAGACTCTATTATCGAAGTAAAAGAAAATAGAAAACAAAAACAATCGAAGCGAGTGCGCTATTTTCTTAACTTGAGTTTAAATTAACATTTTGTACCTTTTTTTATATCTATTTTAATATGAAATGCTTGGCTAGATAGTGCATGAATATCGTATTGTGTAGATTAAAATCAGTATATATAGTTATATACATTTAATAATCAATTTAAATGTCAGAAAAGAAGTTAATTATCATGAAATGTGTATTTAGGAAGTTTCAATCTTGATGAAAGAAAAATGTTCTTACAGATTCTAACCAGCACCATGTCACAGAAAATAAAGCGCTTTGAACTATGCCCTATATATGGTACAATAAGATCATTATATATTACAAAACAGATTTCATTAACGTTCAATGTTTAAAACTATTGATGTGAAAATATAGTGTTTTATTTATAATAAATTCTTATCTTTCTGTTTTTTAGTTACACACACACAATATATTTACATTTTGTATACATTTGTATTGTTTTATATTACATATATTTATTTATATATTTTATGAAATAGATTTCCTATAAATTTTTAGAAAATTTCATAGTCGATTATCGAGTGATTAAAATGAACGTTTTTTTTATTAGTTCGAAGGTATCGAACAGTCTACGGAACCGTAATAATCGCGCATGCGCAAGAAACTGGGTCCCTTCCCTGGCGGCCGGCGGCCCCTGCGTGCTGCGTGGCCTGCGTGCGCTCTTGCCTTGACGTCAATGGACGTCAAGAATAGTTGAGAATAGTGTGTACATACGGTACATACGTGTTGATACTTTGGTCAGTTTGCTTACATATTACGAATCAAACGGATTTTATTTGTACCGTACGTGAATAAGAAATAATGGATGTTGATGAGGATTATGACACCGAGCAAAGCGATTACGGCGATTTACCCATAGTAGGTATGTTTTTGGGATCGAGTTACTTCACGCGGTGTACTATAAAATATATGTTACACGCAAAAAATATATATATATATCTAATTTGCAATTCCAAATATGTAAACGTTTGTTTGCAATTTCAAACGTGTGAACGCTAGCGAGTACGTGGATCAACTGTATTGACAGTTAAATCCTTGTCTGCGGTAACTTGTTTATAGCATAACCTACGACGTATAGGTACAAAAATGACGCTGACGCACTTGTGCCTCAGACTGTTCAAATGTCCAATGTTGAAGTTATAAACTGCTTTGCAGAGTCCCCGCGGACCCCGCGTAGCGGCCTGGAGATTGATGAAGATCACGAAAACTGGTCAGATGTAAGCACAGTTGAGCTAGGTATATTCTCTGATATTTTTTTATATCTTAATAGACCTCGGTCTCTGCAAACTGCGAACTTGTAATGAGTGCTTTAAAATACGATGACGCATCTAGTTGGAACAATAGGCATCGAAAAGACGTTGAATCAAAATAGTATTTTTAGTACGTATCGCACCCTGAGAAGAATGTCAACTCAAAAATTTACAATTTTTAGGAGCGAGAAAAAACATTTCAGGCATACTTTTTAAGGGCTTGATTCAAAATAAAAAATTTTTTAGTTGTGACAGCATTCCTCTCGGAGTGCGATATGTAGTGCTGTAAACACTCAAGTACTAAATAATGGTTGATTTAAGTTTTCTTCACAATTATATCTTTCATAACTCTAGTGATGAACCATATCTATATGCGAAAAGAACAAAATTATATATGTTCTAAAATTTCAAGTAAAAGTTTTAGCAATAAGACACTATGTATCATTTTCACGTGTATTTTATTCGAGCTTTATTCGTTCTATTTACTTGCTTTACATATATATGTATGTTAACACATTGCGGACCAGACATTTTATTGCTAATTATACTCATTGTCAGTAGCCAGCTAATTTTTTTACGTCAAATATTTTTAAATTACTTATGGTTCGTTCGTAGTAAAAAATCACTGTTATGTTAAAAATATTTAATTTCAACAAATATTTTAAAATATAACATATATATTTTCAAAATACATTGGTAGAAAGGAAACAAATCACTGTTGTCACTTGTTACTGAATAATAACTGTTCTTGATTAATAAACAAAAAAATATGAGTATCTCTTCGTCCATCCGCAATGTGTTAACTTCATCAGTAAACATGTTAGAAGACAATACATTGGTATTTTTACCAGCAAATGTAGCTATGCACTCATTACTTGTAATTTAGCAAAGGCGTATATAGCATGGATAAGCGACATTAAATTCAAAATACCACTTTAGTTTGTTACAATTAATATGTTGCAATAAATTAAAGCCATATTTTGTTAAACAATATAATAAATATTTGTATATCTTTGAAAATTTTTTGTCTAGTTTTATGATAAGTATTTACATATTAAATATTATATTTTCAAAGATCATATTATAACTTATATCTTTAATCCCCTTTATTTTAATTAAATAAAAAAATGATGTGCCTGTGGTTCAATCAATAAACTATTTATTAACAAGATATAATTTGTAAAAGAATTTATATCAATTAGTTTTATTACAATGTTTTATTAAGTACGTACACAAGTAATAGTAAATAGTGTGCTTTTATAGTATACATATATATATATATATATATATATATATATATATAAAAGAAATAATTTAATATAACGTCAAATGTATAATGAATTATAATCTATATATAGATTTGTCGAGTAATAGAATAGAGTCCAATATGGAAGACGTTCCAGTGCCCTCAGAGAATACATTCGATGTGACGTTACCAGCGACACATTCTGTAAGTATAAGGTATTTTAAAGATAACACAGTGTAATATTAGTTATGTTAATGTGTAACATAAGTTAGGATTCTTTAAAATAATTAAATATATTCTGTGCAGTATTTAGGACAAAATTTGGAGGAATTAAGGGGACGGACTATATTGGATGATGGCATTTATATGAATCTACCACTATTGGTAAAACAGTCTGTTTTATTCCCTGGACAAACGTTACCCATGACAGTTTTTGGCACACAGACCATAGAGATGTTGCAAAATTGTATACAAAACGATCGTACTTTCGGTGTCGTGTGTTACGGTTATCCCGAGATGGAGCGAATAGGAACGACCGCTGAAATTTACGAGTACACGGATGGAGGTATATTATTGGATCATGGACGACGAGAGTTTCGTCTGAAGGCTAAAGGCAGGCAACGCTTTAAGATATTGCGTATTATTACACAGGTTAGTTTTTATACGAAATATGTATACAAATTATATTCACAACAATTATTAGATTGTATGGGTTTATTCGAAAAGTTTGAAGCGGCTTTAAATAGACTACAGTTAAATGTACTGGGTCATGTAAAAACTATTAAAAAAGATATAACATATATACGTGGTCTGAAAGACAACATTTTTAAGTATATTTTTAATAAAAACTACTGGCCAGACTTGTGGAATTTTAACTGCATTTTTGTATGTAACTTTGTATTATATATATGAAAGAATGTGTATTTTCATCACTTGACGCTTCTATCTGAAATCTGTAAAAATACCGGATAAGCCGGATAAAAAGATGTTTATGAAGACGATAGCAAAGTTGAGTTAATCAAAAATTGATCGAAATGCATAAATGTATAGGTACGTATGTATATCTATATATATATATATATATATATATATAACTTCTGTAGAAGTTGTCACTTTCGAAACAACCCAATTATATATAAGAATACATTATTAAATGTGCTACAATTTAATAACTGGTATTTTGGTATTTTTCAGCATAGAATATTATACATATATAAGATTTAATTTTGGATAGTATTATTTTAGTTATTTAAGTAATTAAATAATTATTAATTATTAAGTAATTTGATATTACTTATAATCAGGACAACAATAAAATTTCGGCCAATGTTAAAGTATTACCAGAGATAACACTTGAACCACCGTTTTTGGACCAACGCTTAGCCTCATTAGATCACTTGAGAATCTCTGTCGATTCTGAGGAAGATATGAAAAAGCAAGAAAGAGTAGAAAACTTGGATGCTGCGGTAACTGCTTGGCCAGCTTGGGTCTATAGACAGTACGACCCTGTAAGGCTCTCCTTTAGAATACGTCAGCATTTGCAATTTCTTGAAACTAGTAAGTATTGTGATTGTATAAACAAAATTTATATTATTTTATCATTTATTATAATTTTTTAAATACAATTTATATTTTAGGGGGCGGTAGTGTACCTAAAGATCCCATAGATTTGTCTTTCTGGGTTGCACAAAATATTCTAATGGATCACAATGAAAGACTCACGTTATTAACTTATGATTGTGCTATTTCTCGATTGCAAAGAGAAATAAAATATCTCGTAGAAGTACGTATAAAATAGTACTATACTAGACTCCGTCCAACGAGAGATCATGGTTGGATCAGACGAAAACTCGTCCGTTTCGCACAGGGGTCTCCGTTCACAGAATGTCTACGTATACGGTACACCACGCTCTAGACTTACCCTCACTTTGCTCGCCTATGCGCACAACCAACCATGATCTCTCGTTGTGGACGGAGTATATATATATTTATTTGGCTGCAGTTTTTGGTATACCGCCTGTAATATTAATATCTGTTATTTGAAGGACAAGATATATGTATGTGTTAATTGCGAATCCTTCATTGGGAGACAGTCGCACATGTTCCCGATGAATAAAGAAGGCCCGCAGGGTACTTACGTCAATCCTGGTGGTGTTATACATGAAACTATTACTTTTTATCATGTTCAAGGTGTTGTACTTAATAATTCGGATCCTTCAATCGAGTACAGCTGGTTTCCAGGGTAAAATCCAATATTCTAGCATGTCAAAATTCATGCGTGAGTTTTATTCTATTCCACCTCTAATACATGGGTTATTATTTTAGATATGCTTGGACAATAGCTATTTGTAAAGGCTGTCGTCATCATGTCGGTTGGAAATTCACAGCGGTGGAAAGTAATTTAAGGCCCAAAGAGTTTTGGGGTCTAACACGTAGAAGTTTGAAAAATAAAGATTTAAAAATTAAGAAGAAGAAATAAAAAGAGGATCAAAATATCGATATATATATATATATATATATTAGACATCATAAATGTCTCGGTAATTTTTGGAGATTTTTCGAAGCAATGCAAGTCATGTTGATATATTACGATCGGTATATCATTTTGAAAAGGAGATTGAAGAAATAATCAATAATTTGCACCCTAAAAGATTATATTTTATAAACGCTATGATAAATAAGACTTTCTTAAGGTATGAGATATAACGTGAAGTATTAACCACATTTGTTCAGTTGAAGCTTTTATATACTTCGAAATTGAATAACTCTTCAGTTCTCAGTATATTTTAATGGCATATTCGCAGATCAGATCAAAGTGTCTCAATTGTATGCACATTTTCATTTAGATATGGTAAAGTAGTAAATGTAAAATGGTAAAAAAACAAAAGATACCATACGAATAGGCAGGCTAAAAGTGCTAAGAATGTAAAGATAATAGGAGATATAACTGTATTTTTAAAAATTATAAATCATATTTCGATGTAACGCATTTTTTTCCCTTAGAAACGTATTTAATATATTAATACGAAAAAAAAGAAACATTTATGATGCTTAATGTACGAATTGTGCATGAGTTTTGTTGTATTCGTAATTTAACCAGCTAGCGCTTGGACAATAGTGATTTGTAAAAGATACCTTGTATACGTGAAGAATAGTTGTTATATTAATTACAATAATAAGTTATAATAGAAAAAATTTGAAATAGATTCTATGAATGCTACTGTAAATTGATCATTTAATTCTGCTATTAATTAAACTTTGTGTGAAATCTTTTTCTTTGAAGGTGTTATTGTAAATTACGTAAAAGTTATATTAAGAAATATACAATATTCTTTTATACGATGTTACTCAATGCTTTGTAAAAAAGTGGTTGGTACTTGTTAAACAAATTTTTAGCTTTTATTTAATATTTATAAATTCTTCACTCATTTTATCACAATTTGTAATTATGAGGTCTTGTGTCCACGATGCGAGAAATTGGTCCGAGTCCTCGATCCGAGAAAAAGTACTAAAACTCGAATCGTGATAAGTATAAAGACCCGGGCATATAGAAAAACTAAGCAGTAAGCAAATCAGCCAATCATAATCAAGACATAACGTAAGAGGTTTACAATCTTGCCACCACACCACAGTATAACCAGAGTACATATCAAAATGGTCCGCGTCATAATAGAAAAGGATGGAGCGCATGTGCGGCCAATCTCTGTCTCTTTTCAACCAATATTACAGTGTTAAATAGAAAGAGATAGATATTGGCCGCACATGGCGCACATGCGCTCTATCCTGTTCTAAGTATGACGCGCGGACCGCGGACCGATTTTCACGTGGTGCATACATATGCGCAGTCCAGTAGTATGTAGTATATGTCGATGGTCTGCAATGGCCTGGATAAACCTTTACATACCAACGAATGTGTTAATTGTAATACTTTGCTCTAATAAGGACTGAAATTTAGAATAACACAAAAAAAGAAATATCGTTTAAGTGACAGCGAATCGATGAAGACAAAGGAATTTAGATAAAGGAGCGATGCTTGGTTTTATAAAATTATTATTGCTCGTGCTTATTAGCACAGTGATAACGCTATTTTTTTCTTATCTTCATTTGGTATTTATATTAGACATGTATTTTCAATGGTTCTTCAACGATGTTCAAGATATGCAGCAATATGATTATATTATCGGTAAACTACATTTATATACTAATTCAGTTAAACAGAATAAAATGATACAACACAAGCAAATAAGAAAAAATAGATATTTTGTATACGTTGAAATACTCTTAAATCAGAAATTTTAATTTATTAAAAAATTACTTCATCTACCTATATTTTTTCCTTATTTTGATCAAACAAAAATTGCTTTAATTTGAACAAACGTGTCTTTCTATTTTAACTATTTTGCTCCAAAAGCAATGTTATTATTATTATTATTATTATTTCTTTTTGTATTTGTTGACTTCCAGTTGGTGCTGGTAGTGCTGGCTCGATTCTGGCAACGCATTTAGTGGAGGATAAACATAGCGTATTGTTGTTAGAAGCGGGTGGCACCGCTCCATCCTTTCTTGACATACCACTCTTGGGACCATTGATTCAAAACACTGTTTACGATTGGCAATACGTCACCGTTTCCCAAGAGTATGCATGTAAAGGCTTAATCAACAATGTAAATATATATACTTGTATGCTTACAAAAAAATTCCAATATACACATTATCATAAAAAATTGTTTCCTAGCAAAGCAGATGGCCTAGAGGTAAAATTCTCGGAGGCTCAAGCCATCTAAATTATATGGCTTATGTATTGGGACATCAGCTGGACTATGAAAAATGGTTTCCAGATTTTGCTGGTATACACAAGATCCATGTTACTAATTTATATAAAATAAATCTAGGAGGTTTATTTAAACTGTGCTTTAATTTTTTTATCTGTACGAATATCTTAGAATCAGTTGCGAAAAATGACGAATCAATCAGTATCAGCGAATTAAGATGGAACACTGATTTTGCTGATATAATTTTAGAGGCAATAAAGGAACTGAATCATAATGTGAGCAACATAAACTTACAATTGGACACAGGTATCTAATTTTTTCATAAAATTTTAATTGCTCATATAATTGTGTATCTATAATAATATTCATTGTCTAGGTTTTATGAAAGCTCAATTGACAATGGAGAATGGCAGAAGATGGAGTTCGGACAAGATACTGTATAAAAAACCTAATCCTGCTCTGACTGTAATTACTCACGCACGCGCCACTAAGGTAAGTTCGTCCGGATAACTTTTTAACATGTATAACAAATATAAGGCAGTATTTTACTTTATAACCATATGTTGAAGATATTAGTGAACTTGGATAAAGCTGAGGGAATTGAATTTGTTAGATTCGGTAGTAAATATACGGCAATAGGGAAAAAAGGAATTATTTCAAGTGCTGGTGTAATCGAGAGTCCAAAATTGTTAATGTTGTCTGGAATTGGACCAAAGAAGCACTTGGAGAAATTCGGTGTAAGTAATCTTTGATTATTAATTCTAAATCTAGGCCTATTTGTTTTCAGTTACGACCCACCACTTAACGTAAACCTAGATATATTTTGTTACAAAGAGAACTTTGAAAAGACGTATTATATATGTATTATAAATGTCAGTTACATGTCGTATGATTTGTAATATATATATATATATATATATTTAAAGGATCAAAGAAGGATGAAAAAAGTCCATAAACATATGTCCGAAATTGTCTTGTTTACAAGTTACACGCATTTTTGTCTTTTGTCCATACATAAGGTGCAGTCTGCCAATTCACGATTTGTGAAGATGAATACATTAATTTTGTTCTTTTAATCAAATAACTATTATTGTGTTATTTAGATCAGCGTGATCAATGATCTGCCAGTTGGTCAAACCTTGATGGATCATATATTAACCGGTCTGGACTTGATTGTAGTTAACGCGAATCTTGGATTGAATCTTTCTGATATCTTTAATCCTATGTCAGCCCTCAATTATTTTTTCTTTGGGAAAGGTAAAATAATACATTAATACAATCGTATCAAAGCTATGCATGCAAATGCACTTGCCATACTTGCTTCAAGAGCAACATTAATTTTTTTATTTTTATTTTTTTTTTTATTATGGAGCAACTAATAGATATAGCGGGTAAAGTGGTATGATTATAAAAAAATGTTCGATAACCGCATCTATATCGTCATTCTTAATGTGTTATAAGAACAATTTATTAATTTATTTATAAGGACCATGGACATCATCGGGAGTAGAAGTATTAGGGATATTTCATAGTCCTTTACATGCAAATAAGTCCGCAGTACCCCCAGATTTGCAGTTAATGGTACTACCTTTTGGAGCATCAAAAGACAATGGTCTTATTTCCAAAAAAGCAATGGGAATTTCTGATGAGGTAGAAACTATATAGCTGAAGGAAAATAAACATAATATGAATTATAAATTAAAGTTAAAAAGAGTACGCGCGCATTTTTTTTAAGGGGAGAAGTTTTTAATTCATCAAATGTTTTCTTCTAGGTTTATAACAAATATTTTGCTCCGCTTTCAGACCAAAATACAGTAACGATTGCACCTGTCTTATTACATCCTAAAAGCACTGGGGAATTACGATTGCAAAGCAGCGATCCCTTTCACGATCTGCTAATTGATCCAAAATATTTATCACATGAGGATGATATTGACACTCTCATAGAAGGTAATTAAAACGCTGATGGTACACTAAACATTTACACAAATGTAACATTTTACGTAATAGTATGAATGTTTAGGCCTGTATTTTATAAAGAAACTCTTGAACACGAGCGTATTGAGAGCTCATGGTGCATCTCTCAATAGAAAGTCTTTCCCTGGTTGCGAGGATCATATATTTGACACCAGGACGTATTGGAAATGTTATATACAGCATTTAACACTGACCTCTTACCATCCAGTTGGTACATGTCGCATTGGCGACGTTGTTGATATGTCATTTAAGTAATTATGAAATTATAGCTTAAAAAAAAGCAAAATATTAACATGAATTGAATGCAAAGAAGAGATACACAATAAAAATGCATGCTTTCATAAATGAAGGCTGATAAAGCAAACAAGGATACTTTGATATTTTTAATTGGAAAATTTTAATCTTTATATCTTAGATTATTATTTTAAAAAATCTATAGAGAACATTTTAGAATCAAAAGTTATCGAGAAGTCGTAGTATAGAATATCGTAGTATAGAAAAGTTATAAGAAAATTAGTATAAAATTCTTAGCAAAGTGATGCAATTAATAAGGTGATAGATTGTCTAAAACAAAAATTTTAAAAAATTTTTTGTTCTTTTAATTTACTTTCTAATTTTTTATTTTATTGTATTTTTATTATGCAGTTTGCATTCAGCTCATACTAATTCTCCAATCTTTAAATTGTTTTATATAATTAAAAGTTGTGTTTTATATGTATATATGTGTGTGTGTGTGTGTGTGTATGCTACTTTTATATTCATTACAGAGTTAACAATATGAGAAATTTGTATGTCGTGGACGCATCAGTTCTTCCATCGCTACCAAGCGGAAATATCAACGCACCTGTGATTGCATTGGCGCAAAAGGCTGCCCGTATTTTTAAAAATAAAAAAGAAGAAAGAAGAAACATACAAAAACAGCTTAAGTCGTATAATGTTTGTTATGTATTTAATGTTTGTAGTAATATGTGAAATATCACGTGTAAATATGTCAATAAAACTTACAACTTACAACTAATTTGAATAGTATTATTATATTCTAATATACATATGAAAATTGATCGTCATCGATCTAATGATGGATTCATTCATCAATATAAGAATCTTTTTTCACGTCGTCTTAAACAGTTCCTGAGATATTGACTTGTTATTACTTTCTTTTCGAACAAATTAATATATAATATACATATATTGGATATAAATATATATATATATATATATATAATATAAAATGTGAACATTATAACCGTTGCTAACAAAATAATATCGAGATACATATTTATTACATATTTATAAAATGGAACTATAGTTAAATCTGTTCATTCCCTGTGTAATTTAAAAATCGACTGAAAGTCTAATTTTAGCAACTACGCGCCAAATACGTATTATCAATAAGTCCTTCTTTTTCTATTATCATTATATCGAAAGTCATTAAAACGATAATTATTATCTCTATTGTAATATAACCTTTCATCTCTGTGATGATCATTATGATTTTGTTCTCTGCTTCTTCCCCAGTCTTTCTCCCTTGTTCTATCTCTGTTTCTCTCTCGATTTCTGTCTCTCTCTTGATTTCTATCTCTGTCTCTCTCCTGTTTCCTATCTCTGTTCCTTTGATAAGGATGATTTCTTCTAATTCTATCATCATTGCCAGACGTTGTGTCTAACTGCCTTGAATATGTTAGACCGTCCTGTGAAATATTCATACCAAACATGGCGTTACTCTGTGATGGATACGTTCCTAAGATCATTTGTTGGCCCAGCTCCAACATATGATTCATATTGCGAACAGGATTCAATGATTGTTCTGCTTGTTGCGACTCTGTGTTATTCCTCAGTTTCATATTAAGAGTACGATTATACAGTGTGGTACCGTCAAACAGATGCAAAGCATACTCCACGGAACGTGTGTGTTTGTATGTGATAAATCCATACGTTCTCTGCTTACCATCGCGATCTTTAGGAATAGTTATTTTTTGTACAGGACCTCCCTACAAATACAAAAATATTTACATTAACTATTACATGTACTTGCTCGATAGTTTTATATTTTCAAAAACAGCAAATCTTTTCAATTTTACAAGCTTGTGTTTATAATTTTATACACTTATAATATGTATGAAATATGATCCTCTTTCTCTCTCTTTTCTTCCATATACAACACGTATGGATATGTGTAAATGAATAATTATCCATTTATATGTAAAAAAAATACATGATACACGCTAGATATTTTTGAAAGTTCTAGTATTTGTGCTTTTTTATGCAATGTGCAGTAGATTGGTATTACGTGTGTCTGTATTAATCTTATATCTTGCTGACAGTTTCGCAAACATAATACAAGTACCTCATAGATACATAGATAGAAAGGACGTTGAACAGAATCTACAGATGTCTGATTTTTGCCCTCGAGCACTGCAAAATTTTGCTACATTTCTTGCAGATATTTTTTGCTAATAACATTGCATGCTTTGGTAAAATCTGCATTAGCGTAGTAACACTTTTATTTATAAAATTTGCAGTAAAAATCAAAATATCTGTCTTTGATAAACTTGTTGTACATATATAAACATATATAAAAGTTTACGTATGTAAAAGACCAGGTGCTCTTGTAAATATCTATATTATTATTACTTCTATATTATTATTATTATTATCATATACTAAGGCCCGTATTCTGAACGTTCAACGCATTTTTATCGATAAATGCGCGTCCAGAATATGGGCCTACCTGCTGAATATATTACGTGTACTAACTTGTAGAAATAACTCGTAGAGAATATCCTCTGTGACTTTTTCACTTAGATTCCCGCAATAAAGTGTGCGTGCATCCTCGTCCATCATTAGCAAACGTTTGTTTTCTATTTCTTTGTTTTTATTACGAATCTTCTTTTTATAAAAAAGTCAGTATTACTTTATTTTCACTCTTTCTCTTTTCTTTCTATTTCTATAGAACGTCCTAAAAATTATGGTTGCGGATGATATTTCACCATCGATCTATAACAACAATAATGGAGTACGTTGGAGGAGTATATATATGTATGTATACATATGCGACGCAAGCATAAACGTAAAATATATAGATAGAATCCTAGATAATGGCCACTGGACAGTATAAAGGTGAGTTTTCATGGGCAGTGAAATATGCAGCAGCAAGCAAGAAGCAGTTTAGTAATTATTTAAGGCCATTGCACGTGACAAAGTTTTAGCCATAATCGTAAAGGCCTTCACATACGAATCGACGGAAGACGTAAAACGTAAATCGTAAGGAAATCCACCAATCAGAGTCGACTATTCCCCTCTTCTTCCCTCTTGAAGAGAGGAATAGTCGACTCTGATTGGTGGATTTCCTTACGATTTACGTCTTACGTTTTCCGTCGATTCGTGTGTGAAGGCCTTTAGCTTGTATCAGATTGACGTGAAATTTAATTAATTAATTTCTGCGTGCCGCGTGCCAATTACTGTAGCCAAAAAAGTTAAAAATTCGCCAGCTCTCTTTTGACAAGCGCAACGTGGAAAGCAACTGCTAGTTGAAAAGTGTTATTTTCACGTCGCGCTTGTCACGTGCGGTTGTCAAAAGAGAGTTGGCAAACTTTTAATTTTTTTGGCGACAATAACATGGCACGCGGCACGCAGAATTAACACTTTTCAATTAGCAGTTGCCAATTGCCATCGTTTGCGACATATTGGCCGCGTTCAGCAGACACAACTGTTGAGTGTCGTTTTATCAACACGCTACGTTGAAGAGCCAATCACGTTCGATTGCTACTGAGCGGTTTGTTCTGCTGAATGCGCCCATTGGCCGCATTCAGGAAACACATCTGTTGAGTGAGCGGTCAGTGATTCTTTAATATGATTGGTTCTTACCTTTGGTTCTACTCCGGATATAAATGTAAGAACCAATCATAAGGAGCGCTCACTCAACAGTTGTGTTTCCTGAACGCGGCCATTGTAGAACCAGCAACCCGTGCAGGAGCCATCACAGAAGATTTCTATCTGCAATACTATGGCTCTATGCCCGTCATTGGACTAGTTTCAAGCTTGCGAGACTTCGCTGCGTCGCTGTGCGTCGCTGCGGGCTGCGGTAGCCTCTGTCACTCTTCCGCGGGTTTCCGAGTGACGAGGGTAATCTTACATAGCAGGTGCCGTATTCGAAATCTACTTACATGTACTGACGAAAAAAAAAAAAGAATCCTCGCTCGCGTTTTATTCCAAATAGTTGACGTGAACAGAATGCTTTTGCCCCAGGTGTAAACGCGAGCAGCGGGAACGCCACAATGTTGTCCTGGATGCAGGAAGCAGCGAAAATGAATCCATTCTCGTCGCCGTTCACGACGGCCAAATGTCAGGCGCTGGAGAACGGTGCTCGGCCGCTCGTGCCAAATCGCAACATCGCCGCCGCCTCCGTCGAGGAGGGTGGTCAGTAACGCATGCCAAATCCGTATCTGCGTTTATCGTGAGTAAGACGAGCGATCGAACGACTCTTCCCGTTCGAGAGGTTATACAGCTTGCGCCTGATTTTACAACGTTACAATCCTACGAGGGATGATCTTGCGCCTTCTTATGGGATTAATTATTGACGTCCCAGGTCCCAGGGATTTTCCATCTTCATCTTTTGTACGAGACACGTCGTTTATATGTGATGAGATCCACACGCCATTTTTTTCTTATAATCTGACAGTCGCGTTACATAACCCGAAATGTGATTCAATGTGATTGAACGTCATACGAAATGTGAACAAAATGAACAAATGTCGTTCGTTCCATCGTGATTCGTGAAACTAGGGTTTGCAGGCCGCTCGATCGCTCGATCGCTCGATGCTCTCGATTTTCTCGAGGGCTTTAAATTTAAATAATACGGAGGCGATGCGATTTCGATCGGAATACCGATTAATTCAACCAGTAGACGTCAGATAAAATTGTACGTCGTCCTATCTAAATACTTTAGAATACTAGTATTCTATCCATTTTAACAATATAATATTGCTAAATTAACCATTGGTTAAGTTAATCGATATTCGATTGAGATTGCTCTTAAGGAATAGAGAGAAGTATATACGATTCATCATACCGCGAATTCTCGCGGTCGAGATTATAGCACGTTAATTATATAACTGCAAAACTTCTCAAGTTCGAAATCAAACTGACGTTTGATCATCGAGCATGTCACGTGCGTGCGTCGTGTCTGTATGTATGTATGTGTGCAAAGTGTATGTATGTACATATTGAATTCCTACGTTAAAAAATTAAATTTATAAATTGCATAATCTTCGAAGGACAGATCTAAACGCTTCGCGTGCGTGGCAGGAAGATTCAACCCTTGGATTTAAACCATCGCACTTGTGCACGCGCCGCAGGCCGCAGGTTGCGTAAGGCGCGGCCATTTTGTCATATACATATATGTATATATCGACGTTATAGAACTCGCCTCTCGCCTCCCTCAACCTTGGAGTCCTTGGACGACGCGACGGCCGAGTAGAAATACGTCGCTCGGATGTCATTCGCCCTATGTTGATCGTGACCGAGAAACGCGATCGAGCATGCATTTCTTTTTTTATAGATAGATCGAACGAGCGAGAGGGGAGCGACATCGGTCGAGTCCGCGCCAGATAAACGCTCGGGATCGATCAGCTGATTGAAAGAAGCCTCTGCGAACGCTTGCGAAACTCGGTAGAGAAGTGACTTTTCCTAAATTTAATATAAATTTTTAGATCGTTACGTATCAACGCATTTTATTGATCCACGACGCGACGGTATGCTAGAATATAGGTGGTGATGATTTACTTCAAAGGCTTCGACATTCGAACTTTGAAGCTTCGAAGAATCAAAATTATACAGTTATTAATTTAATATAATAGTAATAGTACCGCAATAAGCATCAAAGTTAACTTCAAAGTTGTCGAAAAGTTAACAGTCTAGTATGGAAATGCATCGCATTATTTTTAGAAAAAATAAAATTTATAGGAAAAGTCATTCGATGTTGTTTCATATACTTACAGATAGTTGCGAGTTTGGATCGAATCAGTATTTCTTGCTATGCGGTCTCGGAGGCATTCTGTCCTGCGGCATCACTCACACCGGCATCACGCCCTTAGATTTAGTCAAATGCCGAATTCAAGTGGACTCGCAGAAATACAAATCGGTGTTCAACGGATTCCGAGTAACTATTTTTACTAATTATTTACTTTTCTCTCTCTCTCTCTCTCTCTCTGTGATATTGTATGATAGATGTAATGATATTTATTGTGGACTTTAAAACCAAACATAAGACTTTGCTTCAGTAAATAACTAACACGAATGAACTTTTATATTCGATCAAACTGGCTGTCCTTATTTAATATAATTGTCAACGTTTCGTTCGACCATTGATTTTGGCCCTTTTCAAGTGTGTATCTATAAGTCACAAGTTTGATAATTAAAAAGCATGTAGCTCAAACAGCCACACGTGACAAAGAACGTACGCTACATTATATGATAAAAATTATTAAAAACCAGTAACAACTGTGCCACAACCAACAATGTAGAACTACGTCTACTGTCACTGGTTCATGTATTCATTAAGTGTATTCATTCAGCGAAGGACAGTTGACGTATGTACAGGCCCGTGTTACTGTGCCTGTTTCATTTTTATTATATTGGCAATTTTTTTCTACGTCTATTATGTTCTTCAATCTTTTCTACCCCTATTTCATATACGTCTTTAAAATTTGGTTGATTAGTTCTTGAATTATATACGTTAGAATTTGCTAAGAATACGTACATACATAGAAGCCTAATAAAGCTGGGTCTACGCAACCAAATCTTCAAGTATTATATATGAAATAGGGGTAGAAAAGACTGAAGAATATAATGGACGTAGAAAAGTTTCCACGAATTAATAATAAACTGCCAAAAAAGAAGACGTATTGAAAGTGGTTGAGACTTGAGCATACGGAAACTTTTTGAGACATTCGAAATTTTCGAAAAGAAATGGTACTATATAAGCTATCTAATGACATATTAATCATTACTCTACGATTATTGGTTTCGAAGATATAAATGTTCAAAGTGTGACACGTTTTTGTTGCATCTGTGCTCCCAATGTTACCCCCTAATTACTGTCGACAAAGACGTAGTTCTACGTCAACAACGATAAGTACTTAAGTCATGAAAGTAGTAAAAAACATTTAAAAAATATTTCGGAAACATCCCTCTAGTCATGGCCTTGTGCCAAGCACGTCGTGAATCTAAACTGGACTTGAAAAAATCAAAATCAATGATCGAAACGTTGTGACACGTATATTAAATAAAGATAGTTTGATCGAATATAAGAGAGTTTATTATTATTGTGCATTTTGCTCGTTATAGGTAACTTTAGCCGAGGATGGCACTCGGGGATTGGTGAGAGGCTGGGCGCCCACTTTCTTCGGTTACTCGATCCAGGGAATGTTCAAATTTGGTCTTTACGAAGTTTTCAAGGTTCAATACGCGGCGCTGGCGGGTGAGGAACTCTCTTACGAATATAGAACCTCTTTGTACTTGATATCATCGGCTTCAGCAGAATTCTTTGCTGATATTGGCTTGGCACCGTTTGAAGCCGCCAAGGTAATCTCGGTCATCAATATTTTTATATCATTATAATATTCCAATTTTAGTCTCGACACTCTATTCCTTACAACAAACTTATTTTTAAATCGCAGGTCAAGATACAGACTACGCCGGGGTACGCTAATACTTTACGACAAGCATTACCAAAGATGTTTGCGGAGGAGGGTCTTAACGGTTTCTACAAGGGCTTAGTGCCGCTGTGGCTGCGCCAGATCCCGTATACGATGATGAAATTCGCCTGCTTCGAGCGCACTGTCGAACTTCTGTATAAACATATAGTGCCCAAGCCTAGGGCAGACTGCAGTAAAGGTGAACAGTTGCTGGTCACGTTTGCAGCCGGATACATCGCCGGTGTATTTTGCGCCATTGTATCTCATCCTGCCGATACGGTAAATTTTATTATAACATATCTCCATTCACTTATAATAAAAAAACAGGGAAACGAAAATAAAGAAACTTTGACCCTAGCTATCGACCTTTTATGTTCTCTTGATATATATATTTAAATGTATCACATATTTAAAAAATTCATAACTTTTCTTGGGAATAATGTATTGAGGTACTTAATGTACATCTCTCTCTCTCGCGTTTCAAAGATCAAGTCTTCGGCTATGAGAAAGAAAAGTTTTGTTCTACTGTTCTCTTTGAAAGTTTGTCCAAATCTCTCTGTAAAAAAATGTAAAAAATTGTGAAAAACACTGAAAACTTGGAAAATTATTTTTTTTTTACATTAAATCAGTTTTTTCTATCGCACATCAATCATAAAATGTTATTAGTTTTAGTACTATCTTAAGAAAGGTACCTATTTAAAATTTTTAGTCTTTTAATATACGTAAACCTGTATAAAAATAAAATTAGCTAAATAATTGTTAAGTGTAATATCTCAAGATTCTAACTATTGAAATATCCATTAAAATGGAGAACATAAAGGGTTAAGTTAGAAACTAGATCCTTCCAGGTTTTACGAGATACGATTAAAATAGGTACTTGAACAAATAGACCTCGTGTAGATGCACGATTCGCGTCCGCTTCTGTTTTATCGCATCTCTCGATTTACAATCAGTTCTCATAGTTGAAAATTCCCAACATTTTGAATTTGTACAATATAAATGTCTGGTCAGGTGGTGTCGAAGTTGAATCAGGAGAAGGGAGCATCTGCCGGGGAAGTCCTGAAGAAGCTCGGTTTCGGTGGCATGTGGAAGGGTCTGGGACCGAGAATCATCATGATCGGTACCTTGACTGCGGCGCAATGGTTCATCTATGACGCCGTCAAAGTCTGGCTGCGCATGCCACGTCCGCCACCGCCCGAGATGCCAGAATCTCTCAAGAAAAAATACGGCCTGGCATAAGCGCAGCTGTGACGGACGCGTTTACGTCGCCGACCGGATCGTCTCGCTCGATCATGAATTTAGAAAAAGAAGCGTATAAAGCAATTTCAATTTCAGATCTTTCGCAACAATGCAGACATCGTGTGTTGTTGAACGAATGTGTATTTTATTTTGGAATATTTATTCTGCAGCATTATACAACAGCGTCGACGGGCAGCACTGCCGCAAGATTAGAGAAAAGAATTGTGTCTTACAAATAGGAGATATATAGGATACTACGTGTGCCGGTTCCATAATTATCGGAGGCACAGTAAATTTAACTCGTAACAGTAACGGGTTACCCGCGAGCTGTCACATTGTACATAGGGTGATCGCTGTAAATAAACAGGCCGATTACTCAATCACACGCTATATTGCTTAATATTTCTCCTCTTTCCAAGCTATAACGATGATTAACAATACAACAATCGAGTCGAGCGTATAACGCAGAGAATGTAACATTTTTACAAGATATATCAACGACTTAAGCCCGTATTAGACTACGGCGTGGGACTGAGATTGGATTGAAATTTAATTAAATTTCCAATCTCAATCCCACGCTGCAGTCTGATACGGGCTTTAGTAAAGCTTTCATTTCCTTACTGCCACCATATTGAACTACAATGTAAAAAATTATGTGAATTTTTTTCATATATACTTTATGTACATCGAAATAAATTAATACTTTTACATGTTCCTCACGCACGTTCAGTAATATAGATCCACAAAATACCGGAAGCTCTTTTCAGGTTCGCTGAGTTAGTAAATAACTATTTATTTTTATTGTGAACAAAATGTAGGACAAATTGAATTATATGTGCATTTACTTTAATGCAGAATAAAAAAAAAAAAAAAAAGAATTTTTAATATATGTTATCGATGTATATTATTGAACCGATGTGATGGCATATGAAAAAAATTTAATTTCAACATACAGCGCGAGAAAAAGTTCTCACTTCTAATTGTAAGTACAACGTTGGATATAATATCCATTGTAAAGTACATTTATATCACTTACATTTCAATGCAGAATCTATCAATTGCATAATGTGACACAATGCATCTTGTGCTGTATTGTAAAATATTAACAACAAGTAAAAAATATAATTCTTACGCTTGTATCATTTTCACGAACAATATAAGTATCTTGCAAAGACGTAATATCATAGAGAAAAAATAGTGTGAAATGCACGTTCAAATCATATTCATTCCTCCATCACACATTAATAGTTATATAACAAATATATACGCCATAACAATAGAAAACTATTTTCTATTATCTTGAGGTGATCTCATTTTGAAAATAAGCGATGGCATCTTGTATAGTTGCAAAGATTTTCAACGACATCGTCCCATAGATATATAGATCACATTTCTTGATCGTTTCGAAAATAGGACTAGGACAATTGACAAAATAAAACTCGATATTCACCCGCGTGAATTCCTCTACGATTACATGCAATACCTGAACGCTACTAGGATCGATATAACTCAACGCGCTCATATCCATTATTATACACTGCACGTCGCACGTCCCCCTAGAATTTTTCTCTTTCAAGAAACGACCCTCCTCGGTCAATTTTCTGTACTTGATAATTTTTTGCGGACACACTCCTACAAGTCTGTATACGAGAGACTTGAAGTAGCTGTTATTGGCAAAATTCAAAGTCCCGCAATAATGAATAATTTTTATCCCATGTATCTCTATTGCCTGCAACAAGGAACAATGTAAAAGCTGATTGATAGCTCGTGTTTTCCGATTTATTTTAGTAAGCCTTACCGCTTTGTATCTACCCATGTCTAAGTACAGATCTGTATGTGGTATGTGACCCAACAGACATGTGTAAGGCCGAATAACTTGCAGTAGAATCATAATCAGTGACACGAGCAATCCCGCGAGTAATCCGACGTCGATATTTATCAGTGTCACGACGAGAAATGTTACGATCCAAATTATAGCGTCGGCCTTGCTCAATTTCCAAAATTTAACGAGCTGATTGGCTTGTTGAAACATTCCTTTTAATGCTACCTGTACAAAAAAGTCTTTAGGAATGATATGCTTTTTCAATAGTTACACGAAATTTTTTTTTTTTTTTTTTAGGATATATTTTTACACGTACAACTATTATGGAAGCCAAGACACATCTCGGTAGAAGCTCAAAAAATGGTCCAATCCACAAAAGTATAATGAGCAGTAATAAGCAAGACACAATGCTCGCTATCTGTGTACGTCCCCCGACGGTTTGCTGAATGAGAGATCTACTCAAGGATGCCGATATTGGCATACACGAAAAGAAGGAACCCATTATGTTACTAAAGCCCTGCAAATAGAATACGTCGCCGGAGATTATTAATCGAAAATCAATACGATAATTGTCAGGATATCGGTGTCTCACCATTGCAAAGAGTTCTTGATTCGAATCTATCTCGTAGTTGAGCTTTTGCGCGAATATTAATGCCATTGATATGGTGATGGTATACGAAACCATGGTTATCGCAATACTATCGACCAACACTAAAGGTAACAATTCAAAACTTGGCACCTCTGGCTTAGGAAGTCTGTTTAAAAGATATGTTTTAATATTATATTAATAGTAATATATAATATATAGAATTTTTGCAAATATTAAGAGAGGATGATAAAACGATATTTACGTACCCCGTGGGAATATGTCCGACAGTTTCGATATTATAAATCTTTGGTAAGTCGCAATAACGAGAGACCAATGTCCCACCAATCACTGCAATAAGTTCAATGGGTATTGGTATGCTGCATTTTTTGTTCACTCTTGGCTATGAAATACAAATAACACGTCATACATTTTAGCTTTTACGAACGCTCAACTAAAGCATTAAGTTAACACGTTGTTTACCTTTAGAAATTCATTGTTAAAAACAAGAATAACAATTGATACAGTTGATACTACTGTAGCAGCTATATTGACGTTTTTAATTTCTTTAAATATATCTATAACAGTCTGAAAAATTAAAGGCGAAGAATAATATTTTATTCCTATATTATACTAATTCATTATTCGAATATACCATAAGTACATAAATAATTTACGTACATAAATACTAAAAATATAATTTATGTTCACTTACAAAAATCAGTTTAAAGTAACCTTTTTGCTTTGGCAGTTTTAAACCAAGAAGATCCTTGATTTGAGATATTAAAACGTAAACGGCAGCTGCTGTCGTAAAGCTGTTGACTAAAGTTTCGCTGAGCAACGTTGTCACAATGCCCAATCGGAATGTATACATTATTATCTACAATGATAAGAAAAATCTCTTCGTATATCCTTTTGATCTCGGATAGATGCGCGCTTTCAAAGATAACAAGGCGTTTACCTGAAGTATCCCGACCATTAGTGTCACAGCCGTTGCTACCTGCATAGGTGTATATACATATGCGACATCCTCGAGATTTTGCGAAACGGCATCCGAGACATTCGCAAACGTGTGTCCCGCGTGTGGACTCGAGTAAAACGTTACTACTTTGCCGGTCATTAGGCAAACCACGGCGAAAGTTCCTGATGAGTGCCAAGAATGTTTCATTGTTCAAGGTTGTCGAATAAGTTCATATTAAGGTGTATTATTTCTAATTGTTCTGCAACGGAAGTTAATGAAATGAATATATTAACTGGGAGAATCGCAAACTGCAGAAGGTATATATATATATATATATATATATCTGCGACTTTGTTAGTTTGAAGTTGTCTTTAGCGCACGTCTTAAAAATCGTTGCATCGTTTTGTCTTATCGTTTCGGTATTCACCTATGGATACGTGCTTGGAGGTGCCGAGGAAGAAATACACGAAGACAGGAAAGAAGGCCATGTATATGCCAACCACCGGCGGTAGATTTCCCAGGAGCGCGTAGGCCATACCCTGCGGTATGTGCATAATCGCCACAGTTAGACCCGAAATGATATCAGGTACTATGTCTTCCTTCCACGTGTATCGGCTAAGCCACCGTATCACCGGTACCGTTGACCCTACGCAGGACTGCCAGTTCTTCGATTTAACATCGTTCATTGCATCCCGCATCACTGGAATCACAAATGACCCATTACAAATTTTATATTTCTATATATAAACTGCACGGGACGCGTCCGCGCACTTTGCTGTTACAACTTACAGGATGATTTTGGCTTCTCGTAATCATAATTCTGATTCAGCGTTTCGTGTTCGTAGAGAGGTCTTTCCAAGTGTATCTGCAACAGTGCGTTGCCCTTGTCCATGACTGATCCGCAATCGCAAGCGCGCTTTACTTTAAGAACTGGTCTCGAGGCTCAGTGTGAGCTTTATACATTCGCTATCTGCAATCAAATCAATATTATACGCATATAGCTGATATAATATCTTCAATCCTAGATAAAATATCTCTACAATCAACATTTCCTCCTTCATCGTTCATGATTGCATAACGTCTTGACTAGAATTTTTCGCTATCATATTTTATATTAAATCTGTAATAATTCAGTAAACAAATTCATATAATTATATGAATAAATTGTGCGAGCGAGCAAGAGAGAGAGAGAAAATATATTATCCAAACGCACGGAATGTATGAGTATATTGCTATTGTTAATGTTATATAATAATACATGTTTATTATAAAAATGTGTATAAAATTTTTATCAGGTTGAAATTATAAGCATTTTAAAGCTGTATCTCATCCATGTTATCTACTAGGAAGCTAAACTTACATTTTATATGTTAAAACATGGTCTCTCCTTGTGATCTTTAGCAAAGAGATAATTGGGATCTTCAATAACATGTGACATGTGACTAACAGTCGGACAAGGTCCATTAGCCAAACGCATTGATTGGCACACAATATTCACGGTTATAATCTCAATTCAAATCTAACCATTCTAACCTACATTCGTCCGCTGTCAGCTGTTGTCAACGTTGGTGACAACGACAACTTGTCAATAAACGTTCCGCGGCGACATTCCTTTTCACGCTTCATCTCGAATAATGTCGAATAATGACAATAATGTCGAAGCTAGAAGGCGAATCCGAGAGGCGTGCCACAACCTGTCGCGAGAGGCGAGAGGTTTGTCTCAATCTCAATTGTTTCTGTTATCTGAAGGATAGGTACGCGAGCTAACCTCACATTCGAACCTATCAACTCCCACATGGGTTGCACCGGTTGCACGCGTGTCGTTTGCTAATCGAGTTGCTACGTGAATGAACATTTACGAAACGCTCTGCAAAAATGCGAACGAAAATGTAATTTGTGATTGAAATATTAGTTTCTAGTATATTCAAGTATATTAATGTACATACTTATAAATAGGAAACACGCAGTCCCCGACTCCTCCAAATTATATATAGGATGAATCATGTAATTATCGTTACAATTAATTAGAGAGGAGTACGTTGTTTAACACGAACTACCAAAGGAGTCAAAATGACCCGTTTGACATTTTAATAATTTCAGAATTGTTTATATTATTAGTCAGAATTTCTATGAAAATTTCAAGACTTTGAGACTCTCAGAATTTTTCATTTGAATTGGAACATTTTTCATAAAAATTGCAAAAAGAACAGTTTTAGTGTATTTTGGCACATTGTAACGATATGTGACGCGTTGGAAAAGTTTATTGCAATCACACAAAATTATATATATTATATTATATTTAATTCTTTATACATGTTACGCACTAATTTTATCACAATTTCTTATATTGCAGAATTGTACTTGCAGAGCAAAGTTGCGGAAATAGATGACTCGATTACGCCGCTCGCTTTCTACCGCGAGTACGTCTCGAAGAACGTACCACTAGTTATAAGAGGCGTAATAAAACATTGGCCCGCTGTGAGCAAATGGTCTATACCGTATTTTCGCAAGGTGATCGGTGACGAAAAGGTTTCGGTCGCCGTAACGCCGAACGGCTATGCGGATGCGATAGCCGAACGGGATGATGACGCTAAAGAATTCTTCGTAATGCCCGAGGACCGTCTACTCACGATATCAGCATTTCTCGACACGTTGGAGAACACGAAGGAGAACAGTGTATTTTACATACAGCAACAAAACTCAAATTTTATGCATAGCTTTCGCAAGTTGTGGCCAGATGCAGAAACCGAGATATCATGGGCCAGCGAGGCGTTTGGAAAGCAACCTGACGCTGTGAATTTTTGGATGGGAGACGAAAGAGCTGTGACTTCCAGTAAAGTTTTATTTTACCTGGTAACAGAAATACTTGAAAGTATATTTCGATATCTCGGATCTAAATGATACAAAATTATCATCGTTACGTAAATCTCATTCTTATAATTTCGACACGTTTGCAAAATGCATTTCTGTTCACACAATTTTACAAGTGTACACAGTTAATTTTAAAACGTGGGGTAACACACGTTCGAATTAAACTAGATATTCTTACTGTGAGTGCCAAGTAAGGTTTTCTTTTATTTAGTAACACTTGAAAGTATCTCGATATTCGATATCTCGAATTTAAATGATATGAGATGATCATCGTTATGGAAATTTAATTCTTATAATTTAAAGAATTTTGTAAATTGCACAATTTTATTTTGTACTTATTAATTCTAAAGATCAGTAATACACATTTGGATTAAACTAGGTATTTTTACAAATTTGTAGTGCACAAAGATCCTTATGAAAATATATATTGCGTTGTGTCTGGTGAAAAGAACTTTATCTTACATCCTCCCACTGATCTGCCATGGATTCCATATCGAACGTATCCGTCTGCCGTTTACAAGGAGTGCGAACCCGGAAAATGGATTATCGAATCCATAGTTAATGGAACACCTAATTCCGAGGAAATCACAAATCTCGCATCGACGCCATGGATATGTGTGGATCCCCTAAATCCAAACTATGAAAAGTTCAGTCACGTACACAGCAGTAGTTTTATTTTCAAAATGACATTTATTTTAATGATTAAAGATAAACGAAAACTTTACTTATAGATTTCCAGAATATCGTAATACACATAGCTTGAAAGTCACACTCAGAGCTGGAGATGTATTGTACTTGCCGTCGTTATGGTTCCATCATGTGACACAGTCTCACGCTTGCATATCCGTTAATTATTGGTACGATATGGAATTCGATATCAAGTATGCCTACTTCAAAGCACTCGAGACATTGTGCAAATAAACGAGTAAGTGATTAAGGCACGCTTCAAACATTCGTGTGTACAGACGATGCTATTTTATTTTTAAGTCATTTGGTGCATGCAAGAGACTAAAGAAATCTTATTCTTATGTAGGTACTTGTATCTTTTCTTTCTCTCTCCCCCCCCCCTCCCTCTCTGTGTGTGAGTGTACACGTGTACATATATGTATATGTACTTAATGGCTATAGTACATCATCACATCATATACTAGTTCATAATGTAATATAATTAAATATGTATAAATGTCCACGCAAGACACTTACACGTGCTCATCGTAGTTATATATGTTGCTGATATACTTATTAAATTAAATGCATGTCTTACCAATGATACAAAGATATTACTAATATATACGTTATTATTCTCACAGAACGTACAATCGTATTATATTTTTACGAAACTGCCAAGAAACTACAGGAAAATTTAAGTCAGGCTGTTTCGTCGTTATCTCCGGTGAGTAAATTGTATTTTGAACGCTTTGTACCATAATTCTGAGTTTCGTACATCTTTCGGTTTTCTAGGTATTTCCGATAGTTGTTCTCGCGTTTTCTCCGTTGCTCCTCCGCCTGCTGTCGCAGTTTCTCGGGATTCATATGTGTGGTCACCATGTGCCTCGTTAATGAGCTCATGAATTTATACGTAATTCCGCACACGTCGCAGGAAAGTATCTCCTCATTTCCTCCCTGTTGCTATTTGCGAGAAAGAAAAATCATTTACAAATCCAAGTAAAAAAAAATTGTAAACGCACAAGGAAATATAAAGTCATATGAACATTTGGTAAATTTTCTCTTTTATATATGCTATAAAGAAAAGAGGAGGGATTACAGAGTAAAATAGTTTACATACTTGTTGATGTACCAGCATGTGTCTCTGCAGATTGTTCAATCTGTTGAACTCACGACCGCATACTTCGCAATCGAACTTCTTGTCGGGATCGTGATGCTTCTTGTGCATACTCAGGTCGGTTATGTGGTGGAAGGTCTTCTGGCATATATCACACGTGTACTTGCGTTGTTCGTTAGGCATATGCGACTCCTCGTGTTTCGCCAGACTGGTCTTATCCATAAACCGTCGACCGCAGTAAATGCAAGGAAGCGGTCGCGATTGGGAATTGTGTAGTGTCAAGTGACGACGTAGCGCCGTGGATGTAGGGAAATTTTTGTGGCATTCCAAGCACTGGAACGGTCGATCACCGGTGTGAGTCTTTCGATGGCGGGCGAGCGAACCCTGATCTGGATACCTAAAAAAATTAAGACTTGACTTTATAAAGACAACTCCACGTATTGAGAATTTTATTAAATAAAATAATATGGATAGAATAAGATAGAAAAAAATAAAAAATAAGATTATACTAAGCATATATATGTGCATTCGCTAAATATTTCGACTTGCCTTTTAGGACACGAATCGCAAGGAAAGTTTCTCGTAGTTATATCCTCTTCACGAGCGTGCTTTAGTCTATTATGCCTCAGTAATTGGAAAGATGTTTTAAAGCTTTTATTACAGATGTCGCACTTCAAATTGTCTGTTGTTGGTATAATGACTTGAGTTCTCTTTTGTCCATTCTCATCCTCTGATATTATCAGGGATATAGTCACAGTATTGTCTTCATTGTCAAAATCTTGAAGCGACGACGACACCGTACTTGTAGTCTAGCGAATTATAAATATAAATAGAAACTGTCCATCTGTGTATATGTGTGTGCGTGCGTGTGTGTAAAGCTCATTGATATACAATATAAAACGTACCTGTTTATTAGAAACAGACTTTGAATCTATATCAGGTAAAATAAAAGACTCCTCTTCGACCGTGCTGCTGTTCTGATGTAATTTAGATTGCGATTCTTTATTGGTATTGTCGTCGCTGCTTTCAGCAATCGCGTAATTTCCGTCCTCGGTTAAATATACCGGTTGCAGAGTTCCGCTAGCATCCTTGAAGTATAATTGACCGTCTTCGTCCTCGTGCAAAAATATTTGATCCTGAAAAAGCAAAAAAATATATAATATATCCACTTATAAGGTCTCAATAAACTTTTCGAATGAAAATGTTATGTCGTATACTTGAGAACTGTCTTCTTCTTGATTTTGATTGGTCTCGGAATTCGGCACCTCCCAAGACATTTGCTCATCTTGCTCCATCGTTGTGTTATCATATTGATATTGTTCATTGTCGTCGATAGCTTGCGCTACGTACAGTGTCTCCATGTTGTCGCCTTCGTAGTAAATGGTACCCTCAACCGGTATGGTATTTGCTTCAAGTCGTTCCATCTAAAATAATGATTGCTTGTTAATAATATTAAAAGACCATTTTACATTTACAATACTTGGATCAGATATACTAACTTTGACGTAGTGATCATTGAGCTTTTCTTGCTGCTGCTTAACGGTAGCATCTGGCTTCTTTGTTCCAAGCACCGTGTACAACAGATTATTCTCTGTATTTTTCACTATCTCTTGAGTCGACTCACTATCGTCCTCGATATTGTTTACTTTATTTCCATCCATTCGAGATTTGTCCACTTTTCCCGTAGAATCCACATGGATCTTTAAATCTAATCTGTTTGATGGCAACAGGATAGTTTGATTATTTACATGCTTCTTGTCAGCCTGCGTCCGCAAAGAGCTCGCGCGATTATCCGTCATTTCGAAATTATTGTCCAACCCATCCACGCGTTCCAGCTCCTCATCCTCCCAATCCTCATCAACGTCATAGTTTATAACTTGCTTCTTAGTGGTTTTCTGCGTACTACTTTTTACATTTTTGACGGGTTCCTTTTCCACGTGCGAAGTAAACATCGAGTTCTCCTCGTCGAAGCCATAAAGTTCCATGTTTTTACTAGTCGCCTTGTCATTTCTCTTTGTCTTTTCACGCGTTTCACTGTCCTGCGCATCCGCCAACTTGTCCTTATCCGAGGCATTACCATCCGGTGGTGTCTCTTCACCTTCCTCCTCGACTTCTTCAATTATTTCTATGATCTCTTCTATTTCTGCCTCCTCAGAATCTTCGGCGGTTACTTCAGATTCGAATATAATGTTCTCTTCCGTAACATTTCCATCTTTCAATACCTCCATAACATCCTTGTTATCCATAACTAAGCTCTCCAATATTTCCGACGACAACTCCATCTTTAAATAAAGATTATGTCTGAAAAAGTAAACACACAAACGTTTAAAAAAAGTGAATAACGTTAAACTTTGTATATTTGTATCTTTTAGTCTTATTTTAAGAATATATTTTTATTTTTTAAGTAACAAAAAGGCTCTTCTTTTTTATATTATATCCTGATCATTAGGAGCTCGCAAGGAAAAAAAAACGCATATGGATGGTGTAAATAATTCTGGCTGTTCTAGATATCTGAAACACAAAAACCAAAATTTTGTTATTCAAGAGAAGTGTGGCTATCGTCTGAACTAGACTAAATGTTATACGTTTATTAGCTTTTTCTTTTAATAAAATACCTATACTACCAAATTTTTGACGAAAAACTATAATATTTTATATTAATAAAAAGCCGTTATTTGTCTAGAGTGGAAATATTGGTTTAAGTACGGTGTCCACGATGCAAGAACTGTGTCCAAGTTTCGATTTAAGCCAATCAACTTGCAGCTCTTACAGAAAAGTAGCAGTTTCATTGGCTTAAACCGAAACTTGGACACAGTTCTTGCATCGTGGACACCGGGCTTTAGTTCTAGGGCTGCGGTCCACTTGACGCTACGAATGCTTTCAATGAAGAAAGAAGGAGAAGAAGAACGCTTCAAACCTAGTTCAGACGATAGCCACGCTTCTCCTGAATAAGAAAATGTTTGGTTTTTGTGTTTCAGATACCTAGAACAGTTGGAATCATTTACACCGTTCATATGCATTTTTTCTTGCGAGCTCTTAATGATCAGGCTGTAACATAAAAAAGAGCGGTTTTTTTTGTTATTTAAAAAATAAAAATACAGGGTGTATATATATTCTTAAAATAAGGCTAAAAGAACACGCAAAAATTCGCGTTATTCGCTTTTTTCCTTATAAAAAATTCCTGAAAAATACCCTTTTTATGATCTTTCGAACCAGAGAGAATGCTCCCTTAAATATTTCACTACAAAAGCTAGTCGATCACCACTAAAGTGACAATAGACTTGTTCGTTGTTAGCTAAACTTCTTGCACGGTTCATCTTTCCTCTTTTTTCTTTTCACGTTGCCCACGTTGGAGAGAAAAAGAGGAAAAGATGAAATGTGCAAGTTCAGCTAAAACGAACAGGTCTAATATAAAAATAAATAATTCAGCGCAGCATTGTACTACATGTTCCAAAAATAATAAGAGACGTAGATCATGATATTATTGTGCAATATATATATAACGTTACTTGCAGAATGTCCTAAAATCTACACAAATCTATGCACGCAACTGTATAACACGTAACTTTCGAGTTTTTTTTTTACACTTTTTATATTCATTCGCATCTCGTTTTGTTCTTATCGTTACACGTGCATTTAAATGGAGAAAATTTCAATTTTACTTACAACAGAAACTTTTTATTCTCGACTCAACTCATGAATTAAATTTAAGAAATCTCAAATCCGTAATTAACTCTGAATGGTTTTTTAATTAGACACGTATATCCTCACTGCCATTAACCGCCGCACTATGCGCACTGGTAGCTGCCTCTCCCGGTAGCGTTTTTCAGCTCCAGTTCCTCCGCGACGGAAAAGTTAATAATGTGCCAGGGGCTAAACAAATCCGGCTTATCCGGCGCGAAAACCGGTGGAACCATGTTGACGCATCATCATATACATTCCGGCGAGGGACGTGTTGACCGATGCTAAGGAAAAGTCGCGCGTCCTACGTGCCGACGGATACTTGTGCGCGAATTCCTGCTCGCAGGCCAAAGTCGCGCCTTGGGCTTGGGGTCGAGGGCGGGAGGCGGTGGGCGCAGGAAGGCGCGAACGCGAAACATCTGAGGGACATCGCGCGAGGCGAAGGTCGCGTGTCGCGCCACGAGCCACGAGGGCACGAGGCACGAGGTGCAACGTCGATCGACGCGTCCGAAACACGGCCGCCTCGCGATTTCTCGCGTGACTCGCGTCCCGCACTGTCCGGGCGCGTCGAGCGCCGCGGCGTCGAGGAACGCGACGCGGAACGGAGACGAGAATACGTCGCGACGTTCCGCGCGACGCCGAGAGCAGCTTCAGCTTCAGCAGCTAAGACTCACCAGTCGGTACGAAAATCCCGTGAATTTATCAACGGCTAGCAATATGGCCAACCCTGAACCCGGGCGACAGAGAAGATGGGTAGGAGGAAGGGAGGGAAGGAGGGAGGTGTGTAGCCGAGAAAGAGAGAGCGTTTATCGTCGCACGGAATTACGACTTACGACTTACGCGACGCGAAGATAGCCGCGCGCTCGATATCGATTATTATTGATGCTCGTCGACCGCCGAACGTACATACCTGTCGCTGTTCCGCGAAATCGCGGGCAAACACGCCGCACGTCACGGTTCGATGTGTGCTCGGTCGATACGCCGATTGTCCGAGGTCGCCTCTCCTGTCTTCTCCACCAAGCGAGCGAGCGCGGCGATGCCACAGGCCAGCGCGCCCAGCGCGGGAGTTTCACGGCGCTGGTACGCACGCGCAACCGGAAGCTCGGGGCGGCGCGGTCGCGCGAAGCGTATCGACCAATCGAGCTTTATGAGCTTTATCCAACGCGAAAATGGCACATTGGCACGGATATACGCGCATATATTTCATGACGTTACTCCTCTACGCGTATTCGCTTTAATTTTTGCATGTGAGTATATGTAAAAGAGAGTAAAGAAAAACAGGAAAGAGCACGTGGTGTTAGCGAAGCGGACGGAAGCGACTATAAACCCTAAAGCAGCATCCCCATGGAGAGAGAAATAGCGGAACGGAACTAAAACGGAATCGCTCTGATTGGCTAATCTTCAAGTGGGGGCTTTCAAAGATATGGGATATTAGCCAATCAAAGGACGTCCGTTTTACGTCCGTTCCGCTATTTCTTTCTCCATGGGAATGCACCCTAAGCCTTAAGAACGTGTTCAATCATAGTTGAATTTGAGGAGAATACGTGACTTGAAGGCCATTGCACGTAATAGCCAAAGCACATATGACAGTCGTAGTCGTGGACGTAAGTAACGCACAAGCTTTGGCGTATCCTGATTTGTCAGGTCGAGGACTACGACTGTCGTATATCGCTACGCCATGTTATGTGCTTTGGCTCTAAGGCCCGGTCTACAATGAATGTCGGAAGTCGGAGTCGTAAGAAATTGACCAATCAAAGTTCATTATTCTTCGACCGCAAGGAGAATAATAGATTGTAATTGGTCAATTTCTTACGGCCCTACGATTACGACTAAAGCATTGTTACGTGCAATGGCCTTTATGAATACCGGCCTTAATCGTTGATTAGTCCATGGAAAATGACCACGCGCATTTGCTCATTAACCAGATTGACAAATGCGCGTGGTTTGGTCCAAGTGGCCCTTCAGTGCTCCTGCATGCATCCAATGGTCATCGTTCAGCATGTTCAGAACGTTTATTTTGCAACTGTTGGAAGTTTTCTGAGCCCAGATTGGCGTATTCCTCTAGATCTAAAGAATAATCCAATCTGAGCTTTGAGCTCAGAAAACTTTCAACAGTTGCAAAATAAACGTTCTGGTTTGCTATGAACTACGTGTAAGCATTTGTTTTTTAATCTAAAAAATGAGGTTTAGTTTTCAACAAAATTTCAAGCAGTTGTGTAGGTCATGGCATTTTTGGCTACACACGTTGGTATGTAATATTGTACCATTTGTAATTTTTTCATATATTATGTATACTTCAATAACAATGTTTACATTATAATGATTATGCTTTTAACAGCCTGCAGAAGCGTTAGAAAAAAATGTGCGTGGTGCAAAACACGTTTTACCAGAACCGGAATATAATACAGACTTTTTATGCAACCCTGCAAACCGTGACGTTATTTTCAACAATATCAAAAGAAGAAAAGGTATTGGAGATATCGATAAAGTTCTCGAATATTCCGGCAATCCCGAGAAGAGAGAGTTGCTCCTACAGGAATTAAGCAAGATACCAAACTGTACGCATCCCACGGTACGTGAGTATGGTGATAAACCGAGATTGTTGAAGGAGTGTGGCAGGAAGCCAGAATTTGACTTTGAGCCACAGGAGTTTGTCGAACTCGCCACTAATTTGAAGGCGATAAGAACGCATACGTTGGGTCCTGTTACTGGACAAAGAAGCTACATGCTCTTAGGAGATCTGGCAGAATTAGAAGAAGCATTGATTCAGTATGCACTTAGAAGGTTGTTGAAGCATGGATTTAAGTTATTGTCGGTGCCTGATATCATCCCTACTAAAATTATCGAGAGATGTGGTTTAATAGTAGACAATGGTCGTACCTTGGTATATAACTTGGATTCTCATTACGGTGACAACTATAGCTTGTCTGGAACTGCGGAAATGTCATTAGCCGGCAACGTGATGAATAGTACATTTTCCTATGACGTGCTACCAATAAAATTGGCCGCTGTCAGTCGATGCTACCGTGCGGAGGGATCGGGCGCTCTGGATGAAAGAGGAATCTATAGGTACATCAACATATAGGGGGTAAACTTAAAATTTCTCAAACCACGTTTATCTCTGAACTTATTATGTTTGGACAGAGTTCATCAGTTCACCAAAGTGGAAATGTTTGTTTGTTCCGAGCCAAATCAATCCGAAGAGATGTTTCAAGATCTTCAAAACATACAGGAAGAATTGTTTTCCTCATTAGGATTGCACTTCCAAATAATGGATATGCCATCTCTTGATTTAGGTTCACCAGCTTATAGGTAGTGCATTCAAATACGTGTACTTATATTACATATATATTCTGTTTACATTTTCTGATACAAATGCACGCCTCCTTGTTTTAGGAAATGTGACATGGAAGGCTGGATGCCTGGAAGAAAGTTGTATGGTGAATTGTCCAGTTGTAGTACGTGCACGGATTATCAGTCAAGACGTCTTAATATTAGATATAGGACAAAAGATGGGAATATGAAACACGTGCACACGCTGAATGGAACCGCGTGCGCGATACCTCGCATGTTGATCGCATTGTGCGAAACGTATCAGACGAGTCACCACCGTATCACGGTACCGAACGAGTTAGTGCCTCTGATGAGGGGAAAAACTCTCATTAAGAAGCAACCGATCGCAGATATGAGACCTTACAAGTATAAACAAAAATTAAATATAAAACAGAAAGCCGAATAAAGTGTAAATACAAGAGAGAAGCTGTTTCACGTGCCGTGCGCATGAATGAGTACTGTAAGTGTAGATTGAACAAATTTCCCTTTTAGATCAAGTTCCTAAAAAAAAAAAAACGGCAGATTTGTTTTCCAATAGTCGATTAGGATGCAAAAGTTTCCTGAGATTTGTTCATTCTGTTACAAGGAAGTTAGAGGAGTCCAAAACTTCAAAATATTAAACACCACCTGTCAGTATATTTTCTATAAACTAGTACAATATTATACAAAGAAAGACAGGGATCCGAAACGTGTACGTACACAGGGATAAAGATTTTTTTTTCTTATACGTTCTTTGTTATTCTGTATATATTTTGTAGCGGAGTTATAAAAATGTAACACAAAATATTTTTTCTTAAAGTAATACAATTCAAAGATGTTGCAAATTTACAGTTCCTCCACACCGATTGGATGTTAGTGTTTAGTTCTTATTGACAATTTAAAAATTTTCTATTCTTTTGAATACTTGATTCATCATGGAGTACCTAACATTGACTTAAGTTTTATTTATAATTGTATATTTCCAAGAGTCCGTGGCGTCTCTTCTGACTGATATTGACGTGTCCTTGATCTGTCTCGAAATTTTGGGTCTATGTCGTTTCTTGTCACTGGCAATGATGCGTTCTCCTGTAAAGAGAAAGATGCCTTGAAATAATGGAATGTAACCGTTTCTCATGGATTTCAAATAAAACTTTGTAAAAAGAAATTACTTGAATATTTCTAATCCTCTTCTTCTCCTGATTCGGATTCTTCTTCAGCATTCTGTAGCCATTCTATGAATTTTTTCATTTGGTCTAAAAAGAGCATTTTCCCCTTCACTGAATGACCCTCTTTGTACCACTTCAATATTACATCTTCTGACACAACTTCCGCTAAAAATCAACGTGACCATTTTATTCTCTTTATAACAATATTTACAATATTTAATTAAATTACGTATACGAGAATCTGTAATATATGTATATTGTATAAAATGCTTAGATTTCGTAAATGTATGTATTCTATAGTATGCATGTTGTATACTTACTTTTATAAAAGAGTAAAACAATCTTCTGGAAGACTTTCATAAAATTCATGTTCTCATAACAGAACTCCTGGACCTTGAGGATGAGTGCGAGTTCAGATCTGGCAGTGGTTGTAAAAGCACCGAACAGTGAAGTATAAACTTTTAGATGTTTCAGTGCTTGTTCAGCGACCAACTCTTCTTTCTTGTTCCATTCAGCTTGGCCCATTACAACAACCCAAATCTGTAAATGGTGGCGAATAGTATTTCTAAAGATATTTTTGTGCGTCTTAATCAAATATATAAGAGAATGAAAGACCATTACCAATCCAATCACTTCGTGTTCGGGAATACAGCTCCTTTGTGCCATTTCCTTGAGATCTAACGTAATGTCTTTCATTGGTCTATTTTCCGCTAAGTCATCCAAGAGAAGTTGTTGCAGATCCCGTTTGGCTTCCTGACTGGCCTGAGCCTTGTGCAATTTCACGATATCCGCCAGGCCTACTGCTTCGAATACAGACCGGAAATGCTCCTCAGTTCGTTTATTTGGTGGTACAAACTCCATCAACCTACAAAAGGAGTTGCATAAACAAGAAAGAATAAATCAATCTATGGGAATATAAAAAAAAAAAAAAAAAAAAAACCTCTAAATTATACAATAAATAATTAATATTAAGCATTAATTTTACGTACCTTCCCTCAATACCTCCTTTCTTCAGAGCCGTCATTAAACTAGATAAGCCTTTTTCCTGTTTCCAAGTAACAAAGACCTCCAGTAGAAAGTCCAATGCCAAGTTGTCCTTGACAAGATGCTCATTGATCAAGACCGAAAGGACCGTAGGTGGTACAGAACCGTTTGAGATCCACAGCGCTGTCATCCTAGCTAGCTTGATTCTTTCCTTAGGTGAAAATCCTTTCATGAAAACCAATACTTTCTTCATCTCTTCCTCAAACATCTTCTCCAGATATTTGTAACGCCGCATAAGCTTGATAAAGACCTGTTTATTCAAACAAGAGATTTTATTTTAAAATTTTAAATTCCAACTCGCTATCTTAAAGTGGTGATAAAAGACTCCATTTTGTCCACTTTTTACCTGCTCGAAATTCCGCATAGACTCCATATCCTCTGGCTGCTCAAAAACACATGCACTGGTTTTTACCGGTTTGTCACCATCCTGAGCAATGGAACCGCCAGGAACTAGAAGGCCTCCAGCTATCATGATGTCAAATAATGCCTCCCCATATCGACGATAATCTAACTTAGAACCAGCCGCGTCCAAAAATTTAGAAATTGCTTCTAAGTCGTTACCAGCTTTTTCCAAACCAAGCAAAACCGCATCTCGAAATCCGGTTGGGTCATATTTCTCTCTTTCATCTGCAAACACCAGCTTTCGTCAATACAGTACCCTAAAGATTTGCTCTTATACGTTTACATAAGAAGTAACGTCTGTCTTTTACCTCTTTTTCTGGTCTTTATGCGTTGACCTGATAGTATCGGTTTTTCAATTTTTTGACTCATACAATACTCTTCTGAAAAAGAAAAAAAAATGCAGCTTAACAAAACTATTGTCTTTACGTTGAATTTTTTTTTCAAAGATATTAACGTATAAATGGTTGCGCTCAAAAATTCGTGAGAAGCGTGCACGCACTCGAAATCCCTATCTTCGCGATTCAATGATGAATCTATTAATGTAAATTAGTAAGACGTCAGGGAAGCGTGTGCACGACACGCGCGTCACGCTGCAACGCTCAATCTCGGAGCAATCTCACTAAGCATAATCCTTGAAAAATGGCGGCAGCGGGGTTCGTCCGCTGTTCGTCTACGCGTTATTATCGGGCGTCTGTGACGTGCAAGGCCAGCGGCAGCGGCGTACGTACGTGACGACAGAAAGAAAGACTCCATTCGGAGGTTAAGATCGCGCGCGATGCGTGACCACGATGATGGCCGAGGCCATTAAATATAACTCGAGGAAATCCGGCGGAGCGCGCGCGAAAAAATCTGCCGACTCGCGGCTGGTGATATTCTCTGCTCATCGCGTTACTTACTTCGAAGCACGTAGAAATTGTAGACCAACCTCTCCTGCCCGGGCGTATGTGACCGACGTGGGATGTTTTAACGGGGACTCTGGGACTCGAGGTCACAGCACAGCGAAACCAAAGAGACTCGGTGACAGAGGAGAGAGGAGAAGCAGTGGTGAGCAGTGTGAGCAGTGGTTGGCGGAACGTAGACGAGAAACCGCATGGTCAATTTTCCTACCCGGCGCGGCGCGTTACGGAAGAGAAAAGAAGCTTCACTCGCGTAGGATAGGCTGCGTTTTGTGGTTTTGCCGAACCTTTGCTTAGCTATAAGCGCAAAGTAGCACGTAAGTGTACATACGTGGATCCAAAGGTAAGAACCACGCACATTCAATTATGCTACTTTGCGCTTAGCTACACAGTGCACACACATTTTTCGTAGAATGTAACAGTAAGGTTTCGACCACGCGCGTTGCTCGATTCAGCCGTCTATAAAGGCCACTGCACGTAACAAAGATTTAGCCATAATCGTAAGGCCGTAAGAAAATAAACCAATCACAGTCGATTATTCTCCTCGCGCTTGAAAAATAATCGAGTGTGATTGGTCTATTTTCTTATGGCCTTACGATTACGACTAAAACTTTGTTACGTGCAATGGCCAGTGGCCTTAACCGTAGAAGTACGAAACGTGAGCAACACGCGTGGTTAAAAACCTTTTACTGTTACGTTCTACGAAAGGTGTGCGTGCCCTGCTTTACTACGTTTACGCGAGCGTTATTTCTGTAGTAACTTACGATACGTTACTCCGCGTAAACGAGTGAGTTAGAATTGATGTATATATGTACTGCACGTATGGAGCATTTTTAATTCAGTCAAATTAATACGACGCTACCCGCGTAGAAAGAAAACGGTAATTTTATCGGTAAAACAGACGACTCCAGCATATCCCTTTAAATATAAAATTTTTATTCTTACGTATCTTATTGTAACATCAACCATTTAAATTACATTAGACGTTGCTTAGATTATAGGACTGTGAGATATATAAGTTTTTCTACGCATTTCTCTTTATCTTAAATTAAAGCAAAAGACAAGAAATACAATATTTTTATTCCGCACAGGTGCTGTTAGAAGAGCGAGAACTGAAAGAAAATTTTGAAATATTTGAAATAGAAAATTTAAATATGAAGAAACTGTCGCACTGCATTCACACGAAAGATTGCTCTAACAGTGTTAATAAATTTAAAAAATTTAAAGGTGGTACGATCACGTATATATACTCTTGACATAGATATAGATAGACCTACGCGGAACAAGAAAATGGTAGATATTATGAAACGTCGTAGATTTGTTATTTTACTCGGAATCCGAACCGGAACTGGCATCCGTTTCGTACTCTCCGACGTTGATAGTAAATTTGTATTCTTGATCGCAACCGAGATAAGCGTCGCTCATGAAGTACAGGGTGTAGGAGTGCTGGCCGGGTGCCGGAGCAACGAAATCCAGTTTGATCTTTGCCTTCTGTTGTAACGTCAGGCGCTTGATAGAGAGCAAGGAGTTGCTCTTTGGGTCGCCGATCACCACCCACCAGCCTTCCTCACGTTTTTGCGGGAAGAATGGCGCGACTACCGGTCCAATTACCTCGTCCTCCCGTTCCAATTGTACAATCACGTTTACCGTGCCGCCGCTGTGCAATTTGTCTTTATCTTGTACCTCATACGACATCTCAATGTTAGGATACCGGTTACAGAATTTAGCCACGTCCGCCATCTGCGCATCCGTTAACTGCAACAGCCGATTTCGATCGTCATCCTCGAGCTCCATCACGTCGAACACGGTCTCCACGCCTTTGTCGGTGCAGCGCTTGATGGTCTCCGCTGTGAAGTGCGGCAGTTGCTTTAAATAGGAATCCTTGGACCACATCGCCTGCGTCACCATCTGCGCAAGTTCCATAGCGGCGACGGCGGGTGCCAACCATCCAGAAGAGCTCAGCACGTCGACGCAAGCTTGTATCAGCCTCACGGCCTTGCCCAGCACCAGTTCGGTGTCCTTCTGCAATTCTGGACCTAGCTGTATCCTCGACAAGTGAGCTTGGAGCAGAAGCTGCGCTTTCACGTGAGGATCAGCCATTCTAGCGGCTTGTGGCGCATGAGGTAGACGCGCAGCCAAACTTCTCAGTAAATTCTCTTCTCTTTGTCGCACTGGAACGCTCTCGTACTCAGCAGCTGCTGAAATAATCTCCAACAAACCCCTGATCTTCGTCTTATTGTTGAGAGACAGACTGAACAATTCGATGGTGGCGTAATTGATGTAATAGTAGGCGGCGATCATTCCCAGATTGAGCGGCAAAGTATCCATCTCGTCTTCTACGGCGACACACTTGGCTTGTTCTAGGTCGGTCAATGTACTCTCGACCAACTCGGACAGATGATCCGATAGGTGCCGATGCGTGACGCCTTGCAGGCCGTAGTAATTAGGGTTCTGAGTGAGTCGTCGGTACAGGAATGTCCACGTGAGGTAGTCAACCGCGTCTTGTTTGTTTTCGATCGTCTTCGTCACAATCTCCGCATTGAAGTGATCATGCAGCCGGCGATCCAAGTGGCTTTCCACTGGTAGTGGCTCATTCAGGAACTTCTTGAAGAAATCTTTTTTCGAGCTTTGACATAGTAGCACGCACTTGGCGTCCTCGTCTTCTAGTGGGCGATTAGCTCGCGCCACCATTTGCAGCACGTCCGTGATTGGATAATCTTCATAAGCATGTGTCTTGCCGTTGTAACACTGCGTGTCCATGACTACAACAAGGTGGGAGCTGATAGATAAACCCCAACAGAGATCCCTCGTCGCGACCGCCACTTGGATAGCTCCGCTGTCGAACAGTTGCTCGACTAAACGACGATCGTCGGCCGATAGACCCTCGTGAAGGTAAGCCACACCTTGCGACAGAGTTTCCTTTAGCGTTTTGTCGGTCATGCGATCGAGGAACGGCTTAATGTCAGCCTCTTCTGCATGGAAGAATTTCGAGGGTTGACCCTCGGCCGCCGTGAATGTTAGCAAGTCGATGGCCGTTAATCTCGCCTGCCGACGAGTGGGTACAAATACGATCACCGGTTTGTGCGCGGCATGCCGGAGAATCGCGTTATACACCGGTTTTGCCATGGCGGCTAATCTCGACGCGTTGTGGGTGACGTTTATACCTTGCACGTGCAGCTCTAAAGGTACCGGTCGCACAGAAGGATGAAAATTGAAGGTTGCTGCTGCCGGTGCTCCCAACCACTGTGCTGCGTCTTTGGCGTCGGCTAACGAGGCCGATAACGCTATTATCCTGGTGGGTTTGTCGAGCTGCGAAGAGATATAACGGGCTCGCGAACATGCAACTTCTAACACCGGGCCCTCCTCACCGCCGATCAGCTGCAGCTCATCCACGATAAACAGCTGGATGTTCTGCACGTTCTTCCGCTGCTTCCACCTGCGTGATAACACGTCCCATTTGTCCGCCGTGGTGATAATGATCTGACCTTTGGCCAGGAGCTTCAAATCCGTTCCCGTTTCACCGCTCAGCAGGACAACTTTTCTTCCCAGCTGTTGGCCGAATTTTGCCGCCCACGCGGCATAGACCAATTCGGCTAAAGCTTCCTTGCTCACCATATATACGCATCGTCCTTCCGGATTCTGCGTTAGTAATCTTAGTACCGCAAATTCCGCGATGGTCGTCTTTCCTGAACCTGTGGGCGCTCCAACGAACACATTATCGTCGGAATTGTAGATCGCATTGAACACCTGTGTCTGGATCGGGTTAAACTGCGGAAAATCAGAATAGATGTTCTCGAATTTGGCATTTCGTAACGCCGTTATCGGCAGCGCCTGCAGATCCAGCAATTCCGTAGGCGGTAGATTCTTCTCGGGCAATATCAGATGTCGGAAGCTTACGGGCAATTGCGTCTCCGCGCCGATCCACCGATCAGACACCACGCGCAAAAAGTACTGTGGTGGCAGAGGCTCGAAGACTGGCACGAAGAATTTAATCACATGTTCATCAGCCGCATATTTGGCCTTGAGCAAAAAGTACTCGTGATGCAATATTACCTCCGAATCTACGTCCTCGACTAAAATCCAAAATGCTTCGGACATACCGTGAACCTTCTCGTCCCACTGGAAGTCCGGGGTGATAGTCAGCACGACTCTTAAAGTGGAACGCGTGATCGGTTGGATATGCGTGGAAAGGCCCAGTTTCGGAAACTGGTGGACGTATTTGTGAATGGTCTTGCCCAGCTTCGGCACGCGAATCAATTCGCCGATCTCGTTGGGCCCCAAATCATACAACCTCTCCCATGGGAAGTTTTTCTTCTCGATCTTCTTCACAATTTCCTCCGGCATCTTGCGGAATTGTCTGAGAGGCGACATCGACTGCCACATCCTGCGATCGATCATCTTGCAGATGGACAGGCACTTGTCCGCCAATTGTGCCCAACCGCGGAACAGAACAATCTCGAAGATGGCTCTCATGAGACGCGAGGCTGATTGCGTCACGAATACCATATCGGACATGAGAGCGAATCCCTCGAGTTTCAGTTGTGAAATATACGCTTGCAATAGCACATTCACCTTCGCGCTCGGTTCCTCGATGCTTTCCTTCACCGGTATCGGCACCCTTTCCATCAGTTTCTGCAGCTCCAACTTCTCTTCCTCCCTGACATTTATATTTTTGAACTCGCCCGACAGTGAGAACACCCGGAACAATTCTATCTCGCTCAACGTGCGCTTCAACAACTGATTGTACGTAGACATTGTTTCGTGAGTGCAATAATAATGAGACGCTATTCTGCCCAACTCGGTCGCCTGAAAATTGCCGGACTTGCGATCGTACTTGATCAAGCCGCTGCGATCCAATCCGAGTGCCGCCGAGTGGATTAGATCAGCTCTATGCAGCTCCAATAAAGGATCTTGCTTCAACTTGTCGTGACTTATCCCGTATAGATTCGGGCAGCGAAGCATTCTAATGTAAAGATAAGTGTAACCAAGCCAGGTAACCGCATCTCTGATATTTTGAATCGTACCTAACACCACCTCCGCGTTCAACATGTCGGACATCTTGCTGATTAATTGGGATTCAATGGGTAGTTGCTGATTTAAGAGCGACAGATAATACTGTAGCTCGCTATGATTCGTGATGAGGATGCCCTCGCCTTTGGTGTCGTACTGCGGTCGACCGGCTCGTCCTAACATTTGCAGTACGTCTAAAGCGCCCAGCTCGACCCATCTACCCTTTTCCGGATTGTATACCTGGGTACCCTTGATAATAACCGTGTGAGCCGGTAAATTGACGCCCCAGGCTAAAGTTGCTGTAGACACGAGAACTTGTATGTGTCTATCGGCGAAGAGATCCTCTACCAGGGTACGATCCACCCGAGTCATCCCGGCGTGATGAATCGCAAAACCGTATGGCAGCAGATCCTTAAGCTCCTGATTTTTCACTTGCTCCGCCTCTGTTCTTAGAACCTCCATCGACGCGGAACCTTCTCTGAGAAATTGACCCAAAGTATCCTTCTCCAGACACATGTCTCGAATAGCGCGTGCCGTTTTTCCGGTTTCTTTACGCGAGTGCACGAATATCAGTACCTGATTCCTGCCGGCGTGTTCCATGGTCTTTTCGTAGACAATCTCATTCATCACCTGGAAACGTTTCAATGCTTTCTTTTCGGTGACGCCGATATATTGCTGTTCCAAAGCTACAGGACGAAAACTGTTGTCGAAATAAAACAGTCCCGTTTCCGGTTTAATGCGTAAAAACGCTGCAACATCTTGATAATTGGGTAATGTGGCCGACAAGCCGACTAGACGCACATCTTCCTGAGTAGTTTCGATGTTTCGTATCGTTCTTGCCACCAGCGCCTCTAGGACAGGACCTCTCTCGTCGTGCAATAAGTGAATCTCATCAATAATAATCACGCGTACTAATGACGTGAAAGTTTTCTCGCCACCCTTTCTCGTTATGATATCCCATTTTTCCGGCGTGCACACTATCACCTGAGTAGCGGCAATTTGCTCTCGTGTTAACTGATGATCACCCGTCAATTCGGAGACAGTCAGATTGTATGTTGACAATCGCTTGCGAAAATTTCCGACCATTTCTTGCACCAGAGAACGCATCGGAGCGACATAAATTATTTTGAACTCATCTGCATTGATTGTACCATCAGCGTTTATATGCTTTCCAATTTCTCGCATCATGCACAGCAGTGCCACATTGGTTTTACCAGCTCCTGTTGGAGCACACAGCAGCAGATTTTCGTCACTCTCCAACGCCGTCTGATATAAGCGACTTTGTATGCGATTCAATGTCTTGAAGCCTTCAAAAGCAGGTTGCACATACTTGGGCAATTGTTCAATTGGATGTAGTTTCTCATTTTCTGCAAACGGCTTCGGTTTTAAAGCAGGAACATGAACTTCTTCGTATCTGTAAATATTATCAAATGATCAAGCATTACGAAGGTGAGCGACCAAAATAGCAAACATTTCAAGGGGGACAAAAAAAAAAAACCTAATATACTCACCCTTTTCGCTGTTTTCGAAAACTGCCGTCTGGTAGTTGGCAACGTTTGTTGGCCATAAAGTGACTTCCCTGAGCGAATATCAGATCCTCCAGATCTATCAAGTTTCTTGTACCTTGTACTTGTCCCCCTGGCCCTCCTGTATCTTCATTCTCTTCCCGCCTCTTGCGCTGCGATCTTGCTTCCATTGTCTCGTCAGCGTCGTCTTCGCCTTTACCCGTATCTAATTGCCGTAAGATTTTGGCAAGAACCGGATCATCGTTCATCTTGTTACGGATCTTTTGTCTTTCTGATTCAGACTGCGATGAGGCCAACATTGTACAGTACGCAACTGTAAATTTTACGAATAGTTTATTTCTTTTGAAATAATACATAAATTTAAAGAACCTGCAAAGATATAAATATTACGTTCGTTACACATGCACGTCTTACCTGTATGTCTGTATTTTTTAAGTTGTTTAATAAAGTCAAAGCAGTCATAACCCAATAGAAGTACAAGCTGATTCTCGCATTCACGATCGTCCGCGGCGTCTTTCAAGACAGCTAGTACCTCAGCAGCTCTCGCTTGTGACATCATAGCATCGTCATATATCCTACTTAATCTTCTTTGCAACCAATACGCATCTATATCTAATGGATGTAACGGTTTTTCTTTCTTCATTTCTTCTGTTCCACCCAACTGAAAAAACATATGTAACAGTTAATATTTAAAATTACGTACAGCTAATGATACGTGAGCACAGATGAAAGACACGTGACTCCATTTGATCTGACATGAGGATCAACGCAGTCCGTAACAGTAGAGCACATATCGTAAAAATCTTAATCTATGGTTGTGAATACTTATAGCGCATCGCTTATTCTCCTCGGCATATTTACTTTTTTTCACGCTATATCGGTATCCCCAAAATGTACGTTGTCACCGGTATGGCATAAAAAAAGTAAATATGCCGAGGAGGCTAAGCGATATGCATCTCGTGCATATCTCGATTTTATAAGAGATTTATTGGAGAACTGAAGATTATGAATGAAGGAGTATGATGTGTGATAACCCGTTTTGACACGCCATATTGTAATAGGATTAATCAAAGAAAAACTCACATTTTCTGCATGAATAGCTCTATCGTCATTGGCTTCTTCACCCTCATCTCCTTCGTCATCATTTTCTCGAACTTCTCCATACACATCTTCATCGTCCTCTTCGCTACTCTCCTCAAACTGTACATTGATCCCATATGTTTCATCAATATTCTCATCGTTGGTTGTAGTTTTTTCGTCACTGCCGAAATCCGTAATCTTCTTACCGAGGTTTACAAGCAGCGCGAATCTTTCTTCCGCTAATAAACCAAGTAAAAGCTCTGTTTCTTTTTTCTTTTCTTTCTCTTTAAGCCGATCATTTTTCAACACAGCTAGTACTTCGTCAGCCGCACCACAAAGAATATCGCGTGGCTGATCGCTCAAAGCTTCTTGTATGAAATGGAGCAATACCTCGTAAGTCTGACGCGTCTCTTGTGTTTTCGGACGATATACAATACCAACCATTTCATCCACACCTTCGGATAATAATGTTGCTCCTTTCATACGTGTGAAGTCATATTGCGCCTCATCGCGCTTTTGACGTCTATAAAATACCAAATATATCAACTTTGTATACGTCTTATGTGATTTCTTATAGCATTCGTACATTGTAATAAAATGTATTTATTGTAAAACTACAAAATAGAAAACTATTCTAAAACTATTCCTATTAAGGACACGTTACACCAGGGGCTTGCGTGCGTATCTTAAAACGAGGTGAAACGTGTGAGGAACGTTGTACGTTTCACCTCGTTTCTCAAGACACACACGCGACCCCCACAGTACGTGATTTGAGACGCAACTTTAGGCCCAACTTTTTGTTTCAACCTCCACTATATAAATAGTTGACTTGACGCTCGTTACCTTGACTATGACATTGAAGATTCAAGGAAATAATTTTAATGGCGATTTAGTAGAAAATAACATTCCATCGTACGAATGGACGTGCACTTGAGACAGAACATTGCATGCCTCACGTATGTATATCTAACGATGCCGTGTCAAAGACATGAGCAACGCGAAAGAGGTAGTAGAAATTAAATCGGGTTGAAAGTTGCTTCTAAATCGAGTCGAGCCAATGATCTACAATAAACTCACTTGACTTTTCTCTCTTCCGCCTTCCCAGGTTTGGTACGCTGGGCCCTATCACCCATACGTGTACCATCCAATTTTCCCACGAGGGACATAACCTCGCCGGTAGCCTCATCTCGGCTGCGTCTTTCTATTAACCGGACGTCAGCTTGTAAAACGAGATTGGAATTCTGCAAATGTTAGCGCAACATAATGCAACATAATCTCACACACACACACACCGTAGCCGTAACGTTATAAACATCATGTTCATGTGAGATTGAAAAATAAACGTTATAAATTTATGAAATAAAATAAATAAATTTATAAATAAAATTAGCATAAAGATAATTCAAAGCAACTATTACGTCATTATTAAAGAGCTAACAATAAGAAATAAGAAATACAAACCGCTTTATATTCGTACTGCAATTGACGCGCAGCAGCATCCGCCATGATTGCATTACATCGTTTTCAACCATAGACATAATAGTATATCTAGATCCATACGTATCTTTTCACGAGGTAAAAATGCGAAAAGTGAACAGATTTACTAGATTTCGACCAATGAAATTGTAGATACTTTAGTGAATTCTTTAACGAGAAACGTATGCGCGCAAACTCTGCTCTAACAGAAAAGCTGCAAGCTTATTGGCTAAAAACTGTGCGATAGCCAATCACGTTGCAGCCTTTCTGTTAGAGCAGAGTTTGCCATTAGAGAATCGGGCCCCTGAACTGCAGCGAAAAAGAACAGACCATATGCTTTTACGTTCTTCTACCTTATCTCAGGAACGGGTAGCACACGGTAGCATCGTAGCATAGTGCGTACATACATACCTGTATAGAATAAACGGAATAACCTATGGAAAAGTACTTAAAATCTACTTGTTTGTTTGTTTTTCAATATGTGTTTCTTTAGAACGTATTTCAAGCTTTGTATGTGTAAGATTTATATGTGCGAGATAATTTAATATTGAACATCTGATACTAACAATAAGAAGTTTCTCGAGGTAAATTTTCAAATTTTTCGTTAATGGACATTTATTGTGTGTCGAGTGGTAGTTGAGGTTGAGGTTGAGGTTGTGATCTCGTTGATCAAGTTGACAAGGTATGAAGAGAAATATTCGTATATCCGCTTCTTTTCTAATAATTTTATTAAAAAAACAATATATTATATACGTAGAAGAAATATAGCTTATTAGAAGCAGCTCTCAAGCAATGCTCTCCCTTAGAATTCTTAATACGTCATCAAAAACATGACATACAAGCTACGTGAAACATAAATTTTAAGGTCTAATGTTTGTGAACGTGTATGTACGTATGTATAACGTGGTTTTTAGTTATTCAAATTTATAGTTGCTTGATTATTACGAGGGACATTCACGAAGTAATGCAACATATTTTTTTCTTATTCAAGATTTGTTTTATTGCTTCAAGTTTTAAATACATCATACTTTTCCCCACGTCTTTGGCTACAAAAATATATTTTTTTAACATAATCACGTCTTCATTCACGTCTATGTCATCTAAATGTAAAAACCTGTATGTTACTGCTGTGCCACTATAGGTGAAGAACGACAGTCGACAGTCTACCCTACACCTTGGACCCTTGGATCTAGCACCTTCTGCCGTGACTTAATTTATCGATATGACGTTCCTGACATTATTGTAAACTATACATTCTATCATACGCAGTGTCTGCTCATGCATTTGATACGTGATCGTCGTGATCAGAACGTCTTCTGACAAAGCTCGCGTAGCCTTCTTCAGCCCTCTTCCATGTAAAGAATACGAGCATGTGCTACGAAATCATCGGCCTTGAAAACAGATTTTTGATTGTGCTACTATAAGTAGTGATAAGTATACATTTTGACTTATCTTTAGATATAGATCACGCATATGCATGACTCATAACTATAAACGAGCTCTGTCTTGGGACTTATAAGTACGAGTAAGTAACCAAAGTCCAAAAGACATTTAGGTATTTTTCTTCAATCTTTTTTGAGCTGTTTTTTTTTTAGTTCATTAAACCTTGGAGAGTAAGCTTTTCAACTATAAAAAGAGTTTGTGAAAGTTGGAGGCTGTATTAGGATAAAAGAGTCTTATTCAGAGTGTGACTTGTGTGATATCAATATCGAATAACTTTATATCCTTGTAACTTTTTTATTTGGCCTCTCCTAATACGGAGATCTGTATTTTTGGACGTGGCTCGTCAAAACGATTCAGCATATATATACAGGTTGTTCGATTTATGTATGTCATAAAATAAATCGCATATTCTACATAAAAAACTGATTGTGAGTCGAAAAGTCCTTTATAGTTTTTAGATACTTTTAAGGATATTAAGCGAGATCGTGCAAGTTACAGTTTGAATACGTTCTCAAATTAAGTATCCATAGATGAGGTGCATGTGTGCATATTCCGTAAATAAGAAAGACCATGCCTCGAAATCTCAAGGCTGAATACTTGTGTACAGCTTCAAAGCTAAAAGAACACTGTTTAAAATGTGTTAATAAAAAAACATTACAATATGATGTTTTCAAAACTATTATGAGAGAAAAATGGCTGGGTTTCTCCAGACCCCACGTGAGACTTACACGTATGCAAAAAATATATAAGTGTGACCTGCGAGGGTTAAAATGCTTTATAATATACATATATATCACCTTTTAAATTATTGCAAGATGAGTGGATATGCGAATATTTCTTTGCTCATGTTCTTTGTGATAGATTATAACGTCTTTTCCAGGCATATGCTCAAACATAAATATTTTGCATCGATTTTGATGAAGAGGTGGCCCTAAAATATCCAATTATGGCATCGGCGATCGAAGTTTTGGGGAAGCAAGCAATGAAAACGTTCAGCGATCGCCGGTTTTGTCAAAAAAACTTGGAAAAATTATTAAGTTTGCTAAACAAGATAACAGCAGAGGATGTGAAACTCGATAAAAACATTCTAGATTACGTTAGTAGACAGCCCGCGCCTATGTGCGTGATGGATATATTCGAGAACAAAGACATAACAATTGCAATTTTCATATTGAAACATGGAGTTAGGATGCCTATGCATGATCATCCTGGAATGCACGGTTTATTGAAGGTATGTAAATATTTGTGTCGTACATTTATATATATATATATATATATATAAGCGTTGTTGTACGACATAATGCGTAAAAATTGATGGTATAACAACTATAATACATAGATTGTCTTCAAACCGAAAGATATTAGCTTAAGATTCGACAAAAGATATAATTTTGAGTAAAAAAAGTTCCAATAAATTGTAATATGTATCAATATAATGTATACCGATCATAATATAGGTAATCAGTGGTATGGTAGAATTAAGCAGCTACAGTTTGAAGACAAAGAGTGATCATGTAATTAAAGCGAAGGAGGAAATTGCGGCAGTCAGGCATAGGCCTGACTATCTTCATAGCAACTCACCCGCTTGTACCTTTACACCGACGGAAAAGAATTTTCATGAAATCTTGTGCGTGGAGGGTCCTGCAGCTTTTCTAGACATACTCAGTCCACCGTATGACGTCGACGAGTTTGGCAAGGGAACGAGACCCTGTACGTTCTTCAAGACCGTCAAGTCTAAGTTGTGTACAGACGTGACAGATATAATCGAAGAAGTTCAATTGACAGTTGTGGAGAATCTGCCGGACTTTTATTCTTCGAGTTTAGAGTATAGAGGACCTCCTTTGAAAAATCACTGTACGTAAGATAATACTTTTCCACTTCGTGGTTTGTGAATTTTGTATTTGTGACGTTGTGCATAATCATATAGTTGTATAGTACATAGACTTTTACCACTATAATCTTCACCGCTAAATATATTTAAGATTTAAGGCTCCTGGTCCCTGCTACAACTGTCCTTATTTAATGACGTCAGAAGCGAGAAATGACACGTTTGCGAATACACCAGCGAATAAGCCTATATGCGGTTAGGCTTTGCATCACATTCATTTTACGACTGTTCATTAACTGTCAAGGGGAACGGATAGAACTCGGAATATTTTTCAAGTGTGCTGAAGTGATCTAAAGTGTCATTTTGTGCAAATATCTTTTTATTTGGAAATACCATGCAAGAATTTTCCATGTGTCATTTTTCGCTTTTGACGTCATTAAATATAAGGACAGTTACAGCAGGGACTAGGGAGTCTTAAGTTTAATGCACGCGTGGTAGATATAATCGAATCAAGAGACACGGGGTAGTGTCTCGCGCCAAGTATACGCGTAGCGCGAGACCGCTTCGTGTACCTCTTTACGCGAGCCGGAGAGTTGCGAGTACCTGGAGATTATCAGATTTCAATAACAGCTAAATGTTCATATTGTGAACGCGTGGAGCTCCGTGCCCTGTAAATTTAGCTCCAACTCGATTCTATAGTTAATCACATGTCACTGTTGGATGCCGAGTATATGTACATAGATATAATATATTAGCGATTTTGAAGGCTTGTGCTGTTCTGCACTGGTGCGTATTAAAGACTACTACATTTATCGAGAAAGATACGGTACATTTTTACTGATAAAGTATTCAATGTTAATATATCTTCATGTATAGCAGTCTTTAAAAAGTTAAAATAAAGGCAGTGCATATGCCTGACGAGTTTACTAAGTAAATAGATTGAGCGATTTCCATACCGACAATGCTTTAATGGGAAGAGTAAATAAAGAAAGAAAGTAACTGCTGTATCTCTTTCTCTCTTTACACCTACACAGTGACATCGCTGACACGCGTGCTTATACGTGAAATAATAGATATTCGTATTGATTTTTTTGTTAAAAAGAGAAAATCGAGATTGGTCGTTCTTTCTTTCTCTTTCTGCATATCGTTTAAAGTCCTGCGTTTTATGCTCGATCTGTTTGTATTATGTTTATCCTAGAGAATATTATGATGTCTTAATATTATTAGGTATCTTATGGAACTGTCGGAAACATGTCATTATGATGCTTTTAAAACATCCTTTACGTATCAATTTATGATGTCTGATGTCTTTAAGATATTGTTTTCAGATGTTTCTACAACATCTTATTTAGGATCGCTTTTAAGTCATATATTTCATGGCAAGGTGACACGTGGTTATATATAAGTGCATTAACAGGAAGAAAAACACAAGAGAAGAGCTAGAGTTGTTTGATAAATATATATATATATATTAATACGTCAACATTTATATCGCTTAATGATTGTCTATAACTTTTATTATGTGGATATTGTGTACACTTGTTGTTTGTATATAAATAATAGATAGAGAGATCAAGTTTTATCATTAGCAAAGTTATGTAAATCATCCGTGATATACCGATTTACTACGTCCTGCTTTTATCTTTTGTTTTTCTCCTTGTTAATAAATTTCAATTAACTTACGTGTGTCGTTATGCTAAAGTAATAAAAAATATCAGTGTCAGATTTAATTAAACAGACAGTAAAGTTATATTACATCCAGCGTGGTCACGACATATGTATTTTAATCAATAGATGTTGCACCTGGTAATGGTTGGGTAGGATAAACAGTTGTATGTGATCCAAACCATGTTTTATAAGAAAAATGTCCTGAATCTTTTGACAAAGTGTTAAAAAGGTCTTAAAAAATAAGCGTCTTTTAAGGACCGTCTACAATAGCCGTAAAAGTATGTAGCAAGACGTAAGCAGTAAGCTATTGACCAACCACAGTCGATTATTCTTGAATTGTAAAAATCTCATTAGTCAATAGCTTACCGCTTACGGATATATACGCTTATGCATATTCTTGGGGCTATTGTAGACGAGCCTTAGATATGCGGTGTTATCTGAGCATGAATCCAGTCAATTATTTTTATGAAAAATTTGATTAGATGCTCTATTATTAGATCGCATGCGCTCGACGTCCGACAGAGATGCGATTTAATGAAGAACAGGCTTCACACGATCAAACTTTGTTCTTCTTAACACTTCTACGTTGTTCACTATTTCACACTTGCGATGTGACTATATAATCGTGTAACCATACGTAGAATAAGAAAGTCAATGAAAAATGGAAAATGGAGCACCGAATAGCTCACACGCAGTGATGAACAGCAGTTGCCTGTAAAACAAGAAACCTAGTTTGATTTCTGTTGCCCTGCAACTTTGAATAATTAATTGGAAAAATATTTATTGTTCCATTAAGGAACCGTAGAGTATATAAATTTCAAGAACACAACCAAGGCCACTTGGTATGAAGAGCGCTTGCTGAAACTTGGTGCCTTACGAGGAAGATAAAAAAAAATTGACATTTATAAAAAAATTATTTAAAACGTTTCTGATCTGTACTAAAATATAGCTAAAGCTTTAAATATAAAAGGAAGACGCTTGCGCGTTTTTCTTTATCGAAGCTATCAGGTACCAGGATAGCCAAATCTGTCGAGAACAAATATCGAAAGTGTCTGCTACAAATTTTGTCGACAAAATGTCAGCAGAAATATACCAGAATCTGATAATAGAATGGCAACGTGATTGCAGAATTTGGCGTTTCGTAGCTATTGAAATGATGTATATTATGTATTTGTTTACGAAATGACAGATTCTCTGCGGTTTTGGCCGACAATCTGCCGACTATCAAATTATGTTGACAAACTTCGCTGGCAAAACACGAGTTTAATGTGGATACAGCTAATACCGGTTCTGTTGCGATGTCCGAGCAAATACTGCCAATCTATTGTCATACTGCGGGCAGTTTGCTTACTTAATATCTTTCTCGGATTACTTTTCGAACTATAAACTATAAAAAGTCCACTTTGAACGTTCAGTTAAGTCATGATATAAGCATATTAATTCATCACGATCGTTTCTATCAAGATTTAAAGACGACGTCAAAGTCAAGTGTAGAAGACGTAATATAATTATTTTTATTTTTAACGTTTACTTTTTAAGCAAAACGTGTACATTTTGTTACATATTGATTTAATCTATTTTTATTGTTATCTATTTTTATTGTAGATAATATAAAGCATTACATGTAAAAAATTTATTTTTTGAAAACGTACATATTTCACGTAATATACTATATTTTTCGTATCTTTTATGCGTTTTAATTTTTAAGATATTAATTATTTATTGCAAGATAGGTTGTAAAATAAATTTGTATCGGTAATATTTTCTTTAGATATATAGTACAAAAAAGGTCATTACGAGACCGGGCAAACAGTTCAGATAGAGAAGTTAATAAAGAGAATGCCCTGACTCTCTCGAGATATTAATAAATTGTTAGTAAAATTAAGAACATCGTGAAAAATATGTATATTATCTTCGAAAGCGGTGTTTTAAAATTTAAGAGTATTTTCATAACTGGAAAAAATATCTGTTACTTTTTAAACTTTTTTTTCTTATTTTGAAGCTAAAGTACTTAAATAAAATATACATATAATGTTACATTAAAAGGCAGGATAATATTGAAAATAATCAATTTTTATTTTAAAAAACATTGTTTTATATTTTAAGCTACAGATAATGATTTTTAGATATGTCTAAATGTTTAAAAAAGAGGTGGGATATAGTCCTCTAGCGATCTGAAGGATTAGCGGATAATCAAGAAATAATTTTAAAAAACTTGTTATTTGGTGGCCCTCCTCCTTCTCTGCTTATAGCTTTGACTTGAAATAGATAAAGAAAAAGAGGATGATCATAAAAAAACTTTAGAAGCATTTTTCTATAAAATTATTTTTTTTTATTTTTATGTACCTTTTTCTTGGAAAATATTAAACCGATTTTTATAAATTTTTTAAAATCTTCAGAAATGGACTATGTAATTTGATTGTACGTTTTTAAATAATTGAGATTGAGATAAAAAATAATTTTCAAATAATTAAAACTCAGAGGTTTGTTTAAATAAAAAAACGTCGATCAAAATGTAGTTAATTATATGAGAAAACAAAAAATTAAGTATGACTCGAATATATTGTTGATCTGGTGCTGAGAAAAAGGAACATATTTGGATCTATTCAATAAATATATTTGCATACAAAAAGTTATTAAAAAACATCGCCCTAAAAATTGTATACTTTATTTGTTAATAATATATTTGTGTTAAATGGATTGGTTTATAACATATATGGTTTATAATATAATATTTTATACTTTGAAAAACTTGTGTTATACTTATCCAGGAAAAAGGGGAATAAATTCAATAAAGGTATAGTTAAAGTCTACATTGTTAAAAAAACTATCAAGTTTGTAAACTTATTACAAAATGATACTATTAATTATTCGAGTATGTGTATCAGTACTCGATCACTTCGAACAGACAATTTATTTCAAACTAGCAAATCAGGTACTCAGATATTTTTTATCTGAAAAATAATCTAAAATAAAAGAATATGACACATTTGACATTTTCAAGAATCATTTGTAAGATACAAAATGCTTGTTACTTGAAAGTTTCTCTTACCATTTACGTAGACAAGTTAACGAACATTCAATCTTTACGTGGTTATTGAGTACTTGGCTTATTATCATTGGTTTGAATAACGGATACATTTGCGACTTTGAATGCCTGATATCCAATACTATTGCAAAATAAAACGTAAATATATATGACGCGAAATATAGGTGTAACTACGTAAACTACGAACACTGTAAATTTTTATGTAAGTAAATAATCATGGTTTTCTTATATTTGCTACAGAGATTATTTTATGACAGCATTTACATGTGAGATTAGATTACAAAATATAGTTCATGAACCTTAATTCTAATATAGCATATTTATGTATAAACATATATGTATACATATGTATGCGCGCGTGCACACACACATATATATACATATATAATTTATATATAAATGTCAGTATTCTGTAGACGTATCTAGAGTCACAGTAAATAGTTTTACGTAACAAACATTTGTCATAATAATTTGTTACGTTTATTTCTTTTCTCTGCGATAGCACTTGAGCTTTTCACTATAATATAAAATTCAAAGATAATGATTCGTGCTAGATTATTTAAAGTTAGATAACGCTAATAACATAAAGAAAAAATCGTGTAATTATTCCCGCTTTCATTCTTTATCGTACAAGGAAGATAGTAGAAAGTATTACCCGTGTAATATAATTATTAAAAATTACTGTTCCTCTAAATGTTAATTTAAAGGAGATGTCATCCTTTAGATTGCCCAACATCTTTCACCTTTAGAAAATACAATCCTGAATCACACGCACTGATCTTACTCAAATATAGTTCTTATTTTTATATACTTATATACAACTATCTCTTTATTTCACATGGCTGTACTACGATCACCGTGGATATATACGTAACATTAAAGATTACATCTGTAAGACCGTTTATGTATAAATAGCGCTACTGTAGAGCGTCGATCTGCTCCTTTTTACATTTGAAAGATTATATCCACACTAATCGACATTCAAATATATTCATTGATATTTTATTTAACTTCGATCACTCTCGGAGTCTTGTTGCCTTTTGTATAATGCTACATTGCTTTCCGTATAGTCCATTACGCGACGCTGACATTGTCTCTTGTATTGTTGCTGTTTATGATAAATTTTGAACGCACCTTTTATTGTTATAAAGGCTGCACCACCCTACAGAGATAAGAAACAGAAAAATATATTTTAAAAAGTACACGCACGCGCACAATAGAAATTTAAACAAGGCGGTTCTTTAGTTACTTAAGACTTAAAGAATAATGTTAATTTTTAATACCATACATATATGAAATCGTCTTGTATATATTTGAGAGTACGACAAGATTTGTGATAATATTTTTATAATTTGAAGACGTAATACGCACCAACAATGTTCTCTGAAAGTTGGAACTTATGCTTTCGAAGAATATTCTTCCGCATAGACTAGCGATGGTCGGCAGTAAAAGTGCGCCGCAAAGAACACGTGTCGCAGACACTGGATCGTTCATTGGAGGTATATCTTCAGATTGTATACTTGTGTCTTCGTCGTTATAACTGCAACACGTATATTTTAAAAGCATGTTATTTTACGTGGGTGCATTTTTCACTATATTTTTCATATTATATCGGGTTTTCCGTAAATATAACGTGTTCAGTTAAATATATGTACGTTCCAAAGATATTTATATAGAGAGGATACATCACCAGTGTTTATTACTTCCAATAAATCTTAAAGTATGATGTTGTTTGATTTTTTAAGAGAACCAGTTTATACGCGACACAATAATAATCTCGTTCTAAATGGAGGCATTTTTAAAATTTCAACATCACTATTTTTTGTAATGGAATCAGTTTTTCTACACAACTCACGTATCTTTATTCTACTTGTAAAAGTATTAAGATAAAGTCAACGAAAAGTGAATGTTATGTGAGATAATGTATCAAAATATATTTTTTGCAAACTCATTTCACATTTTTCGATTACTTTATCTACTTTTATGCAGAATAAAGAGGATTGATTTATGATTAAAAAATTTACCTGGAGTAAGCGTGCGTTGACCCCACAAGATGTAGCCTTAAAAATTAATAAACTTTCAATTAAAGCGTTTTTCTTAAAAAACTCATATTTTAGGATATATTGGAAGTAGAACGTTCTAGTATCTTTACAAGCATAATACATACATAATATATACTATTTTTAGAATCGCGATAAATATAAATTTCCTTGAAAAATTAGAAAATTGCACTAGAACATAAATTTACTACGGTATATACATATAAATAATGGACGTTGACTATTTATTGACAGTAATATTGCCGATACAAACCTGCTCGGTAGAAAATGCCTTAAAATAGGAACTTTGGATGCGTGTCGCCTCAAAAAACTAAGGGCCTGATCTTCCCAACGAAGCATCTTTCCCAAAACCAACATAATTGGAATAGTTGGCAAGCCAACCAGTAGGACTAAAGGATCAGCCTGTTCCATCATGGTAAGACCATCCTTATGACCCACCACTTGCATGACAGTAACCGCACCATAAGTCACAGCTGTCCAATATATGGATCCAACTACTATACCAGCGGCGATAAAAGGGCATACTCGGAAGATGACTGCATCAATCGTGTCGAGTACTACCACTAATGGACCTACAATTAATTTGCATGTAGGATACTCTACATGTGCAAAGAGTATAATTATAATATATATCACAATAAAATAAAGTAAAATAATGTTTATAATATAGATACTTGTATTGTTAAGAAATAACAAAAACACTAAACCCACTATAACATTAGAGATATAACACGGTCACACATACGTATATACACGTACACGACATATATATCTATACATATATATATATATATAATATATATACACATACATGCATACACATATGCATCTATGTATCTATGTATGTATAATATAATATATTCACCCATGTTTGGATAAACTATGATATATTCTGTATTGCATTGTGGGCATGCCACGGCATGTCCAGCATGACCCTTTTGCTTCTCATCGACCCATCTCTGAATACAACCCTGATGAACCCATTTTGTAGTGCCTCGGCAATGACACGGTTTAACCCACGCTGCGGTCGCATCGTCTTCATCAGTTGCAAAGCATACCCAGCAGTATCGCCTGCTGGATAAAAGAGGTTGACATTATAAATTAATAGAATGTGTCAAACAATACGCGCAGGACGTTGCTGTAAGTCTTAAAACGTGTAAAAAAATTAGATGGTATAAAGGGTTACCTAAATAAGTACACAAACTTGAAGGGGATAATCTTTGGCTTATTTTAAGAAGAAAAAGTCCTACAAACATATGTGTCCTAAACTGCTTTGTTCTCAAAATACTGAGTATCAATGTTGTGGGAATGTAAAATTTCGAAAATCTGGAAAACGTTTAAAAATATTGTATTCAACGTTGGTATGCGTACACGTGGTCGTAAGAACCATTTTCTAGTACCGATAAAACATTTTTAGATTCACCAGAAGCATGCATCTTTGACACTCTGTATTTTGAAAATAAAGCAGGACATATGTTTATACATATATTCATAGGATCTCTTCTTCCTAAAGTAAGCCAAGGAATATCCCTTACTTAGGAAACATCTTGTATATATAGTTTGAAGAATATTTCTTGGCAATACGAAATGCACTAAGCGTGGAGGTACACGTGAAATCACACGTGCTTCAAACAATAAGCATAAACTTACTCTTCTTCTGGAGTCAATGATGGCACACTGGACGTGATTTGATTTGGCGAAGATGCCCCATCGGTAATATCAACAGATAACTCATGATCCGTTATGTCGTCCCATGCATTTTGAGAACTATCATCCTCCAGCGACGCTACTTGTGCCGTGGCTTGAGAATCAGATACTTCTGTTATAAAAACAAAAAAGTGACGTATGTACGTCATAACGTCTCTCTGCCGTAGGCAAAAGGATTTCGTTAACCAAGTGTTACCATTGTTAGAGTCAACAGCTTGTCTATCGGATCTCAAATTTGTGCTGAGTCTCCTTAGAGCTTCCTCTATGCTTGGAAGACGTCGGATGTTGGCCCTGGTTATACCTGACTCAATACGCACTATCCTTCCACGGCTATCAAGCCCATAGGAGATATGCGGCAAGTTATCGTCAGACATCGTGTCTCAGTGAGGCAAAACGCTCACAAGTTCATTACCATCTGGAAAACACAAGACAACACTTACGTATCGCCTACAAACGCATCGCTCTCTGAACTCTGAACGCGAGCACTTGATTCCGATATCCGAATCAGGAGGTTATACGCGGTTGTATCAGCGGAAACGTCTGTCGGGCGAGTTTACACTTTTGGCATTTCGTTACCGCAAATCGTATAAATATTACGCAAATGTTTTTTGCGCACCGTACGTGAAACCGTTACGCAACTAGCACAACGTACGTTCACACGATACACGCGCGTGTCTTACCTATCAAGATTTTATTCGCCACCATTCGCCACTATCGACAGTATCGACACTCGTATCAGTCGTATCTCGCGCAATGCTCAAAAGGCATTAAGGGTTAAGGGCACGACGTTGATCAAGCACGACGAGGACGACGGTACGTATGTACATCGAACCTATTCGTCCTAATGAACAAACGTGCTCGTGTCAAGCAACGTTAACGTACGTAAGTGCGAATGAATGGAGCCGTATGCCGTATGCCGTATGTGCGAGCGCGTGTCTCTCGTTGATCCAAGATGTCCAAGATTAAAAACGCTCGTCCCGCACAGCACGAGTCAAATCCTGTCGGGACTGTCGACGATCGGCGATCGGCTCCTTCCAAATGCGATCGCGCGAGAGGATCGTACGTCAACGTCAAGTGAGTCGGCACTGACGCTCTGAGCTCTCAAGCGAGTCAGCGTCAGCAGTCAGCGAGCGGAAAAAAAGGGCTTCTGGTCCATTCTGGTCCTGGTAAGTATCTCATGACGTTTGTATACATTTCGGCGAACGGCGACGCAAGCGAAACGCGAGGAATCTCTGTCAACGGATATATATATATATATATATATGATACCTGTGTACCACGCGTTTCATTAATATCTAATAGTTTAACGCTTGCAAGATATGATTTACGATTAAATGACCGTGTTCATGACTACATACTACATCTTTTGATATATCTTATTATTTTTATTTATATACAGGGTGTTTTCTAAATAAGTATACACAAACTTGAAGGGGATATTCCTTGGCTTATTTTAAGAAGAAAAAGTGCTATAAACATCCAGGTCCAAAACTGCTTTGTTTTCAAAATACTGGGTGTTAAACGTGTGGAAAAAAACAATGAACGTTTTGAAAATCTGGAAAACGTTTGTATTTTAACTCTTGTGAACTCTACATTTAAAGTTCCCGCCTCACTCTACCCCCCTGGAGTGCGTTCCGATTCCCCACCTGAGTGCTGAAAATCTATAGTGCACGTGACATATACTATAGGATTTTTAGCACTCGGGTGACTCGGGTGGGGAATCCAAACGCAGCCCTGGGGAATCCGAACGCATGTATCGTCCTTGAGGCGGGTCACGGGTGCCATTTACAAGAAGAAGATAGGATTTTGTTATTTGTTATATTATTGTCGAAGATTATAGACATAATAAGATGACATTATGTAGTGTAAAAAATTGCAAAAGCAACCACAGATCAGGAAGTAGTGTACATTTTTTTCGGTAAGTAATATTATTTTTTTTGGAAAGTTTCTTTGGTTGAAAGGGTTAGGTGCTTAATATTTATTTGTAAAGACACGAGGTTAGGTTAAGTTGAAAGATGATATTTTAATATTTTGTACGGTATTCACCCTTTGCAGAACAAGTAGGGCTTTCAAGACCCACTCGATATTTCCATTTCAAATATTACGGGGATTTTACGAACGGTATAAATAGATTCCCTTTGAAAGTATACTTGAATTCTTTCAGATTTTTTATGGCAACCGTACAGCTTGAAAATCTTAACTGGCGTAAAAGCAGCAGACGTACACGTGTTCTGCGAAGGGTTAAATGTATATTATTAAAATCTCAACGTATACAATATAATGCAAATAATGAGATGTATATAAAACAACTTTTAAATATGTGTACTGCGTACACGTAGTCTTAATATAATAATAGACTTTACGTCTATTGTAAAAAGCAAGTTCAAAGTATCAGTGTTGCATTTATTGAAAAATTACAAATGTCCTATTTATAACTTCCACTATTTGTAACGTACACTCTTTATAAAGCTGTATACACGTGTATAATTAGCTGTGTATACGTAATATTTTGTAAAAAAAATTGTTTTTGTTTAAAAAAATATTTTGTATGTTATAGGTTTCCTCTAAATAATGAAAATCTTCTGAACAGATGGCGTGCTGTTGTTGGAAAAGCAGATTGGAAACCGAAAAAAACAAGTAGAATTTGTAGTCTGCATTTTAGTGAAAAAGATATTATACGAGGCATGGGATATAAATATTTTTATTTACGTGAAAATGCAGTACCAAGAGATTATTCTTCACGTGTCACAAAAAAAGAGCAGATTATCTGCTCAATGTTAAAGTCAAAAGAGACGTACACGACTGCTAATAAATCTGTAAGCTCCAGTAAAACTTATGTCTTGGACAAAAGTGCTGTAGAGGATCACAACTATTCAAATAATGATAGTACTATGATTGAAAATGATGGATCAAATACATTTGGCACTCAAGATTCAAATCACGTGGTTCAAAAGACACGTCTTTACTCAGATAAGAAACCCGACGTTATTCAAACTGATTTTGAAAATATATGTACGGCTGCAAGCCGTAGTACGTCTGTAAGCTCTAGAGAAACTTGTATCTTGGACAAAAGTGCAGAATGGGATCACAACTATTCGAGAAATAATGTTAGCATTACGATCGAAAACGATGGGTCAGGTATATTTGACACTCAAAACCCAAATCACGTGACTCAAAGGGCACGTTCTCAATCAGATAAAAAATGCAAATTTATTCTAATTGATTCAAAAAATATCGTTATGTTATCGCCTATCTCACACACGTCAACTAATCTCAACTCTAAAAAGGAAATAGATTTTGCTGCAAAAAAAATACAAAAATTATCGACAAATGTAAAAAATATGAGAAAGAAGAACAAAATATTACAGCAGAAGTTGAGAAGATATAAGAAAAAAATTACTTCAATGAAAGAAATGCTTAACCGCGTGCAGAATAAACTGACGTCGGATGATTCTTTGCACGTAATAAAAGAAGACTTTATTGAGGAAGATTTTACGTTACAGATTTTCGAAAATAAAGTTAAAAACGAAGACCGATAAACTAAAGGTTAACGTTACACGGATGAGGTAAAAATATTCGCTTTGTTGATTACGTATATCTCCCTTAAAGTTTATGACGTTTGTCTCTGATAATTTTTCTTTTTTTTTTCTTCTTTTGGCTTTACATCATTTTTAAGAATAAATTTTATAAAAATGTTTTTTAGTGACAGTAAGTTACAGACCGTTATAAGAATATACATTTAAACATTGCCTAAATATATTTAACTTACAAATTTGTCACTAAATAATGTTGCTGGTATTACATATTTATATGTACATATACTTTTTTAAACTAAACGCGTGCACGCTTTTTTAAACTAAAAAAACTGCACCATGGTGCAATAGAATAATATTTTTCAATAGAATAACTAATATATAACTAAATATGCTTTAAATAGTTGCATATTGTGTTGCATGATATCCATATTATTAAAAATAAGAAAATGATATGCTTCTTATCGATGAACCAAAGCATTGACCTTTATTTGTGCAATAAAAAATATTTTATTCATAGGACATTTTTCAACGTGCCTGCACATTAATCCTAGAAAATTGTTACTGATTATTGATATAGAACCTAATTTTCACGTTGATGTTTTTCAGAGTTAAGGAAATTTTCATCGAAAGAGATCACGCGTGCACGCTTGAGTTTGACCATGATATTTCGAAAGGAAATATGGGGTCCTCTGAAACAATAGATGATAGGCACATCTACGTATGGAAGCACGGGGGATCATTCAGAAAAGGGAATCCGTCTAAAGACGACATCGCACGCGATTGGAATATTGACTTGTTTTTGTTGGTTTCAATAGGCGAAACGAAAGTGATCTGTTGGATCTTTTTTGAAAAGCACGTTACGAGCGACAAGGCTCAGGTAGTAAAATCTACAATTACATAAATATTAGCTGACTAGCATGATCTACCCATAAGCTCTTTTAACATGTGATATATTAATCTAAGTTTTTTATAATACGTGAGTTGTTCGTTACATGTAAATACGTATGAGAACTACGTTGTTTATTTTCTCATCCGACAAAAAGCTACAAAATTTTTTTTATATAGATCTTTGTCACATGTGTCAAACGTTGCAAGAAATACTAGCTAGACTAGGCAAAATAAAGTAATGAGGGGGTTATATCAGATGGCAATATATTGTTGAGTTGCATACGTTACAAACGCGATTAAAATAAAAAAATAATTTATCTGTATATTACTAGGAAAGATGATAAAATAAAAGTGAAATACGCTGTCTAGACTTTATGGCCCGTATTCTCAGTTCACTTTTTGATCGATAAATGCGCGCATTTATTTCTGAAATTCTATAGTCTATCTAACGTAAACTATATGCTAAATGCGCTCATTTATGATAAAAGTGAACTGAGAATACGGGTCTAAGTTCTTCCGTCGCTCTCTTTACACTTTCTTATAAAAAGATTTGTCATAGTTTTAAGACTGCGAAACAACTATTGAATTTATTCTAAAAATTAACATACTGTTTGATATTCATCTCACGTCACAGAATCCTTTCAACAAAGATTATAAGAAACCATTAAAACGAAATAATTTAAATCATCAGAATGCAATAGTAGTCAACGATATAACACCATTTCTATTTACTTTGCGTGATGTTAATGATTAATTTTTATGTATACGTGACAGTAAAACTTATTCTCAGATTTACAGCGGCGACGAAATCGATTTTTTCAGTTACAGAAACTCTGAAAATAATTAAGTATTTCAATATGTTTTAACTTTTGTAGATTCTTGCAAGATCACATGAACTACTATTTATGACTACGTTTATACGGATCGATTTACGCCGAAGTTATAACATTGATATTAGGGTGCAGTCCCACGTAGAGAAAAAAGCGGAACGGAAACAAACGGAAAGCAAGCACAGTGGGGAGTAACTACGCAGAACGTACGTTTCTCCAAATATCTGTTCCGATTTTATATGACTGGGTTCCCCCATGTACCAGGAAAAACGGAAATTTATTACGTATACTTTACAGAAATGATTAATATTATAACATATAATATCTGTCTATATGATAAATATTGAAACAATCTCATGGAATATATTTTACGGAGAAAACAAAGATAATTCAAAATTATTATAAATTTTAGGTTAAAATTCTTTTCGTTTTTCCGTAAAATATCATTAGGTTAAAATTCTTTTCGTTTTTCCGTAAAATATCATCTATGGGGAATCCAGTTATATAAAAGCGGAACGGAATGAAGGGAGAAGTGGGAAGAGTTAAATATACATTGGCCGCGTTCAGGAAACACACTGTTGAATGAGCGTTTATTATGATTGGTTCTTACACTTGGATCCGGAGTAGAACCAAAGGTAAGAACCAATCATATTAAAGAATCACTGACCGCTCACTCAACAGTTGTGTTTCCTGAATGCGGCCATTGTATTATCGTCTTTTAAAGAAACGTTCTGGGGGCTTATTACGGTCCTTGAAACGAGGTGAAAGTTACAAAAGTGAGGAAATTCACTAGGGTATCTATGATTTTATTGGTCAAAATCTAGTAAATCTGTTCACTTTTGTAATTTTCACTTCGTTTCAAGAACCGTAATCGACCCCCTGATTGCGTACCCCCTACTATGGTTCCTTTCCGTTCCGCTTTTTCTTCTACGTGGACTGCACCCTAAAGCCCGTGTCACACTACGTATCGCGTTAAACGACACGGATCGGATTAGGCTGCGTTCCCACTATACGCGTCGCGTTGTCTGTCGTTAACCAATCTAAACATCCCGTCACAAGTAATGTAATAAAATGGGATGTTTTGATTGGTTGGCCCGGTGTCCGCGATGCAAGAACTGTGTCCAAGTTTCGGTTTAAGCCAATGAAACTGCTACTTTTCTGTAAGAGCTGCTAGTTGATTGGCTTAAACTGAAACTTGGACACAGACTATATTTCCATCGAGGGTTCAAATCGGGTCAGAGTCAGCCAAGTCAGCCAATAGCTATGCTGGTTACAATTGCAATTAGGTTAATTCCGTTATAACCAGCATAACCATTGGCTAACTGGTTGACTCTGACCCGATTTAAACCCTCGATGGAAACATAGTCACAGTTCTTGCATCGTGGACACCGGGCGTTACTGTATACTCCTGCTGCCATTGTAGATGACGCTTTATATCTTCTCTTTATTTTATTTTTCTTTTTTTTACTTATGTTTTTTGTATATTTCTTATTTTCTATTTTTTATTTTTTTATTATATAGGTTTTTATGTTCCGAATATGAATGTCGAGTGAAACTCAATTTACCACGTTAATTTACCACGTGGTTAATTTAAAATAAAAATATCTGATTGGCTGGTTCAGTGGAAAAACTCCAGGCATCGGGAGCTGTGAGTGGCTGTGGTCAATCGCAACGTGGTCAAACGGGATGTTCCCTTCCGGCGTCCTGTGTGCACTGTGCAGGAGCCATTAAAGAAAAAGCATGCGCGAGCACGTGTGAGTTCACGTGGATTGTTGCTATACGTTGATTAAATCTTGTTTTTGATATATTATACAAAAGTTTGTACGGCGGTAAGTACTAGAATATTTATAATGAGATCGTGCTTGTAAAAATGTTATAACGATGAAATAACGTTTATCTTTTTTTTTTTATATATCTAGCGCTGCAGTCGATGGTTAGGTTAGGTTATGACAAGTATAACACTTCAAATACATGTTAAAACTGAAATAGCACGAACGTAGCGTGTCCTGCTTAAGGTTTTTAATACGATAAATGGTATTCGTACGCAAAACTGTTATACAAAATGGTTAAGGTTAAGAAAAAGAACTTGTCCGAGTCTGTGCAACAGAGAAACAAGAAACAGCTAAATCCGTTTGAGGTGCATATTAATAGAGACAAGCAGAAAGTATTGGGTCGGAAGAGTAAAAATGATCGTGGACTTCCGGGAGTTTCGAGAGCAAAGGCTATCAACAGACGTAAGCAAAGCCTTCTTCAAGAATATAAATTACAAAATAAAGACAATGTTTTCTTAGACAAACGTATTGGTGAACGAACGTGCGCTATGAGCACAGAAGATAAGGCGATAGCAAGGTTTGCCACGGAACGCATGAAAGCATATAAAAAGGAGAGCATTTTTAATTTGAATGATGAAGTATTGACACATAGAGGACAGACTCTTGAAGAGATCGAAAAATTTGACGATCCTAGGAGCGACGATGACGTTAGCGACAGCGAAAATATTAGCGGCAAGCTGGATAAAAATTTTGTGGAGGAAGCTCACTTTGGTGGAGGAACTTTATCGAAAACAGATTCCGCATTATCCAGAAAGGATTTAATCGATCAGCTGATTGCAGAGTCGAAAAAGCGGAAGGCAGAGAAACAAAAGATACGCGAGCAAACGATAGATCGCACAGAGAAACTTGATTCTGAATGGAGGGACCTCTTGCCCATTATGTCTGTTTCCAAAAAGTCTACGGAGGACATTGATGAAACGACGAAAGCTGATGCTTATGATATTGCTGTACGGCAATTAAAATTTGAAGCCAGAGGTACGCCGTCTGAGAAACTGAAATCAGAAGAACAGATTATTCAAGAAGAGAAAGAGAAATTAGAGAGACTTGAAGCTGATAGATTGGCAAGAATGAAAGGATTTATATGCGGTACTAGTAACCAGTATAAGCATAAATCTGCAGATGATCTCGAAGATGATTTTATAATGGAAACTATCGAAAATAATGATGATGTTAGTTCAGTTCGTGACACCGATAATATCAATACTGAAAGCAGTGATGAAGTTGATGACACGTTTGACGATGATGAGCAGAAAGGAAATAACGTGGGAGACGCTGCCGATGAAATGGTTAAAAACGTAAAAACGAGGGACGGTGATAATAAAAGGCAGGAAACATATTCTGAATCATCTAATGCCAAAGATGAATCCGATGCAGCGTTGAATGACAATAATTCAAAGATTGAAACGTTGTATGATGAAGAGTCCGAGGACGATTTTTCAGATTTAAAGATATCGTCTAGTGAAGATGAAGATGAAACGCAAGTTACCATTGCAAGCGAAAGTAACAAACATGTTACGTTTACTAATGATCTGACAAAAGATACTAAACAGGTAAATCAGTCGGATAAGATTTGTCCCAAATCAATACTAAAACAGAGTACGAGTACACATGTACAGACGTCATCTGACGAGAATGAAAAGCAGGATATCAGAAATGATCTCTTGAAGCGAAAAGAAATTATGGAAAAGGCACGAAAAGAATTACCTTATACATACGACGCTCCAGAAAATTTTGAGCAACTAGAAAAATGGTTAGAACCATATAATGCAGATTATCACGCAGTGGTCGTAGATCGTATTATAAAATGTAATCATTGGACATTAGATAATAGAAATAGAGAGAAGATGTCGAATTTATTTATATATTTATTGCAATATATAAACAACTGTGCCTGCGTGGAGAGTGCTGATGATTTAGTTAAATGTTTCCAAATCTTTGACAGGTATAAATGCGTTATACTTACTAGCTAAATATTACAAATGTATATTATAGTGCTTCGTATTTACATGTAACTTTTATTTCAGATTATGTCCTTATCTTTATGATCTAGCACATATGAATCCAGAGAATGCTAAAACCTGCATACAAGAGGTGATCAAGGAGAAACATAATGAATTTGAAAAAAATAAGACAAGATATCCTGACATGGATACGGTAAGATTATATAAGACATCTTCACGCACGTACAATTTTTTATTAGCAGATATATGATATTACATATTTGTGTGTACCTGACACGTGTGTATGTGTGTTTAAAAGGACAAAAGAAGAGATCAGTATTTAGAGCATATCTATATATGTTTTAAATACTGGATTTCTTGTTTTGTGCTAAATTTATTTTATTTAGGACGTGCAATATATTGCCAAATATACAAAATAAATTTAAACGTAATAGTCTATGATATATTATATTCCAGTTCACATTTATATGTATAATACGTGTGTAATATACTATAATTAAGTAGAGAAGAAGAGAAGGATAAAAATAATATATATGTTAAAATATTATAATTATCATACGTATATATTGAAGAAAATTATATTAAGTAATTAAAGGCTGATTTATGATGGCCGTAACCGTTGATTTAAGTCGTAAGCCCTAAGAACGTGACCACGCACAGTCGAATATTCGAGAAGAATAATCACGTGTGCGTGGTCACGTTTTTAGAGCTTACGGCTTAAATCAACGGTTACAGCCATCATAAATCAGCCTTAATAGAATGAATGTAAGAAATATGTATGTGTATCTACACATATATCTATTTATATATTTTTATATATTTTTCAGCTTATATTTTTTAAGTTGGTATCTTTGTTGTTTCCAACATCTGACTTTAGGCATCCTGTTGTTACTCCTTGTTTAGTATTTATGTCAGAAATATTGTTAAAAGCTCGCATTAGGACGTACCGGAGCGATATTTCAAAAGGTCTTTTCATATGTACCCTTATTTTAGAAGTGAGTATATCCGATTTTATTTATATTCCGTATTGCAATGCAAAATTGAGATGCAAGTGCATGCAAATGTTTTAATCATTTCTTTAAATTGCAGTATACAATGCTAAGCAAGCGATTCGCACCGTCCGTAATTAATTTCTTACGAGGCATCATTTACACAGCGACACCCACAGATTTAACACAAAAAATGAAAGTTATTCCACCATTCAAGCGTGCGTGTAAAGCTCTAGTGATCAGTAAAACCAAAAATACACGTGATCCAAAAGGCGTACATATGTTTGCAAATGATTTAATTCACGAGGACGTAGATGATAAATTTAGAATAAGAGCTTTACTGACTGCAGTCAATTTGCTTATCGAATTTAAAAACCAGCTCCAAGAATTAGAAGCGGTATATCCAATATTTGAGCACATTTTTCAATTATTAAAAATAAACAAATTCAAACAGTATCCACCAAACGTAAGAGATCATATAAAAGGACTGCGTAACGAACTCGACGTTCTACGAAATAAGAAATTGGAATACATTGTGCTTGAGAAGAAAAGGCCAAAACCTTTAAAAACATACGAGCCAAAAATAATGCCAGTGTAACTATTATATATTTTATCTTTTATCTAATTTACAATTTCATGAATTTAAAAAGTTTATGAAATTATAATTTATTTTATACAATATATATACCTATATTTGTGTGTATTAAAATATTTATTTTTTATAATACAATATGATATACGATATTATTTTTCAAGTATTATCTTTTTGCAGATATGATGGAAAACGACATAAATCTATGTCAAAAGAAAAAGCAGAAAAAGAAAAATTATTGCATAAGTATAAGAGGGAATTTAAGGGCGCACGTCGTGAAATAAGAAGAGATCGCGACTTCTTAGCCAAAGTACAAATCGGACAGCAAATTAAGAGCGACGTTGAACGTAAACGTAAAGTGAAAGAAATTTTTGGCGAGGCTGCTATGCAGCAAAGCGAGCTTAAGAAAATAAAAAAGAAAAAATAATTTCGAAAGAGTAGAAATATGATACAAAATTTTAAATATTGTAAATAAATTTTTTAGTGTATATGTGTATTCATGCCGTACAGTGTTTCACTTTTCATTGAAAATCTGATTTTAATTTTACAAAGACTTATTTGATATTAAAGGAAACTACGAGAAGTGATATATCCTTCAATTTTTCTCCTGGAAAAAAAATCCAAAGTAATCTATCATTAAATGATAACAATCAAAATAAGGATGTTTCGCGCGAATGCGCGCATATGCGGAAAAAAAAGGAAAAACAGTATGATAATGTCCCTACAAATCAAATTAGTGCAACGTATCGTTATTTCTAACAGATCTATTCTTCGTGGCTGCAATACGTTGAACTTTTTATACACTACGAATTTTACATTTGCTTAACTTTGTAGTCGCAAAAAATCCTTTTTTTTTGTGAGGTGGGGGATATACATCTTTTGTATCGAGCAATAAAAGGAACCTGTTGACAAAACTTCCCAATATTTATATAATTTTATATTTATATATATTTATAATTTTATTACATGGTTTAATATAATTATATAATATTTGTAATTTTATATTTTTTCTTATTTTTCGATGCATTATAGATAACTAAACTTGCCTCTATTAATTTTTATTAAATTTATATTATTTTGATGTTACAATGAGCTAGAAGCTAGATAGACCAAGAAAGAGACGGGAGGGAGGGGGGAGAGAGAGAGAGAGAGTTGAAAAAAGGAGAAGTGGAAAAGAAGTTTAAGCCCCTTGCACACGAGGCGATAGCGACAGCGAGACAAAGTTGCCGACAAAGGTATAGCTATATCGCCTCGTGTGCAAGGGGCTTTAGACTTTTAGACCTAACCTCACTTTGCGCATGCGCACTCCGAGTACTCCGACACACATCCAAAAAGGTGCCGACTGCCGACAGTGCCGAGTGACCGAGTGCCGACGTGCTTACTGCTTGGTGCTACTGCTGCAGGCAGCCTGCAGATGTACGCGCGATTAGATCCGGCTGACGGCTGACGGCTGACGGCTCCAGAGAGTGGTCATTCAAAATCCGTGGTCGAGTCGAGATCGTGTGCGCGGGCGGAGCGGAGTGAGCGGACGGTTCAGAACCAGAACGGAGTTTTATAGAACCCGGAATGAGTGTCGAGTGTCGTTTAATCCTGTCGATCTAGTCCTAAGAAGTCGGATCTTACTCGTGTCTCTTGTGTCACGCGCGCGCGAGGTCTCGTACAAAGAGCTCTTCTCTTTCTCGGTTCTCCTCCTCTGTCACTCTCTTTTTCGCACCGTATAATAATATATCTAAGAATCGAGTAAAAATGCCTGTCTTCCATACCAAGACTATCGAGAGTATCCTCGAACCAGTGGCTCAGCAGGTACGTGAAATGTCATTTCTCGTTACCGTCGCGCGTCGTAGGCTGTGGTCCTTCTTTTCCTTCTTTCTTCATTGAAAGAAAAGAGAAGAGGAATGCTTCGAAGCATTTGTAGCGTCAAGTGGACCGCAGCCATAAACATGTTCAACGTTAATTCGATTAACCGCGAAAACTAGCTCTATTTACGTGTAACTGTAAATAAAAAGATGCAGACAAGAAGTCTGGAAAAATGCGATACGGTTTCTCGTTGACGACGCGCGAGACAGACTAACATTTTTTATATCTACTACATAACTACATGGCTTGCATTCCTGTCTTATTAGCTCAAGGCTTATCGCGACCGTCTACCGCTTGAACTTGTTTATTCGCCGCGCGAAAGTTGCGCGTAAAGTTCGATCGACACGATGAAAATGAGCGTTTTTCAGCGAGGCGGATAATACGAGCTTGTATATTTTGACACCAGTCGTATTTACAGCTATAGTGTAACCCCGTTGTGTTTCATCTAAAACGCTAGGCTTTTTATAGAACCATGACATCATACCCCGTATATAGAACAGGGCTGCTACGGCTGCTATATCCATCTTTTTCTCAGGCATATCGCACCAGTTTCTAAAATGAAACTTAATCTCTTTGGCCGAGGCCCGAGGCTTTGGGGAAAATCCTCCCTACGTGCCTCCGTTTCCACCACGTCCACCTGTCCAAATAAGGACATATGTCGGCATGACTGGCATATGTATATACTGTATAGTATCACATCGTCCCACGCGTACGTTCGCACATATTAGAATATTAATGAACCACAACTCACGTTTCATATCCCAATATATATGAATATGAATATATGCATGCATATGCATTTTTATACGAAGCGGCAACACGCAACGTTTCTTTTTTACTTTTTTTTTTTTTATAATAATTTTTACAGCACCTACGATTTCTTTCTAATATAATGAAACGATGGAACAGAGTTTCTGATCTTCGTATCACACGTATACGTGGTTGATTATACGAGTATATAAGTTACATATTAAGTTTTTTTTACGGTATAATATAGACACACGAGTATACTATAATTATATTTTATTTTACTGACACGGACAACTATAACGTGGCGCTAGTTTTTTATATTAAACTTTTTTACGGGCGGGGGAGCTGTGTACACGTGACATTGTTTTTCACCTTTTTTTAAAGAGATATATATTTTTCTACGGATACGTAATCACAAGTATGATACAAGTTAACGTTGAAAGCTAATTTTCGATTTCTCAGTTATAAGTTATATATATTATACGTACTTTAAATGGAAAATCTCTAGGATATCGTGTTAAAAAGGCTGATATTTTAATAATGATTTTATATAACACACATGTATAAAATTGTTAAGTAATAAATATATATGTACGAATATATGATAACAGTAACTTATATATTTTACACACACGCGCGCGCGCGCGCGCGCACAAATATTAAAAAATATTGCAAACTTTACTGCTTTTGAATAATATATATTTTGAATACGTGTCGTGATACGCAAGATTTACGCGAAAAAGCTAATATTATTTGATTTGTATTTTTTGACGGAACGTGAAACTGAATCAAAGTAATTGAAAGGACTTTGAAGAAAGACTGAACTCTGTCAATATATGTTAACGTACACGGCACAACTGCAAAAAGTATTTATTAGAAATGTGACGTTTCATAAATATTTATATTAAATAATTATGAGATTTATGCAGAGAATGTGCGATTTTATTTATGTTCAAGTTTACATGTTATATTATTTACATAACGTAACAGTTACGTAAAACATTTATACATTTTTATCTCTCTAAACTACCTAACGTAATACTCATTCAAAAAACTGTCTTAATACGTACGTACATTATATTTCTGTCTATTTCTATTATGTTCTCTGTATATAGGTATCGAGACTTGTTATTTTACATGAAGAAGCTGAGGATGGAAATGCGATGCCAGATCTGGGAAGGCCTGTACAGGCCGTTAGCATGGCTGTAACTAATCTTGTGAAAGTAAGTGTTTATACTGGACACGTTAATAAATAGTTAAATACTGGAAATATTATTGACTATGCTACATTTTATTTACAAGGGGACAACCTGCACGCCTTGATAACGTTTTAATATGTTACACAGTACACCCCATTCACCAATACAAGGTACTATCTATCCAATGTGCACGAGTTTATGACGTGTTTTAAAATTCTAGAAAATAAAGTTTATGTATACTATACGTATGTATTATATGGATATAAGAAAACGTAGTAGTGAATGGGGTATACTGCAACATATTTTACAAATTTAGTAAAATGTAAGGGATCACAAAGGGTTGTGAAGCGTTTTTCCGTATCTTACATATTTTCCGAGATTGCTCGGAGAACGTAAAACACCCTGTATATATACAATATTTATTTATTTACTTACAACTTTATTTTCTTATATTATTATAGTTTTCCAATAAGCAACGCAGCTGTCCGTAGTATGACAATATATTTGCAGCAGATTTGCTTAGATATTGCGCACGAGATCCGCGATATTCCGTGTTTGTATTATAAACTCGTATTTTGCTTTTTGCCGGGGCAGAGCCTGATGCCACGACAATCTCTGACAGCAGATTGTCGATAAAAACCGAGCAGACGCTGCCAAATCATTTCGTAAACATTTTAAATGGACGACACACCATTCAAATATATATAGTTACGAAACGACGCAACGTCTGCTCAGATCCTGCACGCTGCCATTTTATTCTGTTGGTAGATTTTGTTATATATTTATGTTGACATTCTATCGAAACCAAAATTTGTAGCAGACACTTTCAAAATCTGTTCTCAACAGATTTGACTATCCGCGGCGTATGTCTTACATTTATTTTACGTTGCAGGTTGGAAAAGAAACAATAAACTCATCCGACGATGCTTTACTTAAGCAAGACATGCCAGCAGCATTGCAACGCGTTGAAGGTGCTTCCCGTCTTCTGGAGGAAGCATCGGCCATGTTAAAGGAAGACCCATATTCTGGACCTGCTAGGTGAAACTTTATAAAACTTTTATATGAGACGATCATCGTAACGTCTCAAATGCCGCGAGCTCATAACGCGTGTTTGTTCTTTTAGAAAAAAGCTTATAGAAGGCTCGCGCGGTATTTTGCAAGGCACCAGTTCCTTACTTCTCTGTTTCGATGAAAGCGAAGTGCGAAAGATCATACGTGAATGCAAACGTGTACTCGATTATTTGGCTGTTACCGAAGTCATTGAGACGATGGAAGATCTGGTGCATTTTCTTAAGAATTTAAGCCCGTGCCTTAGTAAAGTGTCGAGAGAAGTAAGCGCTCGTGAAAAGGAGTTGACGCATCAAGTACATCGGGAGATATTGGTGCGCTGCTTGGAACAAGTGAGTGTTAGAAAGCTACATTTACATATATTTCGTATACCTATGTTTTATATGACGAACTTGAGATACTAATACTAGTAACGTGCACTTTCAGGTAAAAACACTTGCTCCAATTCTGATTTGTTCCATGAAGATTTTCATCCATATTATTTCACAAGGTGGGAAAGGCGCGGATGAAGCAGCAGAAAATCGCAACTATTTGTCTGGCAGAATGTCCGATGAATTGAATGAAATTATTCGGGTGCTGCAACTGACAACCTACGACGAAGAAGAATGGGATGCCGATCAATTAACCGTAAGTTACTTTGCATTTCGCTTCACGTGTGCGCGCGACTTGAATAATAAAAGAGTTTAATTTTTATATTTTATTACTGAATCTCAGGTACTGAAGAAGGCTCAAAGCGCCATAGAATCCAGGATACGAGCAGCTTACGATTGGTTGGACGACGGACTAGCTCTGAGAGGTGGCGTAGGTGAAAAAAGTCTTCGTCAGATCATAGAACAGGCATCGCGTTTAGCGGAGCGTTATCTACCTCCGTCACAGGCAGAGCCCATATCTAAACTGGCCTCACAGATAGTTACTATGACTGACGCTCTTTGCGAATTGCGCCAAAATGAGAAAGGTACGACGTTTGCGCTTCATATAATTTTATATCACGTCGATCACCCTATTGTAAAAATGTTACGTGTTTAAGGTGATGCTGTGGAGTTGTCTATAAGAGTATAGTGTGTATATGACACGTCCGAATTCGTGCGTATGTGTGCGTGCGATGTATGTGCTATAAATAGGTTGATAACATAGAAAATCGTAATTTTGTCAGTTATATACAGACGACTCCAGCATCGCACCTTAATACGGGAGACTTACGTTAGTTTAAATAACCGCATGTGTATCTCTATGAAGGCACTACACCCCAAGCGGAAGCCTTAGCACGCAGTATTAAAGAAAAGTTAAACGAGCTCCGCGGCTTGGTAGCGTCCGCTTTGGTAGCGGCGGATAAATCGGGGACCGCACAAACAGCGCACACGGTGGCAGGTCGATTGGAACAAGCGAATAAGTGGCTTCTGAATCCACAGCACGATGACAAGGGACTCGGTAAAAGGGCTATAGCTTTAATAATACACGAGGGAAAAAAGGTACGATGTAATAATTTCCCATTGTAATGAGCATTTCGGCCGTATTAAATATTTACTGCGTACATGATGTAAATATAGTAGCACATTATTATTGTTGATTTTTTATATACTTCAAATCAGTCGTATTCACTCTATAATGCTTAATATCTTCAATGCTGCGCATAGAAAGAATGAGCAACCTATAGCAAATGTGAGTCCGTAAATACATTTCGTTATTTTTTCAAGATATAACGTTTATCGACGTTATCGCTGAGAATTACACGTGGAACGTTTCGAGCATCACGGATTTTGTACGACACGTTGACTTTGATAACAGTACATTAATTCTTAACTGATAAATTTAGATGAGAGTGATTTCAGCGGGATTTTTTTAAATATTATTTGTATGTATTCTTACATATATAAAAAAATTGTGCTAATAAATAAATGTCAGGCAAAATTTTTTATGTTTGCTAGGCTTTAAGTTCAAATTCTAGAGTTTTTATTTGAAGTTTAGTTTAAATATACTTTTAATCTTATAAAAATAAATTTCTATGTATACAGGGTGTCCCATTTTAAATAACGATCTCAAACATCTATTGAACAATACATAAAAAAAAAAAAAAAAATGTTTCAGATAAAAGTTGGAGGGCTCAAAGAGGGCCAAAATAGATGATCTTATTAGATTTTGGGTCCGAGGTCCGAGTTGGGCCTGGATTTTGGGTTGGCCCCAGTAGGGCTCAAGTAAAATTTTTTAAATGGAAATTTCGATTTTTTTATCGTATCATCTCTTTCTACTAATTAATTTGAACAACTTTTGTCTGAAACATTTTTTTATTTGCCTAATACTTTTTGAGATATTTAAAGAAAATTTGGCAAACTTTTTCAATATTTTGGCTTACAATATTTCGATACGTGTTTGTTGGAGAGAAAAGTGGTAGAGGTACTTTTTGACTTAATTTCTCAAGAATATGCTGTTGCAATATAGTACCCCAACTTTTTTAAATACTTGTGTATACATGAAAGCTCTAAGGAAATGTATATATGTATATGTATATAGTATGTTTTTTACGCACGTACACTAACAAATATAACGATATCGATTTTAAATTATCCAAAGTTCTTTTATCGAGACAAAATTTGCAATGCTTGCGGCATTCCACGTCAATTATTTTTTTTGAAAATTTCGTATTTCTTCATGTTAACACCGACAATTTTATGTTCGGGAAATAGGTGGCCGAAGGCTTGCCGGGTATACACAAGGCGGAGATCTTGCAATTGTGCGATGAAGTGGACAACTTGTCTCATCAGCTCGCCGACCTCTGCGCTCACGGTCAAGGAAACACCCCGCGCGCTCAGGACATCGCGCGGCAGTTGTCTCACAAGCTCTACGAATTGAAGAACAGGATACAGCAAGCCGTTGTGTCTCGCGTCGTCGAGGATTTTATTGACATTACTACGCCCTTGAAGCAATTCACGGATGCTGTTTTAACTCCCGCAGGCACGCCGGGACGTGATCAGAATTTCAATGATAAGACATGCGCGCTGCAAACGTTCTCGAATAGAGCAGCAAAGACTGCGAGGATGGTCGCAGCTGGCGGTATGTAACGTCGTATATTTGACTTCGTACGAAAATATCATACGTATCTTAACATTAAATCCTTCAGAAATAAAAGATTCAGAGTTACTCGTATAATATAAGACAATCTTTTTTTTCTGGAAGAAACGTATCCCTCTTCTTTTGTTTTTCTTTTCTTTCTAAAAGATTAAATACGCCGCATTATTGCAGGAAGTGGAGGAAACAAGAAGCTGGCCGAGGCTCTGGCCGCCAGTGCCTCGCAAGTGGAATCCTTGACGCCGCAGCTGATTAACGCTGGACGGATTCGCATGACTTATCCGGATAGCAAGGCCGCGGACGAACATTTTGAAAATTTGCGGCAGCAATATGCGGAAACTATGCAACGGACACGGGCATTATGCGATGAGGCGACCAACAGCGGCGATTTTATTCGAACGTCCGAGGAGCAGATGCAGAAGCATTCGTTTCTCTGCGAAGAAGCGATTGCCAAAGCCCTACCGCAGAAGATGGTCGATAACACGGCGTCTATTGCGCGTCTCGCCAACCGAGTTATACTCGTGGCAAAGCAGGAGAGCGACAACAGTGAAGATCCCGCCTTTATACAAAGAGTAAATCACGCTACCGACGTTCTCCAAAGCAGTACGTACTGTTTATACGTATTTTTCAATTTTTTCGTGATTTTAATATAATTTTCAATATATAAAATTAGGATCATAAGATCAGAACATGAAAAAAGTAATACATTTTTGTAAAAATAAGTTTCACAAGTTTTACAAAATAAGTATGTACATACACATAAATCCTTATAACAGGCGTTTTTCATGATGGATGAGCATTATCGATATTTTTTTTTATGAAACCATAATATTTCTTTTTATTTGTCTCTACCTCTTCTCAAATTATTCTGCATAGAAAAACATTAGAAAAGTTGTTTTAAATACCTACTTCATTTTTATAAATTTTTGAGAGAGAGAGAGAGAGAGAGAGAGAGAGTAGGAAGGGGGGGAGAGAAAAAGAAAATGTAATTACGTAATACAAACATTATGGTTTATAATTTAAAAAAAATATATTGGCGATAACATTTTGTAAAAAATGCACGTTATAAAAAAAGTTGCATGCAAGTTACATTTTTCTCTTAATAATGTGAAATATTTGTTTTGAATTACAACTTTTTATCGAAAATTAATTAATTCAAATTTCGATCTACATGCTTAGAAAATAATATTGGTATCAAACATTCTGATTTTGGTTCAACAGAGAAAAATTAAAAGAACCAAAACTTATAAAACTTAAAGAAAGTGTTATTTACAGTTTTTCTATAATTAATTCTATAATAATCATCATAAGTAATTCTATAATAATCATTATATATATTCATCTAATAGGCGTCGCTCCAATGGTCCAAGATGCAAAACTGGTGGCAATGAACATTCATGATAACAATGCTGTATCGCGTTGGAGAGAAAATAATCGTGCAGTGCGTATCTCTTGTTTTGCTATTCCGCATATTCCACAAAAATTGATATACACAACGTGTATGTCTATATTTTATTACGGTATGTTTTTAGTTGTTAGCCAATGTTGGACAAGTTCGTAAAGCTATTGTAGTCCAGCCGGATTTGGTGCCTCTGGAAATGTCGCAGTTACATATTAACGATGGTAAGTTTATTTTTTATATTTAATACATATACGAAATATTTCTATGAAATGATAAATCTTTTTTAAAACAAGTAAAAACAAAATTGGTTTGGTAGTCATCTTTTAATAAAATTAATTGCACATTATTTTTATAGAAGAAGAAATGGTTTATTTTATGAAGAGTCATTATTTTTAATCATTATTTGTTAAATTTATTCTTTATAATAATTCGCTATATAGAATTATATAATTACATATAATTCTATGTGTTGTAAATATGTGGTAAGATATAGAGGAGCAAGTGGATTAAAACATTTTATTATCCTATAAATTTTTTATTTCTTTCTATGCAACTTGTGCATATTTATATTTATTGATTTAGCTCCATGGCTTAACACACATAATAAATATAAATATACACATAAAATAGTAATTTTCTTTTAGCTGTCAAATTTATATATATAATATTTAAATCTTTATTTGCTAAATCAAATCACACGTTGTGACATCAGTGTAATATTAATGAATCAAGTTTGCTGAATATATATCTTTTACAGATCAATTTCCAATCCGACATACGTATTCCAAAAATAAAGGTATCTGCAGTTTTCACGATGTGATTTATGCATGATTGTGTGCAATACAATTTTACATACGTATTTCATCTTCAAAGCTATATTGAAAAAAATGATAAAGACTGAATTATATCCTATAATTTAATATAGTATTGTAAACAAATGTGTGTGTGTGTATGTATTTATAATATTTGTGTATGTGTGCGTGCATAAACACATACAAACACACATGCACACACATTTGCTATGTAACATTTTATATTGCATTTGATAAAATTGCATTAACATCATTGCATTGATATTCTCTCACATATTATGTAAAATGCAGATCAGAGTAATAATAATTGAAAATTTAGATTTATTAATTATCAGATTGTAATATTAACTATATATATATTTGCTCCGCGTAGTAGAGAACCCCGATATTTTGTACCAAGAATTGGCTTCTGACAACGAGTTTGACAAATCGATTCACGACGGAGGTACGTGATGATGATGATAACACATTTGTCCCATAAATATTTAATATGTTTTTTTTTTTTTTAATGTTTTAACGTTTCCTTCCCCTGATATGAAGCATGCGACGAGTTGAAGATAAAAGTCATGTTTATATATATTTAAAAGCAAGACGTTATATGATTATAATAGGCAGAAAGAAGGCAGGGATATGATATATTTTTTAATCAAGTGATCACGTATGAGGCAAACAAATTTTATTATACATTTGCATAAGCTTAAAATATATTCGACATAAATTTATATCCTATTTAATAAATCAACGTGCATTTTGCTCTTACGTGCATATACAATCTTCACAATATTTCACAGCGATTCATGATTGTTATAATTTTTTTGTGGGTAGTATTAACATTTTTATTAATTTGTAATTTATTTTATTCTCTTGTATTTGAATACTATATCATTATTTCATAATTATGATATGTGGAAAAATTATTTAATGATAGCCCATTGGGATGTAAAGTATTGTCTCAAATAATTATTTAGTTTTGCATTCAAAAGCAGCATGATGCTAACATAATAACTTAATGTATTGATTTATAAATAAGTTCCGCTATAGATTAGTATTGAATCTTTTCTTTTTTCTGAGAAACCAGTATTATCCATGTTATCTACGTATTTTATCTGTTGCAAGTAGTTAAGAATGTATCATTTGCGAATCAGTACTTTACTGTTATAACATTTTTTAAATATAAAAATTCAGTTTTTTTAAATAAAATAAAACTTATTTATGAATCAACTCAATATATAATTACATGCATGTAGGAACATTTTCTACGAAATTTGTATTATATTTTAATGTACGGCGTTTTTGCTTTTAATGCTACATGGCGTGCCAGGTTATTACGATTATAACATCGACGATGGTAATTATTTAAACGTGTTTGCATTCTTATAATGGCATTCTTATGATTAATCAGGTTTTTTTTTTTTTTTCCATTAATAACATGGTATATAAGGAATCCGTGAAATAATTGTTTTATTAAGCTTATAACAAATAGTAATATTATTTTAAACATTGTAAATCTCTCGACGTTGCAAGTTCGTATATATTTACAAGTTTATCTATTTTTTAGATTTTTATATATTTTGAAGGAAATTTTTTTTTCTACATAAGAAAGAAAGAAACATCAGCGATTATGTTATCAAATTTTGTATTTACATTATTTAAATGCTGTATTTATTCATCATTACGTAGAAGTGGCACCTCCTCGTCCACCTTTGCCTGGAAGCACGATCCCACCTCCGAGACCTCCTCCTCCCGAGACGGACGACGAGGAAGAAATGTTTATGCATGCTCCTCAACCTAATCAACCAATAATGGTAAGAGAAATGTTGGATTATTCTAATGTATTTCGTGTCTAAAAATCACGTAAAATTACATAACAAAATCATGTGCGTGAAAAGGAGGATTACATTATGAAATTTGTTATACAGATGGCCGCCCATGGTTTACATCAAGAAGTACGACAGTGGTCCAGCAAGGACAACGAAATTATTGCCGCAGCGAAGAAAATGGCTATTTTAATGGGCAGACTATCGGGATTAGTTAGGGGCGAAGGTGGTAACAAGCGGGATCTTATCGCATGTGCCAAAGCTATAGCGGAAGCTTCCCAGGAAGTGACTCGTCTTGCGAAGGAGCTTGCTAGGGAATGTACTGATAAACGTATTCGAACGGTTTGTACATTATTGCTGATTACATTGATATCGCATTGAAATAATATTATTTATTTCAATTTATGTATATAGTAAATTCTGTGTAATTTCATACTTGTAATAATTTTTTAGAATCTTCTTCAAGTTTGCGAGCGTATACCTACCATTGGAACGCAATTGAAGATACTGTCTACAGTAAAAGCCACCATGCTCGGAGCACAAGGTACAGTTTGCGTTCTCTTTTGCATATGTTTATGTATTGATTATATTCAATGACAGATCATGATCTCGCCGGTCTACGTAACTATTAAGGAATATTTATTAGTAACCCTAGGATGATATAATCTCTCTATGAAACATTGATTAATGAAAAAAGGAATCATTACGTAATTAATGAAAAAATTAAATTGTTTGTACGTAGAGACACTTCCGACCTGGGAAGAGCTGATGCTTTATGGTAAAGAAGTTGTGTAAACTTGCTTGATGTTAGCTTTATTTCTTTCTCTTTCGATGTTGTTTCTTTTATTCCATTTAAAGATTTGATTCTCATTCAATATACACAGCATTTAAAACACAGCATGCGTCCTCTACTTTTTCCTCGAAAAAGAATACAAAAAAGTGATGTACTATCATCCAATGTTGAATATGACCTTTTATATTGTGTAATATTAGACGACAAATTCTATTCTAATACAATATTCTAATACACTTCATTAATCTAGCGGTCTATGAGAGAAATAGGTTAATAATATGGTTTTGGTATTTTAATTTACATTTTAAATGGTATGCTGTTGGTATGCGTCTGCTCATCGTGGTGTAGATGAATTGATTGGCTGCAGTAAGTGGATCATAAAATTTGTAGCAATTTTTAGATAGCAAATTTATTCCATATAGTACCATCTAGATTTTCTATATGTATAGAACGATTATGGCACGTTGAATAGAAAATCATCCGTGTAGTCAATAATTAAAAAAATATGTTAAAGAAAAAAGTTAACGAATGTAACAAGGTCTACGTTTCTGATGTTTTTTCTTCGAAATAACATGCACTCATGCACTCGCAACGTACACACGTGCATTTCTTCGTTAAGTAAAAATATAGTTCTGTTTTGATAAGTCTACCTTTCTTATCATTCTACGTGTCAAAAAAGAATAGATAAGATTAAAGATAAAAAGATAAGATTATCGAAAATAAATAGTTTGCAACAAATATTTTATGTTTTATACAATCTTGATACAATTTTGATGAAATATGAAAATATCCCGTAAAGCATACGATTCTTTTTATTATTTTATATATTAAGATTATCGGAAAGTGTGAATGCTCTTTATGAGATATTTCATATTTTATACATATATCTGAACTATATTTTATACAGTATTTGGATAGAACATGAAATATTTCGAAAACTACATCCTCTTGTGGCCAGTTAAGTCGGTGTACGTGAAATCGGTGTATCCTCTTCTTTTCGACGATCTTGTTTTCATATTTTTACATACATGACTGCACATTGCAGATGCATTTTTGGGAAGAAGAAAATGACACTGTTAAAAGTTTTATTTCAATATATTATTCAACTTGTTTCTCTATCATGTTTTTCTTTATCGTCAACCATAAAAGAGATAGACCTTGTTTAAATTTCTAGAATCATCCGGTACACATTAAATATAATATATATTATGTTTCATTCCAATATACATTTCGTCATTATCAAATAGTACAAATAGTATATAATTTATGATTTATCATTCGTATATTAATTATTAATATATAGTTATTATAGTAAACAGATTAATTTATTTGAAATTCAAGTGATTTATATTATTTTCATGAAAGCTTTCTTTCAGTAATCATCTCATTCTCACGCTCTATTTCGAAATAACGATCGATATCGTCCTTATACCTATGCATGCATTTATACGTACGTATACTATAGCTCGCATGTTTCTAAGATTTTTAAAAAGTTCTCGGTTTGGAGAATTTAAATTCTTAAGATACAATAAAAAATAGCGGAATCACGTTTTCTCTAGAGTTGTATGTACATACATTAAATATATTTTAGACATTTATATAGATATTAGTTTAAGAGAGATACGTGATCACATATGCTGCATGTGAATGATACACATTACTGTTTTACTGTAAATAAAACTCCTTTTCACTTTAGCACGTATAAGAAAATATTCGTCAATTCGGCTATTACATATAGTTTAGAATGAAATTATGTTTTTTTTTGTCTTATTGCATATTATCCTTTCATCTATTCCATTTGATGTTGATTACCATTTGATACTTTGGATAAAACATTGACCTAGTTTATATCGATCACTTGATAGGCGTATTAAATAGTAAATAACTAACAAATTTTGATTATTGGCTGACCAGCTCAAATATACTATTTAATACGCGTATCAAGAGATCGATGTAAACTAGACCATTATTATCAGTCCCCTATTACAAATATAATTTTATACGTAAGTGACTGTGGCAGAATGTGTAAGTTTTAGAGAAGTCTATGAGAGAATCTAACACTTTTGTAATGTGAATACAGGTACGGAAGAAGATCAGGAAGCGACAGATATGCTTGTCGGAAATGCCCAGAATCTCATGCAAAGCGTGAAAGAGACGGTACGTGCAGCGGAATGCGCCAGCATAAAGATTCGTACAGCTTCCGGTATAAAACTGCGCTGGGTACGTCGTCAGCCGTGGTATCAATATTAAATAATACAAGAATATGGTTTTTCAAGAGAAGAACACATGCAAGTGCTTAGTATACACACACACACACACACACCCACACACACTAGTTTTACACACACAGCGTATTAATATACATACATAGGGTGTTTCTTAAGTACAAAAAATTGAAGGAAATGTTCCATGGCTTATTTTAGGAAGAAAAGGTCCTATAAACAAATGCCCTAAACTGCTTCGTCTTCAAAATACAGGATGTCAAAGTTGTGAAAAAAAAGAAAAATGAAAATTTTGAAAATCTGGAAAACGTTTAAAGATATTTTATTCAAATTTGGTATGCGTACATGGGGTATTAAGAACCATTTTTCAGTACCAATAAAACATTTTTAGATTTACCAGGGGCTTGCGTCTTTGACACGGTGTTTTTTGAAAACGAAGCAGTTTAGAGCATATGTTTATAGGATCCCTTTTGCTTCCTAAAACAATCCACGGAATATTCCCTTCAATTTTTTGTACTTACTTAAGAAACTCCCTGTATATTAGTGGAATTTTTTAAATATAATTTTAATTAGGAATAAATTAATGATATATATCTCTACATAAATTGCAAATACTAATTATGTGTTATATATATTATGTTTAATAGATTTTTAAAACTAATTTATTTCTTTTGTCAATTTACTTTTGCTCGTTAACTCAGATTTTTTATGGAAATGTTTCAAAGCGACATAATATGTATTATAGTCATCTATACTATCTAAAACGCGCAATCTTCTGTAGATAAATAAGCAGCAATAATCAGAGCACGAAGCAGAATAATGCTTATTCTTTGTTATTTATAATTTTATAACACTCGATTTATTTTTTATGAAAACTAATCTTTGATCTCCTAGTTAATTATTTTGGAATGATCTTTAGTTTAAGATATCGCATTAAAAAGGCTAATACTTAAATAACAGTAATTTTGTATAACGTATAGATATATATAAAATTGTAAAATAACATATTGTATATACATATATACATGATGGTGTCCCAAAGTCGAGGATATGTACAAGACGTGTGATTCTTTATGCTAAAAGAAACAAATTTTTTCTTTAGCAAACGTGCGTCTGACAAGTTTTTGCAGGAGAGCTGGTTAAAGTTAACGAATGAGCGCTCTCGCGCCTATGTGGCGCTCAATAATGCGATTCTGTAACTCGTTATGTGTTTATAACGACAGTTGCGCAGGTATACTATATAATAAAAAAGCTGCACAACTGTCGTTATGAGCACATAACGACGCATAACGAGTTACAGAATCGCACTACAGAGCCGGCGCGCACTCTTTAGTGGCTCATTTGTTAACTTTAACCCGCTCTCATGCAAAAATTACTTGTCAGACGCACGTTTGCTAAAGGAAAAAACTGTTTCTTTTAGCATAAAGAATCGCTTGCTGTACTTCATATCCATTCATACACATAATAACATGATAATAGCATATATTTTACATCCAGAGATACACAGACAGACAAACACACATACATTTCTTTGTTGATTTCTTTTTCGAACTGTATCAAAATATTTACAATTCTAACAAGTTTTAATGAAAAAATTTTTTGATAAAATTAAGCGTAATAATATTTGTAAAAGCCACATATTTATATAACATTTTATCTTCTTTGTATACAATATTATCATATGAGATTAAGAGATGTCATATTTTTACAAAATATAAGTATGAATATAATCATATAATTGCTATACATATATTAAATAGCCATATGTATTTAGCTATACACACTACGTATAAATTATATGGGATTGTCTAAGGCCCGTATTCTGAACGCACTTTTATCGATAAAAGTGCGTTCAGAATACGGGCCCAAGTCTCTAAGTTTATAAAACTGAATCATTTTTAGTATTTGTGAGATAAAAATACATTTACAAAAATATAAATTTAACTTTTTTAAATTTGAGAAAACAAAGTATTAGTGTCAGTCTCACGCGCATGTGTGTTGATATGTGGGAGAAATCATACTAGATATAGTATACGTTTATATTATTTATATTATCATATGATTATATTGACATATGATTATTTACTCTTTATTGTCATTGTTATATTCTAAATAAAAAGGAATTTTGACAGTTGCGTATTCAAAATTAGTAAATAATAAACTTAGATGTCTTCTGCTATTTTTATTAATATAATACAAATATCTATTTTTATATCAGTTCTATATGCAATAATAATATGAATCATATTTTTGGCTTTTGCGTTTCTATATTATATTTTTAATGGTGCTAACATGTGCAATGATTTATGGCGATAATTATTTCTTAGCATATGTTATGTGTATATATATATATATATATATCTCTAAAAATTGATGACATATATATATCAATTTTTAGAATTGATCTACATTGTTATATACGCTTGTGTGACTGTGCACGCGCACGCACGCGCGCACCACACACACACACACAATCACACAAGCGTATATAACATAATGTAGATCAATTCTAAAAATTGATGATACGGAATGTTACGATATGTATTAATTTTCAGTAATAAATGTATTTCGAAATATTTTTATGTAACTATATGAATAATAAACATCTGATTTTATCATAATACACATAACTTAATTTTTATTTATGATTCGTATAAAAAACGGATTAAATATAAAATATGGATCTGTACATAAGGCGAGTTCAAAAAGCTTCTATTTACAATTCATAAGATTAGCCATCATAAACGGAAACTTTTTCCTCATTTTATATATTAATTAATATTATATTATGGTGTTAAGATTCGAGCAGTTCCTTTTTAACAGAATGTTGTCCAAGTACCGTCGTACCTGGCATTTTATTTTTTGGGATTTTTCCGGGTCTTAAATATGGATTATCTATAACATCTTGCTGAGTAGTGGTTTCACCATTTTGCTCCATATTTTCGTTTTGCGTTTGATTACCTGCAAGCAGAAATTTATGTCAAGTTATTAACTGAATTTTATGTGATATTTAAATGTTTCTTAATAACATATATATGAAGCTTCGTACCTTCCTCTGTTTCTTCGCTTTGTTGTTCCTTTTTCTTCTTCACCGGGTTTGAGTCAAACTGAAAGTCTGGATCTGGCTCGAATATCTGATCTTGTGGTAGAAGAGCGGAAATATAACTCGGAAATTGTGGCTTGCAAGATATCACTAAAAGGAAAACAGATACATGATAAGATTTTTTTATTGTGTTGCTTCATTGACGTATCACGGACGTAATACAGTGACAGTTCTCTCACAAGGAAACATGCTGTTATCTTCTGTAAGGAATAAACTATGTGTCTCTCCTGTTTTGGCAATAAACCTCGTTAAAGCTCTCTCGATATCTCGTTTCTGCGTTGCTACCTTTTCTCTGATTGCTTCGTATTCCGTCACTGGTTGTTTATGTGTCTACAATATTTCTATTATTAGTTTCAATGTGTAAAAATAAAGTGTATACGCTATAATTAGCATAATTTCAATTAACATTCACCGGAGTTCTGATATACGCGTGTGGATCAGGAAAAGCTGGTAAATAGTTTGGAATATGCGACGGATGGCTTTGCTTAACACCGGCTTGCAAAATATTCAACTGTTTTGCCTGCGTTTGTTGTTGAAGTGTCGGTAAAACTGTCCTATTTTGTCGCTTTGCATAAGTCTCTATATTATCTACTTTTATGCCCATATTAATCAATGCCAATATCACATCCGCTATGAGAGGTTCCGTTCTCCCCGAAAGTTCACAATAATTTCTCCCTGAAGCTCCAATCTCCACAATAACTACAATACATTCGTGAAAAGAAAACGGGGGGTGAACGGTTTCGTACAAAATAAAAAAAAAACCTAAAGCATTTCTAAAAGATCTGATTCAAGAAAAAAGTTACACGTTAGATTTTAATATAAAATTTAAATCTTTCTAAAGGAAACGAAAATTAATAAAATATTAATCAGCACGAACGTATAAAATAAAGGGAGGTTGATATATTACGTAAAGGCTGAGAAAACACTCTCTTAAAGGATTTATATACGTGCCATAGAAACGTTTGATACTTGTACACGTCCTCACGTGGTTTCTTAAACATTGCATGTATAAAAGAATGTTTAAAATCTCGTAACATTTATTCTTTTTACGATTTTCTTAATACTCTTAATCAAATTTTTTGACAATGCTTAAGGTTATCTTTTAACAACATTCACGTAAAACTAAAATACAAAAAACAAAATCATTTTTTGCTATTTATTTTTTTGTAAACATAAAGCGTAGGGCTGTGTTTCTGATATTCACTGCCAGTACTGAAAATCTGTAGTGTATGTCACTGTAGTACTGGTAGTGAATGTCGGAACGCAGCCTCTATGTATACAACGTATCTAATGTGTATACGAAACACAGTTAGTATATATAATAATAAATATATGTTAGGACTCAAGGAACAAAAGTTTTTAAAAAGTGGACGTATATGATATTTTAGGTTACGTGCTTCAAAACCAAATTTGAATCTTACACGATTGCAGCATTTCGGTGAGTGTTTCCAATGCTTGTTTATCACACGTATCATAACCACATTCTACTAAAATACTGGAAACTACTTGGTTCAATATCCTTCTTCGAGTATTTACTGTTTGTGTATCCATGATTCTTCTTTGACTTTTTATTGCGAATTTCCAACAATTTCAAGTTCCAACTTCCAACCAAGCCCCGGGCCCGGGCACGTATTAAGGTGGATTTTTACCTTGAATCGGACTGCAGGGACTGCAGCCATAAAGCTGGCCACACACACACTTTCCGTAGAACGTAACAGTAGGGGGTTTCGACCAATCGCGTTGCTCAATTTGGCCGTCTGTAACCGTACAAGTAAAGCGGGGAGCACACACTTCTGCACAACGCATACGGCGTCGCGGCGTAAGCATAAGAAAATTGATTAGTCCATACACATGTGCATAAAAAAATAGACCAATCAATTTTCTTATGCTTACGCCGTATGCGTTATGCAGAAGTGTGTGCTCCCCGCTAAAGGCCATTGCACGTAACAAAGTTTTAGTCATAATCGTAAGGCCGTAAGAAAATAGACCAATCACATTCGATTATTCTTCGAGCTCAAGGAGAATAATTGACTGTGATTGGTCTATTTCCTTACGGCCTTACGATTATGACTAAAACTTTGTTACGTGCAATAGCCTTAAGAGACGTGCGTGGTCCATATGCATGTGCATAAGGAAATAGACCACGCCGTTTCTTTATGCATATGGTTATGCACCTATGCAAGTTTGATCTGGATTGACCTTAATGCTAGGTCTACAATGCGAGTCGTAAAGTCGTGAGTCGTAAAACGTGACCACGCACAGTCGATTATTCTCCTCAAATTCGATTGTGCGTGGTCACGTCTTACGACTCACGACTTTATGACTCGCATTGTAGACCTAGCATGAGAATCGAGCAATACGATTGGTCGGAACCTTACTGTTACGTTCTACGAAAGTTGTGTGTGCCCTGCAGCAGCAGTGTAGTAATTTTCTAGAAATGTTTGGCTCATTTCCGGCGCAAATTTTTGCTGCTCAAAATTTGGGCTTCAGTATTGGCTGTTTAGGACCAATTTCATGAACAGCAAAAATTTGCGCCGGAAGTGAGTCAAAAGGTTTGTTCGCGTCGCATGCCCCACCATGCTCCTGATCACTCCAACACACTCCAAAAACTCATCTGCTCCAATCGCTACTTTTTATCCGTGATCCAAGTGCTCTTGGTGTTTATTGGAGTATGCGACGCGAACAAACCTAAACATTTCTAGGAAATTACTAAACTGCTGCTCACTGCTGCTGCTGCATTTCACTATGAAAACCTACCTTTAAATGTTGAAAAGAGACAGAATGGGCGCGTTCAGCAGACCAAGCCGCTGAGTAGCAGTCGAACGTGAGTGGCTCTTAGGGCCAAAGCACATATAACAGTCGTAGTCGTGGACGTAAGTAACGCACAAGCTTTGGCGTATCCTGATCTGTCAGGTCGAGGACTACGACCGTCGTATATCGCTACGCCATGTTATGTGCTTTGACCCTTACTTTTAGAACCAACCAATCAACGTAGAGCGTTGATAAGACGAACTCAACAGTTGTGTCTGCTGAACGCGGCCAATGACGCTTGTGTCAAGCACCCGGAATAGGCAGGCATAGGGTATAGGTGAGATGACGGTGATGTAGCATGTAGCGATGTAGATGTAGCTGCATGTAGCATACAGTAGCACAGTGTGATCAGCGACGAAAGAGAAAGCTTAAATAATAATTATAATGGATATAATAATTGATACAAGAGGTGATTTCGACCTGACAAATAGGGATCGATTAATAGACAGCGACGATGACGACGATATGGAAATTAAAACCAGTACGTATATCCATACTTGTTCTATCTTTGTGAGGTTAAGATTTAACGTGGAGCATATTATTTGGCTAATCAAGATTATCATCGATTATTTAGGATAATTAAATTGTAATTCGCCAACCTTTTCATAAATTATTGCCTTATTTCTCGTAGCTAAAATATAAGTGGAATATATCTCTGCATCTTGCTTTTTTGCTTAGCACGTAAGCAATCAGAGAAAAGAGCGTTTCATTCTCGAGGAAAAATTTGGATTAATGTAGTGTCGTCATTGAAATATATATATATATATATATATACATACTGGAACGCGCACTGCCTATGCTACAGCTAAGCAAAACGAGGGCGAAGGATAGACTATTATAGCGTTTTCGATTTGTTGATTCGATTCGACTTGGGTCAAACTAAAAGTTCGGTCGGGTCAAGTCAACAAATCGAAAAAGCTATTATTCAACACTTCGGAGGGACCACCTGTCTTTTTCTAATTTTGTACTCATGCCAGTGTGTACGACGAGGATAGGTGTGGCCCCTCTGACCATCTATCTTTTTCTCGCCAGTTCAACTGCCAGTGCGCGTTTCAGTATATATATATATATATATATATATTTCAAAGTGAGTGTTGTTTGCAGAACACGTAATCAATCCATGGTAAATTAAAGGATTAAAGAATATTTGTATTTTTTTTTATTAGATATTGATCCAACAAGGATATATGACGCAGATTATCTAGGAATTGAGAAAAAAGAGAAACCGGAAAAAAAGAAACTTGTTTCCAGTAAGGACTTTGATCTTGAAAAGTTTGAAACTGATATGGGTTGGAAAAAAACCCATACGAAAGAGGCTTTGGAGCCAATGGAAGAATTAGCGCATATAAGAAAAGAGATCAATCCATTGGACCAAATTTTGAAGAAGAGTGTTATTAAATCTGATTTTGAACAGTTGCATGTTGTACCGCCCTACGAGTTAAGCAAACACCACGTGGAAATGCACAAACGACGCGAGAAACGAAGGATGGGAATGGGCGCGGGATGGTTTAACATGCATGCACCACAAATGACCCCAGAGATCAGACATGACCTCGAGGTACTAAGAATGAGATCTGCCTTGAACCCAAAACACTTTTACAAAAAGAACGATATGAAAGTACTGCCGAAACACTTCCACGTCGGTAAAGTTATTGACTCCCCGATGGATTTCTACTCTTCGCGTCTCACGAAGAAGGAACGCAAGAGGACAATCATTGACGAACTTATGGTAGACGCAGAATTCACAAAGTACAACAAACGTAAATATAAGGAGATTATCGAAGAGAAGCAAAAGACGCACTATAAAGCACACAAACACGCAAGAAGACTTAAGGGAAAGAAAAAATAATAATATTTACCGCTATTATGTATTTAAGAAACAGAAAATTATTAAAAATTATATATATTGTTTTTTCTTCCTTCAATATATATAGAATATCTCAGTATTAGAAATATGTGAATATCTCATTATACTATATATATTTCTCATTATATATATATATTTCTAAAAAAAATTCATATTAGATGATATTATTAACAGAATTAAACTCCATCAGGAATTAAGGAATTTTGACTTTTAAAGTTTATATAATCAGGAAAATATTCAAGTTAAGATCAATTATATTTAAATCTCGTATCAAAGATCCGTATTCATAGTCGGAACTTGATTTGAAGTCAGTTAGGGAGGGGATCTTAAGGCCCGTGCACGTAACAAAGTTTTAAGCGGGGAGCACACATTTCTGCACAACGCATAATATGTAAGCATAAGAAAACTGATTGGTCTATTTTCTTATGCACATGTGTATGGACCAATCAATTTTCTTATGCTTACGCCGTACGCGTTGTGCAGAAGTATGTGTCCGGGCCTTTAGTTTTAAATCGTAAGGCCGTAAGAAAATAGACCAATCACACTTCTTGACTATTCTTCAAGCGCGAGGAGAATAATCGACTGTGCGTGGTCTATTTTCTTACAGCCTTACGATTATGACTAAGGGCCAATTTCACCATCCACAGTTAGCTTAACCGGCGGTTAAAGTTAGCAGGATTGACCAATAGAAAGCAGGGTGGATTCATTTCTATTGGTCAATCCTGCTAACTTTAACCGTCGGTTAAGCTAACTGTGGTTGGTGAAATTGGCCCTAAAACTTTGTTACGTGCAATGGCCTTTACAATGTTAGTAATTTACCGACGTTTCTTTATTAGAAGAAATCTTTGAATTGGCTTTACAGACGTGCAAAATTCTTTTAGACAGACGTATGCGGGGTCTACATACAATGGGAGTCGCAAGACGTGACCAATCACAGTCGATTAGTTTCCTCAAATTCGATTGGTCAATTTCTTACGATTTACGACTCGCATTGTAGACTCCGCATAAGAAAATGGATTGGTCTATTTCCTTATGCACATGTATATACATTCATATCACTTTCTCTTTTTCTCTTATATCTCTTTCTCTTTCTTTTGCTTTTGACAAGAAATGGCGAACCAATCAAAAGTTGCTACCGTATGGCCAGACTCTGATTATAGGGTCTCTAAATGTATGTGTGTGTGGACATATATGCATGCTTGCTGTAAAAACCCTTACATACATACACACACGCGTGCACACGTGCATACTGTCTCTCTTTCTTGCTCTCGCTTTTCTCGCTCTCACTGCTCGTGTATGAGAAGGGAGTAAGGGAGAGGGGATTGAAGAGAAGGTGGAGGTGGAGGAGCGAGAGCTCGAGTGACGAGCGACGAGCAAGGGCAAGTCGGAAAGCAGCGCGAGCGCGAACGTGCGGAAGAGTGGCAGTTGGCAGTGTGTGTCGACGTAGAGCGAGCGAGCGAGCGAGCGAACGAGCTAGGCGAGCGCACCGGCGAGCGTGTGCGGTGGTGGTGGTGGTTGGCGATTGGTGACTGGTGCCGTAGACGGACGGACGGACGGTCGGTCGGTCGGTCGGTCGTTCGTTCGGTCGGTCGGTCGTTCGGTCGGTCGGTTGGTTGGCGGTCGGACCGTGCGTGTGTAGAAGAACGGAGGAAAAAAAGGAGAAGGAAGTGTAAAACGTGTGGTGCACTGTGCTGGCTACGGTGTGAAAGAAGATAGTTCGGTTTTTGTGTGGGGTTTAGCTCGTCGGCGGTCTGAAAAGGGAGATTATCGTCATATATATCGCCGTCATATCTATAAGGGGTCTCGCGCGCGCCTACGCGGTACGTGGTGTACCGAAGGATTTCCAATTTTTTTCTCTCCGTGTATACGTTAAACTTCTTTTTTTTCTCACTCTCTGATCGCCGCGCCGGCGGGCCCATCGGTTGGAAGTTGGAAGACGTGTGAAGACGCGAGAGGACAACGACGACGACGCGTGGAAATCTAACCAAAAGAGGAGAACGTGTTACGAGAAGCGCAATGTCCGACCGGGAGAGCCTGGACGATCAGCCACAAAGTAAGAGCAGCCAAACGAACGTTCTCTATATGCCTCTTTGGCTCTTCCTCCTTCCTCTCTTTTTCCTGCTGTTCTCGTGTTCTCGACCTCGCGGTTGTTCAGCCGCGCTATGCCCTGGCAGCCGCGCGCGTTGAACGAATGAAAGCGGATCGTACATCGTACCGCTAACCGACATTTTTTTTCCTCCATAATCCTTCGTCCGTGCTCGGCGGTGCTTTTTGTGCCGCACGGCACAAAAAGCATTCGTATATGCACGTTAAACTCGTCGAGGAGACGGGGCAAACGCTCATCTTGGAGTTTAACGAACGACAAACCCCCGCGCGCTTTCATTCTGCTCTCGTCCACGAGAGATCCGCGAGGGTGAGGTTCTAATCACGGGGACGCGGTGTGCAACGAACTCTCCCGCATCCGCGTGCATGAACACGCATCGTCTCTCGCATCTTTGCGCGGTCGGTTCTGTCAAGCGCCGCGCGAAAAGAATCGCTATTTTTCAACGGCACCCAGGATTCAAGATGGCCGGCTGCATGTCGGTCGCGAGAAGATAGCCCCTTTCGTCCCCTACATGCTCCGCTCTCTTGCTCCTATGCTCCTTCGGCCACGAGCCTCTCCCTCCCTCCCTCCCTCTTCGCTCTTTACACGACGCGTGCACGCACGCGCACACATAGGCATACACGTACACAACACGCGCGCAAGAGCAATGTATTTTTTCTGTTGCTCTCTCATGTCGATATTTGCAACTTTCGATATTGCTTGCCCTGCGTCGCAATGCTGATTTTTCTTACGAGTCGGTAACAAACCTGACCAAACCTAGCTCCTCTCGCTCCGATCGAGCGTCGAAAGCTGCCATGCTGCCATGGTTTCTGTACGGTACACTGCGACCACTGCGACGGACAGTGACGGAGTCTAACCGCACAGGAGCGCAAATGTAATGTACGTCGATCTTACATCCATCAGGACGTGAACAAATGCGTGCACGGCCAGCCGGACCTTTTAGATTAGCCGCGTAAATTTCGCACACGTATCATACGTGCAAATCGTCCAATCCCTCTCTCCTGTCTTTTATTTCTTTTTTTTTTTCCTCTCCTTCCGCTTCGCGTAAGGGCCTTGGCACACAAAAAAACTTAAGTAGTAAGTGGTAGCAAATTCAAACTGTTGATTTTCTTACTGCTAACGTTTTACTATTTAAGTTTTTTGTGTGCATTGGCCCTAACGCGGCGCCTAACCTCGAAACGAAAAGACTCCGACGAGTGGTGTACCTCGAATAGATTATCGAGTTACGCTCCTGCACTTCTTGCGTGTCCAAAATTCAAGGCTTCTTTCCCTCCCTCTCTCCCTTCCTCTCTCTCTCTCTCCCCCTCCCTCCCTCCCTCTCCCCCCTCTCACTCTGTCTTGCCGTTCTTTCTCTTTCTCTTCGATTTACCTACTACATGCGCGCATCTTTCATGCTCCTAACCTCTCTTTCCACGCTTTGCGTTATAGGTAGTGCAAGTTCAGGTTGATCGAGAAGAAAAATTGGTTAAAATTCAGAGTGATATACAACATTATTTAAAAAAATAGGAAAAATAGTTTAAAACAATAATGGGATAAGTAATTATAGGTTATATTGTTATATAACTTAAAAGATAGGTTGAAGGCGTCTATAATACTCCACAACCCGATGTTACTGCAAAAGAAAAGCCTCTCGCGATGTTACATTGATACGATTGATACTGTTTATTTTGCCTTTATCATTCTTCGTTCAATTAAATTAGACTTGGCGCCTTCGGAGCTAGCTATTCACACGGTTATTTGTGACCTTGGCGTTATTTCGCTAATTTTACCGCGTACTATTTAATGAATATTCTTAATCATGTTTTGGTAATAAGAAAAAAAGTAGTGCAAAAAGTTCCAGAGTGTTGTAGCTTTAAGTTTTCGAATTGTTAGTGCTACTAGATTTATAAAATAGAAAATATGAAATTTTCATGTATAAATGTCTTTCATTAAAAAGTTATAGAATTTTATAAATCTATAATTAAATTATACCTGACCTTGACTTCATTTGATTTTGTTAATTATATATAAATATATTGAATTAATATTATTAAATTAGCTAAGTTAATTGTGACTTCAATGTTTATACCTTACTACACTATTCTATTTTTGTCGTCAACTAGCCTTCTGGATGTTAGGTTTTCACCAGTATTTCTAACGTTCAAAATATTTTTTAAAGTTATCTTCATGGGGTGTGTGTATGCGTGTGTGTGTGTGTGTGTGTGTGTGTGTGTGTATAGTATATATACATACATACACCGTGCTAATAATTATCAAAGGTTCTTCCTCATCTGGTATAAAAGACATACATATGCAGAAATCTCGGCATTTGTGAAAATTTACATTAACTTAGAATTTGAAAGTATTTATAAAATGAATACATATTCTGACTTTCAAGACAAAAAAGTAGATACGAGAGATTGTAGAGCGTGTATGTTCATGTGTATAGAAAAGTAAAAAGAATGAACAAATCTCATATATTTAATATTATTATTTTTTTTCAGATCTCTAAGGGCCACTTGGACCAAACTTGGATAACTTGTTCGTTGATTCAGTCAGATTAAGCAGATTGACAAATGCGCGTGGTCATTTCCAATGAATTAATCAACGATTAAGTTAATCGGAGTTTGGTCGAAGTAAGTCCTGTGATAAAGTAAATGTAAAGAAACGTGTATTTTTACTCGTTACTTAAAAGGAATAAAACTCTAGAATATTAAAGAGAAATTTACTAAAAAATTTGATAAATTAAACATAGACTTGCAATTTACAAAGACTGTGATGGAACACATGTGGAAAATGATTACTAAATTTTTTCTCGTAAAATCCTATTGATTTGTGATTTTGTGTAACTTGCAAAACTTGTAAAAATTGCATATTTATTATATATTTTATTAATATATTTTATTCAATATTTATCCTTTGCCAAAATACGCAGTGACTTTACAAACACTTTACACACCGTATTACAAAAAATATTGTTGGTCGTATATTTATGTCTATAAAATATGTATACTAATAACTTGTGGACTTTCGTTTTATAATATTAAGATTGTTGGGTTAATATTATAATAATATACTATTCTATATTAAACATATTTCAACTCAAGTAACTGCGTTTGTCATAAACGAAAAAAAAAGTTTTATCTCTTGATTGTTTTGCACAACGTACGTTTTATTTTTAATATTTATTTTGTGAAAAATATAAGTTTGTTAATAGCAGTTAGATTTTGAAAATATTATCTCATGTATTCATTACGTGCTAGTCTATCATATTGATGTTTCTACGTTATTTGTTGATTAATCACGTTGTTTGTTTTATTAGAGTATGGGAATCCAGGAGGATTGGATGCTGGAGGTGCTGACTTTGATTCCGGTGAGTACTCCATTGTGCATATAGTAATCGGAAGGGTAAGCGAATTTTGAAACCGATATGTAATATTCATATAAAGTTTAAGCAGAAAGAAAAAAAAAATATATATATATATATATATATATATAAACATACGTAGAAAATTAAATTGATCGAAATTCTACCGCGTATTCTCCCTCTCCACTCTCTTGTTTCTGAAGAGGGTGAACTCTATTATTCAGTAAGCAAACTGCCAGCAGTATAATAGATTGGCAGAAGATTTGTTCAGATATCGTAACACGTCCGGTATCATCCGTATGTCTGCATTAAACTCGTATTTTGCCGATAAATTGAGAGCGCATATTGTCAGTATAGAAATCAAATAGAATCTGTCACTAGTGTAAACATTTAAATGGAATACATCATTTAAATGATTACGAAACACACCAGATTCTTCTCAGTTTCTATAATTAATTTGCCATTATATTCTGTTGGCAGATTCTGTTATATTTCTGCTAGCCGTCTATCGATAAAAAATTTGTAATAGAGGCTTTCAAAATCTGTTCTCGACAGATTTGGTCGTTCGGGTAAATAATAATGTCTCTTGATACTATGCATGATTCGATAATTTCAATCGTCGCGTGAAATATATAATAGAAACGGGGGGGGGGGAAGACTCGTCGTCTGATCCCCTGAAATGAATGTTCAGATATTCGCGGAACGGAGTTGAAATGCAAAGTAGAGTGCAGCGGCCGGAAACGAAATGCAACACGCGCACGGCAGTAAGCGGGCATTAGGGAGCTGGTCAGCTGGTCGTGACGTCACACGCCATGTCGTCGATAAATGTGAGCAACGGTGCGCGGTGGTGGGAGAGCTCTCCTTGCCGCTGCTGCCACGCGCGCGCGTTTGCGATTTAAAACGCACACGAGATCTATCAATTGTCATCATTGATGTATATACGGTTCGGATTTTCAACTTTCAGTCATTCAATAAAAATAGTATATATTCAATTTATCACATGCTGTAGAATTATGAAAATTTTTCTATACTTTTTATTATTTTATCTTAAAAAATACATGTATCGTATATATGTATGTATATAGCATCCTTGCCTTTTGAATAACAGGAAAAAATTAAAGCTACAAAGGTTTCGAAGAACATATATAATGTAATGGCAACATTTTAATTTAATTTATTAAAATTGGAATTATATGATTTTTCTTATCCGATAAGATTCTTTCAATCAGTCTGCACATAGTCATCAGTATTAAATAAAGTTAGTAAAAAAAATCAGTACTCTTTACGAGATATTTTATACTTTATTCCGACATATTTGTATTGAATAATTGAAATGAATCAATTAATGTAAAAAAACACGTGGGTCTTTAAGTAAATTTTTTTTATTAAGCAGTATCCATAATTAATGTAGAGAATCTAAGCCGATTTTTAGTACTTTTTGAATTTACAAAAGAAACCTAAATTTGAGAAAGTTATAGCTTGCTATAGGTCACCCTCCTGATGAGTAACTTTCAGAAGGTTTTAGCCGTCGCTCATTCATTATTAAAAAATTATTAACAAAAAAAGTTTGAAAAATATAGCAGTTATTTTGAGTATTAAAAGGCATAAACGACTAACATGTATGTGGAAACATATGTATGAACGAAGGAAAATCATTTAAAGCAGAGAATAGTTGGCATAGAAAAGGGTAAAAATGAAGATAAGGGGAGACGCTTTCGGTGATCTTGATCTTGACATATGTTGTCAAAGACATGACCCTGAGTAACTCCTTATAACTTGATTCGTTGATAATTGCTTATTTAAAAGTTATGAACAAAAAAAGTTTGAGAAATATACAAGTTTGGGGTCAGTGCTAAAGGAAATAATTTGCTGATGCAGTGTATAGACAGTACTGCATGTAGGCGGTGGTGAGTGGGGGTGAACGTTGGTTTGCGTGAAAAGTTGAAAACTTCAACCGTACAATGATAGACCTCGTTTCGCCCTATAAGCAGGGGTGGAGTGGGGTGGGGTGGGATGGATCTCGCTTTTCATGGAAAATACAATGCTGTTCAGAGAACCATCCACGCGAAGCGATCGTCCATCCCACCGCGCTTCACCCCTGCTTACAGGGCAAAACGAGGTCTATCATTGTATACAGTTAGGGTTTTCAACTTTCCACTGCGAACAGAGGTCCACCTTCACCCATCCCCGCCTACATGTGTATAGTTTATACACACATATCAACAAATCACTTTTCTTAGTACACTGACACGAACTGTTATATATTTCTCAATTATATTTGTTCGTAACTTTTTAATAAACAACGAGCGACGACTAAAACCTTCTGAAGGTTACTCTGTATAGGAGAGTGCTCTCTATACAATATATATGAAGAAGAAGGTCATTGAGGAGAGATTCGTAAGGGTAAATATTTACCCTTTTATTCACTCACATTAGCTTGATTTATTTACTTGATTATATTTATTATGTTTTACATGATTAATTTCTTGTTTTGTTTATTTATCTACGATACGTTATAGAAATAAAATTGTTTGTTCCGCCAATAATGATTAAAGGTTTATTATTCTCGACTACACGTGGCACGACGTATATTGAATCCTAAGGGTCGAAACGTCGTATAACGTTTCAATATACGATAATTTATATTTTTGAAAAGGATTTATATTGAATGATTAAAATGTAAACTTGTTCATGTATAGATGTATATTATCCATTATAAATTAAATATGATTTATTATTAAGGATGTCTTTTGGGGCCAATTACACAATCTCCGATTAACTTGTTGATTAACTGTCCTCCTTAGAAAGAGACGAAGAGTGAGTTTAATCGGACCGATCGAGTTAATTGGAGACGATGAAATCGGCCCTTAGTCAAAAAAAGTTGAAGTCGACAAAAGAAACATTATAAGATAATTATTTTACGAAATGAGCAACATATTTATCAATTTAATTCAATTTTTAGTTTAAATCTGCTAGTTTAGGACCGTATGGGCGACAAACTGTTATATTAATGAATCAATGTATTTGTATTGTATTAGGTCAGCAAGGCCAGCAAAGCGAGCAGGAACTGGCGACGAAAATGTTGCAAATTCAAAGTAAAAGATTCTACCTTGACGTGAAACAAAACAGACGTGGGAGATTTATCAAAGTCGCCGAGGTACCGTCTCATCTTTTATAACTTAATTCTCGACATATATTATAGGAGGACTTTTAGATCTAGATTACGGATAAGCAACAAGCATTATTAATAAAATATCAAAAATACAGATACTTGCAATATGTATGAAAATAGTACACATGGAAAAGAAATTTCTTTAAAAATTTCTTAGTTTCGATTTTTGAAAATTTTAAAAGAGTTGATTAAAATTTGTAATGATAAAAACTACAAAGTGTTTAACAAAATTTATAATATTTATTAAAGTTTATGATATTTTCAGATATCTTTTATAAAACGTACTCTATTTATTATGTACGTAGAATATAATATTTATCTACGTAAAATTTTATCTATTGACGAAGAGGAACCCACAGGACATAACGCGGGAATGCTAAGAGGGATTTAATAGTTCGTTGTGTAACAAGTGCCGTAAGATGAAAATTCCCGGGTGCGTAAACTCCGGACCCGGGAATTTTCATCTTTACGCACGGCTTACACACCCTATTTTATGTTGCAAGTGCCTGGGAAGTGTTCTATCACGCACGCGTAGCGTGCGTAATGGGGCACTTTCCATGCACGTGTTGCATAAACAAGTTTAAAACATATTAAAAATAAATAAATGTACCCTGGTCTTGCACCAAAATATTCTTTGAAATATCTACTATAAGAAAAACACACAAGTTTTACTGTGAAAAATAGTTTAAAAGGAAATTATTGTTTTACATTAAAAGCATGAGTTTTATTGTGCTTATTATGCATTTTATGCGGGACATAATGGGATACCTCACAAAACTTGTTTATTAATGTTCAAAACTTTTTAAATGTGATTTATTAGAACGCGCAATATATGTAGGAATGTATTATTATACTTTTAATTATTAATACGTGCTTATTAATAACACTTTTCTTATTACAATATACATTTGTTTTATTAAATAAAATCAAAATCAAAATTTAGTATAATAATGTTTGGTATCAGTATTGTGCAACATAATAGATACTTACTAATAGTGTATGAAAAGAAAAACACATTTAAAGAACACAAGGCATTATGTTCCACATAGCCTAATTCCCGTTATGCCCCGAAATGTATAAGTTTACTTTAGGTAATATAAATTATCACAGATATATTTACGGTATTTACACACAGATACTTGGCTAAATTGACAAAAAAAGATTGATTGTTTAATAACGTAAATATACGTTACAGTAATAAAAAGTAGAATTTTATCATTGTTTATCTTTATGCAAATGTATCAAAGAAACTGCACGTATCAGTCGCGGAGAGCACAGCAAACGCATTAAACAATTTATAGCATCTTTCAGCTAAAAATAATATCAAAACTGATAACACATGGTGCGTAGAGACATCTAAGAGTATCAAGTTTTAAACATTTTATTACATGGCAGCTGGCTCTGTAAAAAGATATCGACCATATCCCATTATGACGCGGATTTCCCTATCATGCTGCAATATAAGATGTATTGCAATATAATAATAATTTATGCAATTATTTTTTTATTCCAGATTGGAGCGGATGGGAGAAGAAGCCAAATCTACTTGGCACTCAGTACAGCATCCGAATTTCGGGACCATCTGTCGACATTTAGCGATTTTTATGCATCTTTAGGTATATCACAGCATCTATCAATTAGACGTGAAAGAGTACACGTGTGCGTGCACGTAGTTATATCTAAAGTACATATACATATACATAGGGTACATGATTTGTGTACACGTGAAAAGAAGTTGATGTTTCCCATAAAAATAAATCGAAAATGTGAAATAAAATTTTTTTGTATAAGGTTTTGTTTTGAAGAAAATCGATTTTGAAAATTACAGCAAACACAGTTCGAATTTAAATTTTTGACGTTCTATTATGTACATAATGGAACGTCAAGAATTAAAATTATGTACATGATGGAAATTCTCAATAAATATTACGTCTTGACATGATAAAAATTTCTTTCGATCAAAAATTTTATATGAAATCTAGGATTGAAATGATAGTAGCACGTAATTCTAATTTTCAATTTTTATTATGTCATGGCATACGTTTTATTATGTTGTAGCATAATTTTAAATTACTGAATTACTCTATGATAGCTTACATAATTTATATTCCTGCAATTATTATGTTACGACATAATAAAAATACATTAATATTATCTCATGACATAATAAAAATGAATTAAACGTATGTCTTGACATAAAAGTACGTCGACTGTATAGGCTGTATCTTTCTCTGAGTATGACACGCCGCCGTTTGGCTATTTATTCATAAAATTTTCATTTTGAATTAATTTTACGCAAAGACATACGTTTAATTCATTTTTATTATGTTTTGACATAATGAAAATGGTTCCGAAAAACTTGTACTTCTACTTCTGTTTAAATCACGTACTGAATTTTTATTTTAGATTAAAAAATCTTGATAATAAATAGCAAAACAGCATGCCATACACATCAGTATATTTTCTATTACAATGTCATGTTATTGTAGTAACTTGAGAAATAAGCAAGATAGTTGGAACGAATAAAAAGTAAATTATATCATATGGTGTATATTTACGAATACTAGCACGATAATCGACCGTGTGGAATGAATGTCTGTCAAGTCATAGTCGATCGTACGCATGCCTGACGAATTTTTAAAATCGATTTTCTTGTAAAATAATGCCTTGTTTAAAAATGAAAAAATTTATTTCACTCTTCTGATTAATTTTTACGTGAAGAATCATCTTCTTTCCGATTATAATTTGCATATTACACTTTACCCTATACAATATTAAAACTTTAATTTGACAAAATATTGATACTTTAATATGATGTAAAATTAATCCTTTTCTTTTTTTCTATTTACGATTATTTTCATCACGTATTGCGTTTGTCCTATTTGGAAAGATGTTTAATTCATTAACATCTTCGCTTATACCGGATAATCAGGTCCACCAAATCCAGAAAACGTGCCAGATGACGGAAAACTCAAATCAGAAATGATGGTGAAGGATAATAGACGATATTACTTGGACCTCAAGGAGAATTCTCGCGGCCGTTTCCTGCGGGTGAGTCACCCTGTATGTACCAGCCAATGTACTTACTTTCTACGCGCTAAGTCATAAAAGAAGACTCTCAAGTCGGCTTTCGTCTCAAGAGGCAGTGCTCTTTTCGAAAAATGAAAAGATAAATAGAATTCTTCTAGAATTATTGATAAAAAAAGGTTTATCTTATATAATATGATATTCTCGCCGTGTAAATCCGAACAATACAGCGACGTGAGACGGAATATCTTGTGTGTAATATTTGTGTTGCTTTTTCCAGGTGTCGCAAACGATAACACGAGGTGGACCCAGGACTCAGATTGCAATACCAGCGCAAGGCATGATAGAGTTTCGTGATGCATTAACGGATCTTCTTGAGGAATTTGGGACGGACGACGGTGGCTTCAAAGGCGATTTACCGGAGGGTCGTTATATGCGCGTGGATAGCAAGAATTTCTATTTTGATATCGGCCAGAACAATCGTGGCATTTATATGAGAATTTCTGAGGTATACATATATTATTTACATATAAGAAACGAACACCAACAAATAGTTTATTTTCAGCTGTCTATTTTCTTTTTGTTGTATTTTTTTCTTTTTACTAAAAATTATTTTTTCAAGGAAAAATTTATTCCAACGTGGTCGGTGGTTATCTCGTTGAAATGAGATTATAGGAGAGAATACACATGTGTTGTGTATTTATAAAATCAGGATATTTATTATCTAGAAAAACTTGGTAAACACAATGTTCTACCAGGCATTCAACTTTATCGAGATATAGGGAATTTTTGTTCAAAATTATCCGTGGAAAATTTTCATTTTGCAAGTATTATTTTGTTTCGTTTTAAAGAACTTTTTTTTTTAATATTTTCGCGTTGACTTCTTTTATGGATTCTTATATGTATATGGTACATTTTATTTTCTTGTTATACGTCTTGAAATTTTATACAACATAAAATATCTGTTTTATACACGAGTCCTTTTTTAATGCTTCGTTTTGAAATTTTTTTATATTTTAAAAGGATAGCTCTTAATTTTCCTTCGTATACAGGGTCACGTCTAGGTCAGGTCAATAAAACTTTAGGCTCTTATAGGAACGTGACGTTGGAACAAGTTCCCATAAACATAAATCCGGAAACGGTTTGTTAAAAAGTTATAGCTAATAAACTTTCAAAAATCACGTTTTCTTTGATTTTTAAAAATACGTTCAAACCCTTCATTTATTTTAAAAGAGTAACGAAATAAATCTGATGGATAATTAAATAACAAATTAATTTACACCAATTTTATTTACGTCTGATAAGGCGTACAAAAGGGATCAAGTTTAAAATAACGAAAAAAGCTTTAGGGTATAAAAAAACGTGACTTTTTGAAGTTTATTAAGCTATAATTTTTTAACGAAGCGTTTCCGAACTTTTATTTACAGGAACTTTTGCTCCAACGTCAATTTCCTATAAGACTCTGCTTTTATTGACCTGACCTAGACGTGACCCTGTATAATTCATATACATAAATAGAAAAGGAAAACTGAGAGAGATTAAATAATAATTAAATACATTATACCTACAAATTTATATAAACATCTGTGGAACATTAAGAAATGTTTTCTTGATTTAAATAGATGTTTTTTTTAGAAATACTTATGTTTACGTTTATATTGAGCCAAGGAATCTACATTAATTGTTTTTTAGTCTCAATAAAACAGAATGAAAAGAAAGAAAGAAAGAAAGGGGAAAAAAATATTTATAATAAATTTGCCTACGATAGCGGATAATGCAAAGCTGGATTACATTCTTGCAGGTGAAGACGAACTTTAGGACAGCCATCACCGTACCAGAAAAGTCCTGGGCTCGTTTTCGTGATATTTTCGCAGATTACTGCGAGAAGATGAAGGAAGGCGGCGGTGGTGTCAGTAGCAGCAGCAGCGGCGGCGGCGGCGGCGGCGGCGGCGGTAGTGGCGGCGGTGGTGTTGGCGGAGGAAACGTATTGTCCGAGGGGAAAGGCTCGGTGGTGGCACAGGTACCATCGCCATCCTCGAACACGCAGCCTAATCCTAATCCAAATCTAGACTCACCCTTAATCAAGTGAAAAAGGCTTTAACTTAACTCGAACATTTGGGAATTATAAACTCTTAAACTTGTTTTCAAGTCATTAAGCGAAATAACGGAACTTGTCAGAGTTGTATTGCCATCGTCGTCATCGTCACATTATTCATCGGCTATATGACATCGACACATGGTCATCGGCATTATCACGCGGTACGATCATCATTCTCGAGACCGTTTATCGCCATCGTCACCGGGGGTCATCATTGCCATCGTCACATCGCACCGTCGCATCACACTTACCATTAAGCGCAAACACCAAAACTCGCCTGAAATATGATCATTATATCGCGGAGGATATCGCGACCGATTGTTGAATATATTCATATAACCACAGATTTAATAAAAAGGAAAGAAAAGGAAGAGAAAACGAAAAGCGAACGCTTGACGTGGTTATTAATACATGATTGTTGGCACGTGAGGACGCGAGGAAGACGGAAAGAAGAGCGGATTAGATGATGATGATGATGACGATGCGTGGGTGTGCGTGTGCGTATGCATGTTGCGTGTATGTGTGCGCGGAGGGAAAATGAGTCACTGCCGTTCGTGTGCGACTAACACAGGAATAGATAACACAAAGAAAAGAAAAGAAGAAAAAAGACAAAAATACGCAACAACGGAAAATCGAGAGTATAATGATTGCGATCGAGCGATATCTTTTTAGGCAAACGCGAATTGCCATTGATTAACGTTATGAGTACTACCGTTCATTTCCTGGCTTTCTACATAGACGCACGCAGTTCGTTTGGTTTCATTTTACGTTTCCTGTCGATACAATCTTTTCGATCTTCGGGCAATCGCACACATTTCGCGGATCTCGCGCGTGTAAGTTTGAACGAACGAGAATCTTGAACGGGAAATGGACCGTAGTGTAGATCACGTTACAATTGAATTTGATCGTTCAGAATTTATGAATAAATAGTTGTTATATTAACGATTATATCACGAGTAAATAAGAGGAAAAGTGTGTGAGTTGTCGCGAGGAGAAAATGATAAGAACAAAGGTCTATTATATCTATGTAGACAGTACGTACATCTCTCTTCGATTTAACCGAAAAGAAAAAATTCAAAGTTCACTGTAGTTTCGGCGAGTACTTGTCGCGGAAATGTCGTAAATTGGATATAGATAAAATATCGCTGAATGTGTTAGGTTTGTTCGATGGCGATTTATTACTGTGGTAATAAATTAAGTTCAACAGAATATATACATAAAACGAAAAGAATAAGGATGAAGAATATTCGCATCTTTTATTCGGATATTTACATTACTGTCTGTACCACGCGACATTGTGCATTCATTTAAAAACTGAACGACGTCTCTATTAAAAGTAATGAGATATATGTAACATAGATGAGAGAGAGAGAGAGAGAGAGAGAACGAAAAGGATGCTAAAACGAAAGAATACGAAATCATATTAATACGTATTAATATGTATATTATACAAAATTTATTGTACATTACGTTTTCTTTCATGGATTTGTATGAAAAGTGCGCATACAATCATACGTACTGAAAGCTTTTATAGAATGCAAGAAGCACAAACACGAACACACACACACACACGCATACACACGCACGAGTATTTGCATTACACTTCAGTGGCAAACACGGCAAATTTTGGCACTTGACACGGAGAATCCAGAGAATAACGATAAATACAAGATATATTCCACCATGAAAGACGTATAATTCTATCGTAAAAAGAGTGTGAACGATACGAGAAATGGCGTGTACGTGTATGTAATTAAGTTACATAAATTTGTGCGATGATCGACTTCTAACACACGTGAATATTAGGTATGTATTATATGAATGCATAATAGGTATTTATATAGAATCTATATAGCTGTATAATTGTAACGAAATGCCAATGTCCGCGGACCTAGGCAGCTGTGTGCAAATCTGACGATGTACGATTAATTGAATTAAGAAATCGCGTTGTTAGACAACTGCAATTGCTTAGGTCCCTCCCGCTCGACACAGGAACAAAGATGAGATAAAACAAACGACACAGAAAAGAAGAAGTAATATTTCAAAGCGGTCGAGAGAACAGCGAGGGACAGAATAACGCAATCGAGTTATCTTCCAAAGGAAAGGGAATCTTAATACGCTTCGATTCTGCAACGCTGTGCTAATATCAATAATGATAAATGTATATCCTTTCTTTTTTGTTTTTCTTTCACGTGAAATGGTAAAATAATCTAAATCATCTATATTTCGCACTGGTGCGAATGGACGGCAAGCAACGCGTATAGAGAAAGAAAAGGGCACGTAGACGCATAAAAAAAAAAAAAAAAAAAACTATTTAATTAGAAAGAAGCGTATCTAATTGAAATTGAATCGAATTGAATATGTGATTGGCACGTTCGAATTTTCGATACAAAATAGATAAAATTTTATTTATTTCTTAGTGACAAACTTGATCATATTTCTATAAAATATTATTCCTCAGTTGCATTTTCTAAAATTGCAATTTCGGCTGGTCTGAATTTACTTAGCACGTAAGTTTTGATGAACATACGAAATATAAATTATACAATAACAATTTTTCAAACACACACGAGTGAGTAAAGTATATTGAAGAGCCTCGGTCCTATCCTATAATTTACATTCTTTCAATTTAATTTTCGTTCTATTGTCTGTTAAGGCTCCTGGGCTCTTGCCCAGGTCATGTGAGCGTGTGATGCCAGAAGCGAGAAATGGCACACAAGAATTCTCAGCGTGTCATTTCTCGCCTCTGACGTCACGATCTAATATGGTCGCGGCCAGGAACCTTAAACATATTATGATTGAATGACACACACACACACACACACACGCTGGCACAATATGTATATTATATACATATATATATATATATATTGCTCAAATTATACAGTCCTCAATAAATCTTAAGATTATGAGCTTTATAGAAAAATCTTTCGGATTAAATTTATTTATCTTTGAGTGAGAATTTATGATCAGTGTAATAATGTGTTAGGTGAAAGTATTTTCGAGATTTTTTAAGATTAATCAAGTATTTAAAAAAATTGAACCATATATTTTTTTACATAAATCGATTCTGTTCATCATCATGTATGCGAAAAATATTTAATCTAAAATTATTGAAAAATATTTCATGTAAAATTATTGAAAAATAAGTAGTCTGCGAGATAAGTAATTTATTTTACATCTTGTCTTAATGCATTCTGATGTATGAAACCTGAAGTCTCTCATTAAGCATTTATTTTTGAATAACTATCTTAATTTTATATATAAAATGACGAAAAGAATCACGTGATGTTAAAAATAAATACGTACATTTAAAGGAGAACGGCACGTACAGATACCGTGTATGTATATGCAAAAAATAAGGTTGTTATTAGTCTTGTTATTGTATGTAAAATAAAAAAAATGCTAGGATAAGGGCATTTGAAAGTAACTTTGTGAGGTATTTTATATTTTACATTAGAATGTATCAGGATACAAAAATATAAAGTCTCATTATATTCACATTTTCCAATAATTTAATATTTTTTGAATACAGAACGAGTGGAGAGAGTCCGATTTATATAAGAAAAGATATAATTTAATTTAATTGGAAAAAAAAAAAATAGACGTGATCTTGGAAACTTTGGAAGTATCCGTGTAAAACAAAACCGTATTGACTATGAAATTAAACAAATTTTATCCAAGATATTTTTATATAAAACTCATATTTTAAGATTTACTGGGGTAATGATATTAACTTACTCTATTTGTGTGTATGTGTGTGTATTGTTACATGTCGATATCTGATGAAACGGATGAAATATATTCCATCTTTCATTGACACGCTTTACACGATCATACTTTACGTTCGTTATTTATCGTCAAACTTGATCGATTTTTTTTTTCAAAGGCAGAGTAGGATCGGCAGAATTCAATCTGTGTAGAAACATTGTATAGTGTTTGAAATGTTCGAGCGTTGTAAATGAGAACGGCAAAGAAAAGTTATTAAAAAAATCGTTTAATGACGCAGATGGTATGATATTATTGTGATCTATACAAATTACAAATCACAAAACATCCACAAGTAGTAGATATTTAAGATATAAATATATACACACAGACATACACACATACATCCTTCTATGATGTGACTGGAGAAAGGGGACACTGTCTTATTAAATGCATACGCGCAAAACAGCGCATGCAAAAATACAAATGTGTAACAAGCGAGGACAACTACAAACGTACCTAACTAAAACAAAAAACGCAGAGAAAGAGAGAGAGAGAGAGAGAGAAAGAGAGGGGGAGGAGAAAGAAAAACAGATATAAAGAAAACGGAAGTGAAGAGATACCGTCTGATACATGTAAGAGTAAGCAAAATAATATAAAATAAATGAAAGAAGAAAAAACCCACGATGCTCCTGCCACGCAGCGAGTCTTTAGACAGCTTTAAGAGAATATAATTATAAATGATAAAACAAATTATTAAATAATTACGATGAACTTTCTATATGTTGAATCGTGTCTAGTGAGAGAAGTACTATTGAAGTAAAGCAACACGAAAAAAAATTAATATTACTATTGCCACACATAAATTTAACGCATTTTATATGATCTATTTGATTAATTATTTTTATCGAATGTTTTTTTCGTTTTCCTTCTTTTATTTTCCTCGGGACGTAGTGTAACAGAGAGAGGGTGGTTGTTACGGGGTAGCTTTTGGTGTTTTGTTTGCTGTTTTACGAATGAACGTTGCGCGCGTGGTGAACGAAGGGACCTCCTTGTTGAGGTGTTAAAGCAAAGAGGTGCCGGAAGTTTCACATACTTATGTTTTTAATATATTCGGTGAAGTTACACGCGTATATGCGCATACGCATACGCATACGCATACACACACACAACACATACCTCCTCCCCCCACACACACACACCGCCACTGTTATTCATTGTCAATCTATTATTGTCACTTAGAATTTTTCCGTAGATATTGATGCGTATATAGCGAGCGACAGTTATGTGTTATGCGATATAATCTTTCTCGCTGCGCAAAGCTACGGTTTGTAAAAAAAGCAAAGTTAAGAATGAAAACCGCATTATTGCTGCGATTATCTTATTCTTATTGTCATTATTATTATTATTATTATTATTATTACGATTATATTGTCATTATTCTTAATATATTACGATTATTCTTCTTATATTACCATTATGATTAACTATTAATACTTATTATTATTGGAGCGCTAGTTGTGTACTGATGTCATTAATAGCGAAAGTTACATCGAATCGGCCTTCAAGCAGGCCGATCTTCTTTCTTTCTTTTTTAGCATTTATTACGACAATCAGTTGAGTTTGTGAATTCAGTATAGCTTCTTTCCGTTCATCTCCCAACTTGATCCTCTCATTCCCACGTTCGATTTCAGTTCAGAGTCTCCTCTCTCATCTCGTCTGTACATACTAAAGCGTACTTTTCCCTTCTCCTCGGACTTGCGGCGTTCCGTTCATTTTGAGTGGTTTCCGAAACTCAGGCTTGGAGTAAAGTGTTGTCTCACGGAAAAAAAAAGAGGAAAAGCTTAATAATAAAGGCGATAGACGACGATGCGAGCCAAAAGGGAGAGAGAAAGAGCAGAGAAGGAGAATCGAAAGGGAGAGAAGAGACGGATGATCAGAATTTCGACAGTGTTAAATTAGACGTTAAGATTCAACACGATTGAGCGGATTGAGCAAAGTTAATTATAATAATGTCATTTGGCGCGTTGTTTTCTTTTTTTTTCCTCCCGGCGCGCTCTCGCGTGTGTGTGCATGTATGCGTGAATGCCAAATTCGTGTACGCACGTGTTTAGCTCGACAATCGAAAACGAGCGAGCTACTCTTTGTAGGGCGAGACAAGAGATTGGAGAAAGAGGAAAGCCAATCGCAAGGACGATGCGCCATTGAAACACGTTAATACTGCGATCCTCCAAAGGAAGTTATGTCGCAGGAGGTAATACTTGTCCTTGCGAATTATTACATTTAAATCAATAGAATATGAGAATCAAAGTTTGTTGTTGCAGAAAAACAATGAGAATTGCTGCGATTGGCCTTTGTATGTCATTTGATTTATTAAAGATAACAATCTGTTGCAAACCTTTTAAAGTTTTTCATCTTCCCGCATGCATACGACGAGCTTTTTTAAACATTCCGTGATGTATCTGCGTATAATATGCGAACGTATCATAGGTCATTTTGTTACTACCACAACATCGTGCAAAACTTTTTATTAACACCGTGTTCAACAAAAAATTACTTTTTTTCGAATACATGAACGAGAAAAATCGTTTCCTACTATAAGGTAAACGCGTCCCAGTGGCCGGACGGTTAAGCATGATTCGTCATATAAATAATACAATTTATAATATTAGAAAGATCTTTAATATAAATATTTGTATTCATTCGAAAACTTAAGATTCCCTTAAGCAGGGAAAAATTATTTTAACTCACATATATCACGTAATACGTAAATATTTACAAAGTAATGGGGCGTGTCAATGTACCAGTGGCCGGACGGCTGAAATAGATTGTGACCTCAGATACTTATTTCAGAAATGATTAAATAAGAATTTTTGGAAAAGAGTGATGGCAACGTTCGCCCATTTTTGGGACCTTGATGTTCAAACTCTTTTTCATGGCAAATAGTACTATTAGATAAAACATTAATCCCAGTAAACGTTCAAGATGAGCATAGGCACGGTTCCGGAGATACAAGGGATAAAAATACGGGATATCAAAACGTCGTATAAAGATTTTGTATAATATACATATATATTCCACCTATGAATATCATTTTTCCCACCCCTATGGGATATATGGCAAAAATGCAAGGGTCTCTAAAAGTTTATTTTTGTTAAATACAAAGAATAAATATTTTATTGTTTCTAATTTTTTTACAGTAGTAGACAGTATACGTAAAGGTTTTATTGCTATAATTCATTTGCCTTAAACATATTAAATAGTACTTAGTAAATTAAGTTTTCCTTAGGTGCGGCGTATATACCGGAGTTTTCCTATGTACGTAATTTCTGCGGCACAATGTAGCACAAATCTAGCATAACACAACACACGTTTTATTTTTATTTTTTTACAAAATGGCGGTGCTTTTATGCTTGTTGGTTTCACCAAGAAATAGTAGAGGGACTTGTTGGAGTTTTGCAAAAGCAGTTTAATGGCGACAATATACAGACTATATAGTTAATAAAAGTCGTGTTAATATTAGATGAGGATACGTCTCATATATGCATTGTCTGAGTTTTTTTTACACGTTGGGTTATGCATTATATGTGACCAATATATGAAGCATTAGATCGTTTATTTCCTCATAATGCTACAAAATTTTTATTATTTTAGATTTCTATCACATGTTAAAACTTGCAAGAAACACTTTAGCTAGACTGAGCGAAATAACAAGTAACGCAGGCTATATTAGATGACAATATATCGTCGAGCTCTCTGTATATAATTTACAAACGCTATTAAAACTAAACCTTAAAAATAAATTATCTTCATAGTGCGCATTATATTATTTGCTAATCACATTTTTAATCCTTTGTAGTATGAATTTTATAAAGTTTCAGGATATCAATATTTATCACTTTTTTTTAACAAAAACATTTCAGCATTTGATTTGTGGCACAATATAATAAATAGAACCTATATTTAACATATACTTGAGTAATTCTTTAAAAAATATAACTTATTACATGTATCTATATCTATATATATTAAAGTATGTATAAAAATTAAAACTATTATATATAAACTTTTCTGTAATTAATCATAAAATAATTAATATTACGTAGAATGTATTAAAATACAAAGTAGTATTATCATATTATTTTTTTCTCGTCAACTTTGCATATTATTAGTGATATAAGTTGCAAAACATTCAAGCCACTCAAGAAAGTGGGACATAAAAATTAACGGAACATCCTTATTTTCATTGTAGATTTGTTTCATAGTTTGTAATGCATATTTTCGTGTTTGTGCTGTATGATGCTTGGGACTTATTCTTAATAAAATTACACAAGAACGTAGTTTCCTGGGATAAAGGTCCAATATATCTCTGTTGTACGTTTCACAAGAACGAGATATCCGCTTTAACATTGACGCTGTGAAATCGAGGACTGCAGATGCATATTGCAACTGAACCAACAGTTCCTTTAAAAAATTAAACATTAATTGAAAAATATATGCAGATCTGGCACCAAGCTCCAATAATTTATTTAACATCTCCTCATCGTTACTTCGGTTAGCTATATGCGTTCTTTTCTTTAACGTGGGAACCATGTACACAAAACTATTGAACAAAGGCTCTTCTATCAATTTAAATTTTTGTAAAGCATATATTTCTTCCTTCGTAGATAGTCTAAGATGCAAATTTGAGCATACAGCGTTATGTAACAGTCTTTTAATTTTATCATTTGTTTCCACGTGTAAAAGTTTCACAAGTAATCGATCTGTATGACGCATAAAAATTGTATTCTTAACTGACAGGTGTATTACAGAAAGAGTTAAACATATCAAAATGTTTTCCGAGTAGCACTTGATCAAAACATCATCTGTAAGATATTTGTCCAAAAGAATATTCATAAACTTGAAGCTATTTTCTTTAGATGTAAATATCCTCAAATGTTTAAACGTGCTCGTTGTTCTGCAACACGTCCGTAAGACGTCCTGTAACATAATCATATTAAAATATTACGTATAAAATGACTGACAAAAAAGTAAAAGTATATTAAGCTATGTTTTCTATATAGGGTGAGTGTGCGAAATCATAGTATATAAGCAAGACGAAGGTGCGTCGTCATGCCAAATCAAGTCAAACGTGTAAAATCATTTTTTTTGTACGAGGTTTTTGAAATAAATAATTTTGGAAATCTATCAAGTACTTGGACGTGCACTTGACTATATCTCGACATTCTCGACTAACGACGCCAAGCTATAGACCGCTATTCTCTATTCGTATTTGCCGGATATCGGCAAATAATATTTTACGTTCTTACTTGAATTTTATTTAACACCTTGACTGGTCAAGCCATATTTGGCAAAAGGGTCTCCGCGACGCCACGTTGACATATGCATGTTAACGTGTACTACGATTTCGCATCCACCCTGTATATCTATATTTATGAATACGTAACATACAATAATCAACAATCGAATCGAATAACGTTGATAAGCTTCTTTGGATATCTTATAACATAAGAGATTGTTTAACGATAGACATAAAGCATTCAATACTGTGTCAGATTGTATACAAAGCAAAGTTTTCTTTGACATATTTTCATAATTCTCAGACTGATCAACATTTTCTGCGTCACTGTAACTTCTTAATATCACTCTTAATATATCTGTATCCATACTACATCCACGTCGCAAAGTAATACACAAACATATAGTTATATATTACGTTGCATGTATCGACGTGTTATTTACACGTCATCATGAGATTAACCTATAAAAAAGAGTAACATTATTAATTAACATAATCTAAATATACGTTTCTTAAGGCAAATAAATACGAAAGGAAACGAAGAAATATTTATGACCATATACCATTTTTAAGACACTAACATATAAATACATCCAGCGTGCGAACCTTTACACTTGCGTGCAAAATTAACAGAAACTATTTATTTAAAAAAGTGTAAATTAAAATAATAGAATAGAATTAGTATTAATAAATCGAGCGATTTCTCCAAAATTCTTTTTTCGTAATAGTAATGCTTCGATCGAGAATATCGAGATACAGATAAACTAAACAAAGAAAAAAATCTTGCGACGTGATCTCACAGGCATTTAGGCTGAGTTTCCACTGAGCGCGTCACGCGTCGCGTCGTCCGAGTTGAACCAATCAAAACATCCCATTTCGATCCCGTCACAAGAATGTAATAAAATGGGATGTTTTGATTGGTTAACTTGTGACGACGCGATGCGTGACGCGCTCAGTGGAAACTCAGCCTAACAATTACCTACAAACG